TACTGGGGAGCTGGGACATGGCCTGCAGCAAGCAGCTATTCCTCTATTGACGAGAATATCAAGACTAGAGAGGAAAGGAAGAGAGAGAGAGAGATAGGTACAGTGGGAGGTTGCCCCTTTAAGGGGATCCTCTGGTCAGATCCTTCCCTTATTGGGAAGTATCGGCTTGTCATGTGGGAAGGTCCGTGCAGGCCGTCACAACTATTAAATTTGTTGGAACAGGCTTGAACGATCAATCATAATACTCGAGTATGGTGTCAAGGTCATGATGTTGCTGATGGTTGGATTGAGAGGAATCTAGCTGGACTCGAAGGTCTGGCCAAGTGCCCTCTCAATCCACTATCTTATCTTATCTAATCATACATGTGGGTCCTGGTGTAGATGGTTTGCAGTCTGGAATCGCATGGATCCAACAAAATTACTATATAACTATTAATATTAGAATAATAATCTACTGTAAATACACGATATTTACGTTAATATTAACCTACGATAACCTTATCGTTAAGTTACTTACTAAAGTTATAAGGGTACTCGTAAATTAAATTGATATAAATATCCACGTCCATATCAATCCACCGGAGGCAGCCGTTGAGTTGTTCGGGACCTTGGCAACGATACCTCTGATGTTGTTAATAGCAAACGTTGTGTTTTGGGCAGCGTCGCGTGCCTGCGTATTATTGATTCTAGCGTCATGCCGGTGCTGCTGCCGGGGCAACCCATGGCCACAGTTTGTAAGTCACCTGCTTCGTCTTGGACAGATACGTCCAACAGTGGAGATCACAAAGTTTAGTTGCTAACACTATGTCCAGGTGGCATTGCAGAGAAACTGTCCGGAGATGTTCTAGCTGGGTATAGGTGTCAGGCAACGCTCGGGTAATATCGCTGTCGGCTTGAATGTAGATTACATCCCGCTTAGTATTGTTTCAATCTCCTCTTTAAGAGGCAGGGGTATCTGATCACCATGAGTCACAAGGCCACCTCCAGTCAGAGGTCACTTCGAGTCACGAGGTTTTTATCATAAAGCCCCGCTGGCACCCTTAGGGGCATGTAAATTGACCTTACAAAAGTCTCCGCCCGAGCCCGTACATACACAAGACACCCCATGTTTAAGATATTATAGTAAATTAGCTATGAGGTCTATGAACAAGCTATCTTAGATATGTTATTTCCAACCACATTTTAACCATAGTCTATTAATACCGTTAATGCGTGTTACGAACCAACGAGGCGTACAGGGAATGAGGCCCGCTGGCAGGCCCAACAAGATGGACAGTAACTGGAAGAATCCGGGAGAACGCACGGGCTAAGGAAACGTCTAGGTCACGTGATCAAGACATCACGTGATGGATAGCTTGGATAGCGAGGTTATCCAACATATCCAGGATAGCTTGGATAACAAGGTTATCCAACATATCCACCCCATCAGTGAGGGAGAGATTGGATATATAAGGATGGACATTTCCTAGCTAGACAGATAGACAGTTTCTATCTTAGTGATCAATCTAAGCATCTTAGCCAACCCTAAGGTGGGAGAAATCTCCTGACGACTCGACTATTCAGTGAACCCAGTTCAGACCAAGCCCCAGTATCTGAGTGTCTTTTACTTGACAGAAGCCTCTATCGTCTTTTGTGTTGACTTACCTCAGAACATAAACCCTATAGAACCCTTTAGCCTTATAGGTTAGACGGCTCGTCACATTGGTAATATATTTTATTATTTCATTATTTACATTTAAACGTGGCTGTTTTGGTGTAAATCTAGTGTCGGGCGGAGACTTTTGTCACCTGAGTGTATCTACTCGCCATTCTCCATACGACGACCCCCTGGTCGTGAGGACCACCTTCATTAACTTGAACGACAGCTCCCTCGGGGTCTAAAGCGATATCTCGACGAATACTTGTGCTGTTTTGGTAGTGGTACCATGTTGAGTTTGCAGGCAAACCAGCACCGAACATTTGCCCCTTCGTCCATCCGAACCGACGGTGGGAATTTTCCCTAATGCGAGTAATCGGAAGGTACATAGTCCTGCATTCACATACCCCAAAAAGAACTTACCCAAAAAATTCAAAGGACACATGTGCGAAACAGTACAAACGGGCTCTTTCGGGTTCGAATCTTTCCCCGGCCATATCAAGGGATCGCAACGATCTCTTCGCATACGTCCTAGACCAAAACACGTACGACCCCCTGTGCGCGTCTGGAGGGACATGGATAATGGACGTCGAGACGCGCAGACGCGCAATGGCGTATGATCGCGTGGCTTGTATCAAAAACGGCATCGCGCTGGTTCATGTAGTCATGCCGATGGACGTGGTAAAACTCTGTAGCCCGTAAGAAAGAGATGGCGAGTCTGGAGAATATGCCGGAGGTTGAAAAGAGGTTACAAGAGCTCACTACGACAGCAGAAAGGCTAAAGCGGACATGCTTCACCGTTCGCGCACGCCGAGGCTGTGTCGTTGTAGTGCAAGCAGTATACCGGAAGCACCGCTCGCCACGGCGTGATGAAGCCCTGCCATATGATAGTGGTATCGCTCGGGGACATGGCGACACACCACTGGGTCTGCTGGGGTGAATGCCAGTGCATTAGAGATGACAGAGGTGTGTTAAAAAGGTGAGTAACCGAATTAGTGGGATGGGAGGTCGTTAGCAAGCAACATCCACGTAGGTCTCACCACACCACAGCACATTGACAACAGAGTGGGCAAGACAGTTGGATCAGCTGCCAGGCTCGCTGCGGATATCGGTTTGAAATCAGTGTAATTCTCAGCAAATGGATTCAGACGTTGCTCCTGGAAAAAACGAGACAATGAGACGCCTGCGCCAGCCTGCAGCTGAAACTGATGTGCATAGGGTGATGTCAGGGCTCTTCGTAAGATCTTGCCCAATTGCACTGGAAGTGTGCTGTCTTCTTGTGCGACACCGAGGTGGAAGCGGCTTCAGCAACAAGGCAAACACCAGGAGCTGCCGAAGCGAACACAAGCGCTGGTCTTCTATCTTGAGCTTCGTTTGCGCCATCAACATCGAGATGGAGTTCCAGAGCGTCGAAGATGTACTACCAATAGTTTGGCCATGTCCATGACTGTGAGGTTAGATATTAGCACGCATTATACATCGTGCTGCAGTCCTGCCAAGACACTTCGTAGAGTGTGCGCGAAACTGGGCAGGCACCTGGTCGTCAGGCCGACAGAACAGAACCTGTATAGAATGAGTGGAGAAGCCTTTCTGGGAAAAGTTTTACTGAAAGATGGCAACGCATAAGGTAAGGTTAGAGAAGACCTGGGAGTTTCAGAAAACTTGGAAGGAGCCAGGGAACGTGCCTGCGTACCTACCTCTACCTGCATTTGACATGCACCGTCCCTCGCACCTGCCACACGCGAAAACCCGCAACAACGGTCACAAAAGGAAGGAACCGGGTAGAGGCAACCACTCACGTTTCTCTGAAAACCGAACGTCGGCCCTTGGCAACCCAAAAACAACGTCAACCCGTTCCATCGTTCGCCCGCCAGCCAAGTCCAGCAACGCCTTGCACCCTCAGCTTCGACCCTGTCGACCTCAATCTCTTCTTTCTCGAGCCTTTGATCATCCAGCTGTATTGTCGATACTTCTCAGTCAATCATACAGAGCCAGCAGCATCGGACTGTCAGTCAGCGACCAAGGAGCTGAGCGGTCGCGAGCGTTTGCAGCCAAGTGGATAGCCACAGGACAGGTACGATGCCGCCTTCATACCCAAGTATCATGCCGGCTGCTGGATTCCACTTGCTCAGCGCGTTTGCATTGCACTCTGTCACCACACCGAGCTACAAACGACTGTCAGCTAACCAGTGTTCATTGACGAAAGTCAACCAACCAACCTGAGAACCGAGCCAGTCGCGGATACAAGAATCACCCAGAGAGCCCTGCGAGAACTGCCTGCTGGCGACTGGCTTCCGACCTCAACCTCTCCACTACCTGTGCTCCCAGTGGGTAGACATCGAGTGAGGTCTAGGTAGGCGCCGAGGTCGTCTCAGGTCTGGGTTGGCAGCCAGTGGCTGCCAGCCACCCCGAACCAGACAAGTCGACCCCGACGGGGAATACCTACCTGCCCAGGTGGGTGTGTCGTGTCTGAGTTCCAAGCCTGTCCACACTTCGAAAAGACAGGGACTCGGCATCTGTCAGCCAGTTGTTCAACTCTGGATATCCGAAGTTACACCAAGAGGCCGTCAAAACTTGGGACTGCAGCCGGCTTCCCCACCTATGGTCCCATCCTACCGTCAATCAGTTACTAACCGCTGCTGCCGCTCCATCCAGCAATGCTGTCACGGGCTTCACAGCGCCAGCAAGCACGCTGGTCATTGGGCAATCCTTTGGCGTCCACGGACACTCCTTGGATCCACCCGCACCACCGCGACGGCGGCCAGGGTACCTACACAAGCTGTGGTGGCGCGCCCCAGCATGGAATGGAGGCGCGTATCACGTGCATGACGGCGCTAGGGCCTCGCGTAAGCTCGCACACCATGACGTTGGATTCTTATCCTATCATACCACGCTCAAGTCTCAACAAATCATCAGGCTCTTTGGTCTAGAGGTATGATTCTCGCTTTGGGTTCTATACGATCAAATCTGCGAGAGGTCTCGGGTTCGAATCCCGAAAGAGCCCATTCGTACTGTTTTGCAAGTGTGTACTTCGAAATTTTTTATATTTTTAATACTTTTATATCATACCGCGTAAGGTAGTAGTCATTTCTATTTTCCCCTCGCACTAAATGAATAGCTGCTCGTTTGATAAAGGGACTATGTAATCGCAGTACTTATATCTTTATAACTAATTATTGCGCGTAATACTCGATTGTTAAAACCGACCAACTGGGCACAGGGATGATATAGCTGCTTTGGGAGTCCGAGTGATACTGTTGCTACGTGTGCTAGGTGGACTGCTACACAGCTTGATGCCATCCTCCTCCGCTGCTTGGGAGAGTCTGAACCCCAATAGGCACCAGCAGCGTCATCAATAACGCCACTAGTAAGAGTCACCACCCTGGCTATTGTCGTCGTTGCTAGAGATGTATCCTCCGGCACCTGCGTTCTCACTTTGAGCAGATGAGAAACCAGTGCTGCCTCCATTATCTCTAACGGTGGCAGAGCGACCCGTGCCACTACCATTGGGAGCGGTCATGACAGGAAGACCTGCATTACCCCCATTCGCACCCCCTCCGTTCGCACCCCCTCCGACCGCGACCGCTCCGACCGCACCCCCTCCGACCGCACCCCCTCCGTTTGCACCGGTGGTGACAGGGAGACCAAAGCCGCCTCCGTTCGCATTTGGTTCTCCACCGTTGGGGGCGTCTGCTGCACTGGTAACATCTCACCCCCCCCTGCGGACCACCCCCCCACGGATCACTCCACACCACACCACTCTCATTCAGATGAAGCCATCTACAACCACCACAGTTGCTAAATACACTAAGGTCGTGGTGTTCTAACCATAATACAGCTCCCAGAATCCGATTCCGACCCTAAATCTTCACCAGGGACCTCTTGTGGGACCTCTTCGCCTGCAGTGGAGTCCCTATAGACCCTCCTGTTCCTCAGCTCCATTTTGGCCTCCCTTATGTTAGCCATTGTGACGAATCGTTCCCCTGGTGTTGGTTTGACTGCTTTTCGAGTGGTATTAGCCTTTTTAGCCACTTGAGCCTCAAACAGCTCATATTTGGCCCGTAGATTTGTAATGGTAGCAGCCTGAACATCCATGGCCTTGCCAGCCTTCCGCACCAACAAGCGCTCAAAGGGCCCCCCAAAAGAAGGGTCCTTTCTTTCAAGCTTTTAAGCACTCTCTTGCAAAGCCCGGCTTCCAGAGGGTGTTGTGACAATGGTTTTAGCTACCATCTCGAGAAAATCTGGTGTTGTGGCTCGCTCGGAAGCCTTAGGGTCCCTCTGGCGTGCCCTGGCCACCCCCTTGTCCTCCAGAATCACATATTTCGACTTCAACGCCTCCGCTCTGTTGCAAGGAATAATCCCAGTCTTTTTCCAGGCAATTCTGATGTTAAGGAGCGTCATTGTGTCCTTCCGGGCCTGCTCGTAGCACTCCAAAACCTCCTCCTTAGATGGCCTGAGTCCCAGACGGCCGCTGGGCGTCTCCTGGAGTAAGGTCTTTAACCTCTTCTTTACCAAATTGAAGACTCCCATATCTAACACCTGGACTACATGGGAGCAATAAGGTTCATAAAAGATCAACCATACTTTGTTTCTTAAGCAGGTGGCTAGGAACTCGTCATTCGTGTGGGAGTCGTGGCCATCACACACCAAAACCACCTATGTGTTACTGTGGACCTCCTAAATGTAAGGAATAAAGATACGTTGAAACCATTCTAACACAATAGGATTCGAGGTCCATCCATTGGGTGACATAATAAACCTCCAGTCAGTGAATTTGCCCTCATTTTGGTTGCTAAATCACTGGGCTTGTACGTTAATCCCCTTGAGAATCACCAGTGGTGGCAAAGTCTCACCAGATCCGCTCACACACTCTAGGGCAGTTATCTATTCATCCTTCTTGACCCCTTTCTTTATAGCTATATTGCTGGAGGCCTCAGAGACCACCTAATGGGAGTCCCCAACCCCCTGGGCGATTCCCATTTCGTCGACGTTGTACCAGCGTGCTGGCATGAGGTTAACCACGTCAGGGGCGTCACACCAATCGAAAAAAATGTTGATATTTGCCGCTATAGCACCATTCACTCGGTTGTAGTTGATAATATGAGACTTTATTATCTTGACTTCCGGGTTTCGAGACAGGAACTTGGATGCCCAATTTTTCCCTAATTCTCGAGCATCCCCGGTGGCATAGAGCATCCGCTGGGCCATGAGACGGAACTTAGAGACTGCCGGAGAATACCCTAGCCGTGCTTGCCCCAGGGCCCAGCTTGCCAGCTTATGTTCGAGATACGGTGAGAGAGCCTGTTGGAGAGCGCTGGTCTTATTCCGCGTTGGGGTGCCAGAGATTCGTCGGTTGACGTACGAGCGACTGATTTGCCATTCGAGGGCTGACGAGCGGACTGGAGCTCTGCGTTGGATGGCCAAAATGGCGGCTTCAGCTTTTATTTGACGGTCGTAAAATGACATCATAAGATTCAGCAGTGGATAAGGATTCAAATAATGTGCTTTGTGAAAAAAAAGATGCAAAAGTGATGGTATAGATGGTGGATCACCATAATCCTGGTGGTTGGTGAATTACGCGTTTGTGGGTCAGAACGCGCTGGTCCGCGGGGGGGTGGCCCGCAGGGGGGTGGGAGATGTTACTTTTGGCGACAAGTGCTGTTCCACTGTTGGCGTCAAGTGCTGTTACCCCAACAGCGAGTACTGTTCCACTATTGGCAGCGTACGCTGCCCCACCATTGGCAACGCCTGTTGCTCCTCCGTTCGCAACCCTCGTCACGTCGATAGATGACGAGCTACTAACGGTAGTAGCTTGCGGCTTCTGGACCGACGTAGCAGGTGCATTTGCTTTTAAAAGGGAGTTAGAGATACCGAAAGCAGAGAAACCACATGGCGGCAAAAGCACTTTCGAATACCTGAGCATCAAGGGTTGCCTACCAAATCCAGAGTGCTTATTCCAGTGTGCTTATCCAGTGTGTGGTAGAGTTGGGAGGGGGGCTTTGTGACAATCAGGCCTGCAGCTGCGCTGGTCAGGGCTGATGGGTTGAAATATCTAGAATCAACGATATCTAAAGAAGAAGAGGCAATGTCGGAAGAGAAAGGGGAAGCTAGGGATATATATGTACATAAATATGTGGAGGTATTATGTAATACCCAGGGCCCAAATCAATTACATTACATCCACGAAGCCACGGATTCGCGTGGATGTAAGGATTTACACCAAATCCACAAAATAGTGGTCCACTGAAGCCCCAAATGGATGTAATTGATGGTGGATGTACATATTTTTGGTGGTAAAGCTGAATTCCTCATCTGGGATGGCCCTGACACCCCCATATTCGTGCTAAAGCCGTAATATTTGTCCCTTTGCCCGAAAGGGTGTAATAGCCTCTCGTTCAACTGCTAGCAGTATTCTTTGTCGTCTGCTTCACGTGTCCTTTCGCTAACTGCTATCCACGCAGTTGCCCACTTTGCGAGCTCGTCAGAGGACATCCTTTCGACGTAATCAATTTCATCCTTCTCGTCGGGTGACAGCAATACGGGGTCTAACTCGTGTATAACACCAGCTCGTAGCCACGAACGCAGTACCTGGCAGAGACTGATGATCATAGCATCTAGGGCGCCGCGAAGGCTAGTCGTCATCCGCCCTGCTGCCGAAAAAACCCTCTCACATTCGGCAGACATCGGTTGAACTGTGAGGATGTCAAGCGCCATTTGTGAGAAACGAGGGTATTGGTGACGTCGTTCGTGCCAGTAGGCTAAAGGATCGAATATTGCGTTATTCACAGTCTCGTGAGACTGCCAGATCTCGTATTCGTCTCCCAGAGTGGGTGAAATCGGGGCCGAGCTTGCTTGTTGATGGATGAATTCCTCGAGAGGGTTCAGATCGATTTTACGGCGCTTTTGGGCAGGCTCGTCGTCATTAAGGGTGTTCTGTATCTCGAGATCACGGTATTCGGTATCCCACAGCTCTTGGACCAAATCTTTTGCCTTCTGAATCCATTCGGGCCGATCATTCTATTTCTGTTTGAACCAGTGCCATCGGAATCGGGGGTGAAGGGCTATAGCCGCGTAATAGAGGGGGGTCTCGTCGAGCTTTTGATAATATTCGTCTAGCTTCATCCAACCAAGGTTGATGTTAGCTACGAAGTGTTCACTGTCAGGAAGCTTATTAGCAGTAATTTTATAACCCACAAGCTTGCCGAGAAGGAATTCAAATCCAAAGATAACATCCCAGATGTTACCATACGAACCGGTCCATCCTTTCCGCTTGCGTTGCATACCATCCCCTTCGAGTAATTTCACGGTGTGTTCATAGTCAGTAAGGATAGCGGCAGTGTGCTTAAGAACGGTCCAATCGTGATCATTTAGATGATTCTCTTCTTTGAGGATTCGGGGCCGCCTTGCCATGGCCCTGCCACTAACGAGGCCAGTCCTCTTGGATCTGTGTTGGTCTTCCCATTCCTGATTAAATTGGGCTATCATTCGAGGGAGATACGGGCGAAGCTTGATGAGACGGCGGATCATATATAACTGTGAAAGCCATCTAGTGTCGTTATCGAGGATGACACACAGTGCCCTGGTGTGAGGAACTGTGAAATCGAGGACATCTTGCCGTTGGACGTCAAGAAGGATGTAATACAAGCGGTCAGATCGCCAGATATCAACGACGAGGTTGTGAGCCTTGCCAACAGGGCCTAATCGGTGATACAACGCGTGTTCAGCAACCGAAAGAGATTTGACCTTGCTGATCTCTGTTTCGAATGCTTCAACATCAGTACCAAACAATAAGGATTTGGCAGAGAGATTCAACTGATGCCCGAAGCACCGGCCACGTCGTTTCTTGCCCTCGAAGCCTAGGGCTAGCCCTATCTCGGTTGATGCCGTATCCATATTGGCAGCGTTATCGAGAATAAGAAAGCCGATCTTATGGTCAATACCAAACATCTTCAAGACTTCGACGATTTGCGTGGCAATATTTTGACCTGTGTGACGAATGGAGACCTCGGGGATGCCGAGAACTAGCTTGCAAGGCTTGTTGTATTCATCTCTGAAAAAGACGACTACGCCATACAAAGCGCGATGATTACCTGACCGCCAGCCATCAAAGGATACGTGTATCTTGCCAGGTGAAGCCCTCAACGCCTCGATGATGGCTCCCTTGTGCCGTTGGAATTCGCGTATGATTTTTTTGCGTAGCCCGGTCGAGGAGATGTGCCCGCTTTGGTCTGTGATACACGGGTTGAGGTATTCGTGTGCAAGGCGTAATTTGGGATGATTCACAGTAGCAAAAGGAAGGTTCTCTTCGACGATCCATTCCATAAGGAGGCGGTGAAAGGTATCTCGATCGAAGTTCTTCAGCATGCTATTGGTTATTGCTTGGTCTCGAGGGTTCTCTGGGTTGACGGAGAGATATCGGTGAAGCCGTTGTTGGCTCGTATCGTTAATTGTTTCGGCTCGTAATTGTGCCTTGGATCTGGTCTTTTCACCCCCAGGGGCAGAGATCGATTCGACTAGATACAGGTGCTGTATGGCGTTCTGAAGGCCTGCAGATATGAAAGAATCGGGTACGGGATTGCGGCGAGTGATACAGTATTGGCACACCCATTTGAAGGTCCTACCCTTCTGGATGTCATATCCGTGATCCCAGGCCCAGGAGTTGAGACCTCGCTTCCACTGAGCCCACGTGTAGCCACGAAAACACGCAAAAAGGAAGGCTTTGTCGCCCTGAGAGATGCCGTGGCAGAGGGATTCTCGTCGAGATGATTGGGGTGCTGGCGAGGGGGTTGCGGACAAAGGGACGTCGTTAGGAGGCTCGGAGCCACCGTGTATCGAGGATTCGGGTGTACCGGCCATGGTGAAGCGTACTGAGGGTACTGCTTGCAATTCGAGGCAAAAAAATTGAATGAACAGGTGAGTTCGAGTGGTTGGGTCGTATTCGAGTGAATCTGAATGATTTGCCTGCTTTGGAGTGGTTTGCGTGGTCTGAATGTTGTTTGTGCCATTTAGTGGCTGCATTCAGAATTTGCATGCTAGCTAGCTAGGTGGTTGAAATCATATGTCAATGTTTCTACCAGTGATATAATGCCCAACTCTTGATTAAATGCGCATCATCTTGGTATAGTGGTATGGTAGCGCAAAGTTTGCCTTGCGGAAAAGGCTACGTTCAGATCCTATAGGAAGCTCGGGATTTTTTTTTTGTAAAAAACGGGGCTCTTAGATTTTTGGACCAATCAGAGCCCATATTTCATCCACTGTCATACACTCGTCCATTACGTCAATTACACTAAGCCTTGAATGTAATGGATGACCCCTTCAGCTCCAGTGGATGTACGCCAAAGTGCTCCACTAGCGTGTACACCAGTGGACTAGCGTGTAATTGATTTGACCCTTGGTAATACCGTAACAGGCTTACAAGAAGAGGCCATTTCGGCGCCAGTGCGCTGGATTTCCTTGAACTTGCGGTACTCGACGTCAAAGTCCTTGCGAGGAATGTTTAGGTAGCCTGCCACGAAGGTGTACATCCCCTCTAGAGCGAAAGGTATGATCGGGGTGTTGTCATCCGCGCCGGATGAGCCTCCACGGCCAGGCTCCTCGACGGGCTTCTCGACGGCCGCAGGGGCGTTGGATTGCGCAGTCTCCTCATAGAGCATAGTGCGCAGAATCTCCGTCTCGATGTTCTCGAAGTTTGCGATGGCTGGATGATTGCCGCCTCCTGCGAAAGGACCCAGCTTTCTCGAATGATTATGACGGCGTCGGGTACACGGGGCGATTGTCGACATCGGCCGATGGCGAGGTTGACGAGACAGCGGATGATCATGTTTATGTCGGGCTGCAGTCGCATGTCGAACAGAATATCGAGCGCGTTCTCCACTTTGCCCACATCGAAGATGAGACGAGCCTGGGATGGTGTTAAAGTCAGAGATAGAAAATGCGAATGTTACTTACCGACTGGAAGCGCGCGAGATAGAGGCGCGCGAGATTGTCCATAGTCGCAGGGAAATGCTGGATTGAGAGAGTCTAATATGATCAGACGGTGGGGAGCGTGGATCCTTGGCTAGAAAGTTGAATTCAGGTGGATGGATGTATGGTTGACATTTAAATGTATCGAAAAGAGGGTACCGCCGGACGCAATGGACATAGTGATTAGAGACTAGCTGTAAACACCCTATGAATCGTGGTCCTCACGTCCCCTGGTCCTGGAAACCGTTTGATCGCGAGGGAAAGAAAGAATAAAGCAAATAGATAGACGACTATATAAATAGATCATTGAGTGTCACACTGACCGGGCTAGGCGGGGATGATGGTCTAGAATTGGCTATGGTAACCACATCAATCCAGATAACCTTGTCCCCCCAAAGGTAGAATCGCCGTATTGAGAGAACAGTCTGATCGGCCAGGTTGGGTGGTCGTAACGATCGGGATTCGGCTATAGTTGCCGTACTTATCCAGATCATCTCATTGCTATTGCCCCCCTGAACCACCTACAGCGCTCAGCTCCCGTTCAGCATCCAGCCAATAGGATACCGGCCATGTAGGACGTGACCTCCCTCATCAGGCAGACCCCCTGCTCGCCTCGGACGATCAGCTCAACGGTGGCGTACACATCTACTATTGACCATGACCGACGATCGAGCGAGATAAGCGAGGCATGCTTGAACCCGTTCCCAGGAACGTGGGCACTGGGCTCGGTGTGATGCTGATGGAGGGTGGTATTATTGAATGGCTGTCGGCCCTCCTTGGTCGGGACAGGGACAGGGGTACGGTGTACCATGACCAACTTTCTCGACATCTCCATGCAGTAACTGAAAGAGACCTTATATCTTTTAAGAGAAGTACTTTACACAGACTTCTAGCGGCCAGATCTGGACATGGCGACTTTGCCAGCTACCATGAACGCTTTGGGCACACAGACTCGAATGATCACTGCAACTGTGGTGAGAAAAAAACACCACAACACATTTTCTTTTGTAAAAGACTGGGGAAAAATCGGCTACTGCCTAGGCATTCGCTTAGGGCAGCTTGTTTACAATACTTAGGGGAGAGGAGCACAGAATGGGCAAAATTCGTAGAGAAGAGCAAGTTCTTTTCAATAATCTGCCCCTGATAGATAGCTTTTCCTGAAGGACAAGATAGATGATCCCAAGATCATACCGCCGCAACAACGGGGATGGGCCCGTGAGCGGGACTGACTGTACTTATTATCTTGAGACCTCCACAACCCTGCGATACAGAGGCTCTGGGAGGCGTGGTTTGCACTACTGAGGAGCTACCCCCCACGTTAAATCCAATCAATCAATCAATCAATTTCTCGACATCTCCAACTTCCGCGTTCCCAAGTCGTCCCAGGTCGCTCGATTCTTCGGATTATCACACTGCATCGATACTCATATCTGGTGCTCGCCGTATCTGGTCCACTGCTGCCCTGAACTCCGGTTACGGCATCTATTCGTTTGACGGTGGCCCTCGCCGCCAGTGTTTATGGTGCCAGCATACATAGCCGATCAAACAGCACCGTTCAAAGTGTGAACAGCACCATGTGCAACGGCAGGAGCTACGCGTATGAGGAATTGGCTGGTTATGGGTACGTTGTGTCGGATGCGGTCGATAAGTTTGGCGACACGCTTGGGGGCCTGGGATCTTCGCTTCACTTGGAGCAGGGAGCGTGGGAGAAGCGCCCTAACGGAAGCTACTCTGGTATCCTTTGGGCTCTGCCAGATAGAGGCTGGTAAGTTTACCTGTTTTGGGATGGTTTTGATGTCACCGAAGTTGCATATTTTCACATAGGATTTGCGTCCGCTACTTTTGATGAAGCAATGCTTCTCGTTCATCTGTCGAAATTGGCACAACAATGAAGCCTTCACGGGTGCCATGTGCTGCAAGCTAATCTCAACGTCAGGAATACTGAGGGGACCTTGAACTTCAACCCCCGAGTTCACAAATTCAGCATTACCTTCACTCCCCAATCCGACGCAACCGTTGAAAGTCCAAGTGGCCCCAACTTGTACTTTAACTACCTGGACACGATCAAGTTCTCGGGTCCAGATGGTACGCCATGCACGGGCCTGGATGGAGATGCGACAGGACATCTTTCATTCCCCGGGTTCCCCGATCTGCCCGTCGCGACTTACACCGGCGATGGCTTCGGCGGCGAGGGGCCTGGAGGGAAAATAATCCCCGTCGATAGCGAAGGGCTTTACGTCAATGATGACGGCACGTTCTGGGTTTCTGATGAATATGGACCATACATATGTAAGCCACCCCAGGTTCTGCTCCCTTGCCCCGGGCATTGCTAACAACATCCAGACCTTTTCGCTGCTGACGGCAAGATGCTTGCTGCTATATCGCCCCCTGCCGCGATCTTACCAATGCGGAATGGGACCATCTCATTCTCGGCGGACAGCCCACCTCGCTATGTCGATAACGGCGAAGGCAATGACGTGATTCCCGGGGACCCAGACTCAGGCCGTGATAACAACCATGGCAAGCAGCTCTTGAAAATTGACGCCCCTTTATGCAAGACGATCATTACTAACTGATGTCGAATGTATAGGTTTCGAGGGTCTGACTGGCTCCGCGGACGGGAAATCCTTATACGTCCTGCTCCAGGCCGCAACCGTTCAGGAGGGTGTAAGTGATAATCTCCCTTGGGGCATCGCTCTCCTAGCTGAACCGTTCTTCAGGGCCTTGACAAGCACACTCAGCGGTACACGCGCTTCCTCAAATACGACGTGTCCGACAGGCTTTCACCCGTCTACGCCGGCGAATGGTTCGTGCCACTGCCCCAGTACAACGACCCGACCGCCAAGCCGTCGAAGAACCCCAAGATCGCGGCCCAGTCCGAAGTCCTCGCCCTCGACAATGGGCAATTCTTCATCCTGTCGCGAGACTCCGGCGCCGGGCATGGCCAGGACGAATCGCTATCTCTCTACCGCCAGATCGACGTCTTCGACATATCAGCTGCGACGGATGTGAAGACCGCAGGAGACTACGACTGTGCCGAATGCGCTGTTGCCAGTGCGGATGGCGTTCTGGGGGAGGACATCGTGGCGGCTACTTATTGCGGCTTCTTGGACTTCAATGTGAACTTGCAGCTGAACCGGTTCGGTCTCCAGAACGGAGGTGATCAGGACCAATACCTGCTTGTAAGGCCCATGCGATCCGTGTATTCAAACAATGCGGCTGACGCCAGGCGGCAGAACGAGAAGTGGGAATCCCTCGGCATGGTTCCCGTCGACCCAAAGGCGCCCGACGGCGAGTTCTTCGTCTTCAGTCTGAGCGATAACGACTTCATAACCCAGGGCGGATTTATGAATAGTGGCGCGTTGCCTTACAGCCATGCGAGCGGCTTTAACCTGGATAATCAGGCTCTGGTGTTCAAGATCAGAATCTCATAGATCCCATGATACATTGCTTCAAGTGCCTTGAAATTTCAGTACGCTGCGTCAAGGCTGATGGCCAAATGGAAGGAAAGATCTTCGCTGCAACTTCACGATCGTAGTCAATGCGCTACTAGGGTATCTCCATGTCCCCTTCATAGCCCCCGGGTCCTCGCCGAGCAGGCCTCGGTAAAGCCTGTAAGATGTGTCTCGATAACGTTCAAGCACTCATGCGCTTGAGCAACGATTTTTTCCGAAGTCCGAGTCCTTTAAAGCCGGCCGAGCATTCGAAAGCGTTCGGAAAACCATATGACATCAGTAGAGCCGACTATGGCGTAGAAGGGAAGCTCCCCGAGTTTGTGTTGGAACTTGGGATTCCAATATTAATTCCCCACCTGCCCCTGAAAACCAGCAGTCCCCCGCGGGGTAAACAGCAGCGGGCGATTCCAATTATGAAGTCAACCAAGGTGCCATCACTATCCCAGTCGAACTACCTCAGCTTATAGTGTCTTCAATGAGTTCTTTGCACGCGTATCGGAAGGAGAACAAGTGCAAAGTATTATCTTTGGTGACTGAAAATAGACGGCGTACCTGATCACGGCCGGCCCGCCCAGGCCGGGCTTCATGACCACCTCAAGAGTTGACACCAGCAATGAATTCCGAATATGAAATATTGATTAGCCAACCACACTCAGTTACGCTTCGGTAAATTCATGGCTGGATCGAATCGCTCGTGTCCAAACTTCCTAGAAAACGTGGAAACCAATCAGGAGAAACCAGACTCAGAAGCAGTAACAGTCCAATGTCGCGGAGGATCCTGCTCATGCATTCTCGGCATGGTGTCCCTCAGTCTTCGGTTGCTCCCTGAGATCCCCGATCGAGCTGCTCCCTTCCTCCACCGCGGTGTCCGATACCTCCGTACCTGCCTCCCGGCGAAGGCGTGTGATCTCCTCGGGCTGAGGCGGAACCCACTTTGCTGAAGCTCGAGGGCTGACATGCTCGATATACATGGTATCGATCTCCTCTGCGAGTGTGTTAACATGCCTACTTAAAGCCGACTGGTGGATGGTGTGCTTATACATACCCAGAGTGCGACCTTGTCCTTCGATGACGAAGAGATACACGATGACGCCGGCAACGAGATTGCAAGCTGCGAACACATATCCGTAGCGGAAGTCTATGGCAGAGGTAATAAAGGGCGTAAAGAAAGCGATGAGGAAGTTCCACAGCCAATTGGATGCCGTTGCAATGGCCCTTTTAGAGGAGTCAGTAAAGAACGGCCGGAAGGAAAACCACACGACGCCTGAAAGCACTTACATCGCTCTGGCCCGGTATCGCGAGGGGTATATCTCAGCTATAATCGTCCACACCATTGGTCCCCACGTCGTGGCGTAGCCTACGATGAAGAGCGCCGCGAAGACGATCAAGATAATGCCCGCAGTTGGTGTGTTGGCCGGCATGTCCCTGTCGAGCATAAAGTGACCCACAGAAGCAAAGACCAAGAAGCAGATGGTCACTACCACAGACGTTAGCGGCGATATTGTAGTTCGGCTCCCCAGGGAAAACGTACTCCAGATTGATCCAATTATTAGCGACAGACGTCTGCCGGCACGCTCAACCAAGACCAGACCCAAAAACGTGCTGCCAAAATTGATACCGTTCAAGATCAGCTGCGTGATGAAGGAACTGATGTTCACCGACGCAAAAATCGAAGTACCTAGCGTTTGATAAGATTGGACTCGCATACAGCTGGTTACGGTGAGGGTCATTCAAAATCTTACCGTAATAGAAGAAAAAATTCGCGCCAGTGAGCTGTTGGAACATTTGCAACACGACCCCCAGCATTATCCGATAGGTCATGCGAGGAGCACGAAACATCTCAATGGCGCCGCCGATCGCGCCTTGCTTCACTTGTGATTCAGCGCGAAGTTTGCTCGCGATTTCCTCCATCTGGGTGTGGATAGCATGGTGATTCCTCGGGGCACCATACACCCTCTGGAGCGTCACTCTAGCGGCCTCTATACGGCCCCTCCGATAGTCAAACCGTGGCGTCTCGCTGAACAGGAGGATGCCCAGACCAAGGATCAAGGTCCAGAGCCAGCCCAGTCCGATGACTATACGCCACGAGGCCGAGCTGTCCCGCTGGTGGGAGTAGGTTCCGTAGTTGAAGCAAGCCGCCAGGAAGATGCCAAGGGTGATGAACAACTGGTAAGTACAAACCAGGGCTCCACGAATCCAAGGGGGTGCCGTCTCAGCTTGGTACATCGGCACGAGCAGACTGAGGGCGCCGACGCCCCAGCCGGCTATGAAGCGACCGATCATGATCTGTTCCCAGACATTGACAGCCGAGACTTGGACCACGAAGCCGACCGAGACGACGATGGACCAGAGACACACCGACCACCGTCGACCGATCTTGTCGGCAACGGGCGCGGCGACGAGAGCACCGATCAGAGTGCCGATCGACAGCAAGCCCACGATGAGGCCCTGTCGGACGTTGCTGAAGCCGTAGGACCCGTCCGGTTGAGGCTCGCCGAACCTTCTCAGGAAGTCGGGCATCTCCAAGAATCCGGAGATCTGACCTGTATCGTATCTGGACTTTCTCGTTAGTCGTCACTTAGGGGACTCTGGTCGGGTGCACATTACCCGAAAATCAATCCTCCCATAGAAACAAGCGTCGCCATTGCGAAGGACCGCCCGGTCACCCGTCGCAATGGTGAGTAGTCGAGTGGTTCGTCGGCTTGCCGGACATGGCTGTTCTTCTCCGACTTGCTTGGGTCGTGTTCATCGAAATGAATATGGTTGCTAAAACCCACCATCTTGATGAACGTTCTATATCGCCGACTTTGTATGTATATGAAACCAGCGAAGACTGGGGATTTTCTATTTCCCGTCTATATCCAAGAACCGGAGAAGACCATAAATAAGCTGGACGCCGGATGAAGGTGGGGTTAAGGTTCGATGTGGCTGCACCTATTGCGTCGTTAGACCGTATATGGTTTGGATACACGCTTTATCAGTGGTTGGGTGGCTTTATACTTTCCACCGACTCGAAATCTTGCTAATGGTGCGCGGGAGGGTGAGGACAGCTGATCAGAAAGTGTTTTTAAGTTCTTCCGCTCAAATGTGCCTGCCCAGGTGACTGGAATGCTACCACAGGTTTCCGGGGATTCCGGGGAGAGACCATGGTCCATGTTATTGTCCGCGGGGCACCTCATCCCCAGAAACGCCAACCGACCAATCGTAATTCAGATGCCCGCAATGAGCTTCTTCGGTGCTGACCAGCAGAACATGTGAGGTTCTCTTTGCCCGGGATATCCGATATGCAGCCCAGCGGTGACGTCTGAGGCGTAAATGACATGATTGTGACGGCTTCTTACTCCTATGACATCATCGTTACCGGCGTCATGGTCCTTGTGAGGGATCTGTATAAACAGTGGCATTAGCACACTCGGGATACCTTTAAAGTAAAGTCGTAAGTAATGTTATGCTAATAATGCATAACTACCTCTTAACGAAAACGTTCCTACATATAAAAAGTTCCCGTCGCGTAAAGTTCTACATATTACCATTGCAGATACACGTAGAACCACTAGCCATTACCATCCTAGACACCTGTATGTCAAACGCTAGTGGCTGTTCGTGACTCGTAAGGTGCGTGGTGAGCGATCAACCCCTCTTTCATCTGGTCGTGGATTTCCTGTTCAGTTCCCTCTCTCATCTGTGAGGTTTGGCACGGGTATCGCGACCGCAATCCCACTGAAACCTATCGAAACGTTGTCAAAGCATCAGCCGAGCACCTCAAGACCACAATGGCGGAAATGCAGGTAATCCCAGCGAAGCATGGAGTAGCAACATTTGTTCCCGCTGGACAGACGATCAAGATCGTCAACACATCTGGGACACAAGTCATTGATACTTGGGCCTTTGCACTGCCGAAGCCAGACGGAAAAAAGGGCGATTCGACCGAGCAGAACCCGGAGCCGGAGCAGAAGACAGAGGACAAGGCAGAGGACATGGCAGAGGAGAAGGAGGAGCCCAAGCAAGAAGAGAAGGCTGCGCCGAAGCCGACACCTAAGAAAAACAAGGGCTCTGATCTGCCAAGTCAAGAAGATGCAGAGGAAGCGACGCAAGAAGGCTTGGAAGGTTGTGGGGAAGCGACGCAAGAAGGCTTGGAAGGTTGTGAGGAAGCTGGCAAAGATGCAAAGAACGCGACGCCGCAGAAGAGCACCTGGAGCTCTTACGTCCCATCGCTTGGATTTTCGGGCGAGGAGAAAGGTGACACGCCGCAAAAGGAGACGCAGCAGCAAAAGGACTCGAGGACATGGTCCTCGTACTTCCCTTCTGGTCAGAGTTTCAGCTCCTACGTCCCGAAGTCGGCTAGCGATACGGTATCGATGTTCGCAAAGAAGGTGAGTAGAACAAGATGGTGCTGACGAACGCCTGGTTGACGACAGGGCAGCATGAAAGAGACCCAAGCAAGTCATACATTGAGCAACTGCAAGACTTCTCCAAGACACCTGTCGGAGCTGGCGGTATGAGTGGTAAGCTTCCACAATGCAGGACTCCTGCACTCACTACGCTTACACAGGTCTCGCAGCAATCACCGGGTCGGGTTATGGTGGGACGCTGTATGCTGGCTACCAAGCCTACAACGCGAAGAATGCGCCGGACGCTCCACCCATGGAGTTCTTGAGCATGGCTCACTCCCGGACAGCAACGCTGCATATGAGGCCCAAAATCAACGACACGCTTGTTTCGAACCTTCGAGAGCCGATGCTCACGGTCGTCGAGGACACCTCGCCTGGTATCCACGACACACTCATCCCAGCCTGCGACCCGATGCGTTACAAGAACCTTGGTATGGACAACTGGGAGAAACATGGATCGTGCGCTGAGAACCTCGTGCTGGCATTGAAAGAGCTGAACGAGCGAGCGGGTCTGAAGGGCGCAAGGGGCGTTGGTGCAGACGTCACCATCAACGCCGTGCCCGCGCCGCTGAACCTGTTCATGAATATCCCGTGGGATGACGAGGGAGATCTCGCATTCAAAGCGCCCAAAGGCAAAGATGGAGACTACATCAGATTGAAAGCAGAGCGTGACGTTGTAGTGGTGATGAGTGCATGCCCGAACGACGTGCAAGAGATCAACGCCAACAAGTCGACCGACGCGCACTTCATCGTCGAGGGCGACGGTGAGGTGGTAGGCAGTTGCCAATGACTAAAAGACAGTCGACAACACGATTCGGCTTGAGTTGGGGGAGTAGTCTAGAACAACGTGCATTGACCGCAATGGTCTTGCGGTCAGACTAGGTAGTTCAGTGCTTACTGAACTCTCGCAGCAAGGCATTTCTTGGCGACCGTTCAACCTCTGTCAATGGAAGAAGCGTGGACGTTAGTGGCAGTCATACAGCAACTGACTTGATGGCAACAGCGCTCTCGGCACCTTATCAGTCTATCTGGGTATCCTGAAAGCATCATCATTGTTCAGTACCTAGGTGTGCTGATATCAGCCTCTCGGCGGGGCCTATGGTTGGAATTCGAGTCGAGTGTCCGTCTCCTTTGAACCTCGGCCCCGAGTGCAACTTTCTCCGTCACATCTCTGGCTCCTGTAAGCGCGTTAAGCAAAGACAAATATTTACTCTAACTAAAACAGCACATGTACGATTTAAGAAACCGGTGTCTATGTTAATAAGATAGGGTTGGCGAGTGGTAAGTTGTCAGATTTGAGCCAATCGTCAGAGTGAAGTGTGTGTGTGTGTATTCTCCCTGTCTAGAGTGTCCTTGTGCGACCGTGGCCGTTTTGTGCCAGAGGGGGCTGGATCGGGACGGAACAACTAGGTTCCGTTGTCTACCTGTCAAGGTGCCTTTTAGGCGCCGGAAGATCTCCAGTGGGGCAGAGACGCACAGGGCATCTGACCCACCAAGAAGACAGATGACAATCTCTGCACGCAGAGCAGAACAATCAATAGAATCAATCAACATCCGTGTATTCAACATCACGTGCTCTCATCGGACCTCATAGTCGTGGACGTCAGGTACCCTCTTCCTGCATTCTAGAGATAGTCTCGCAGGATGAGACTTGCGTTTCATTCCAATGGCTGCACGATCGGGGACGGCGGATGGAAGATCTCAAATCATTGAGGCTGTGCTTTTCGCTGCGACGCAGCCACGAGACACTGGACCAATACCATCAATGTCGGGACAAACCAGGATTTTGCTGCCTGGTGCGAAGCGATCTGTTACCTTATACCGAGGTGATGTTAATGACGTGTTCTGATCCCGTCAGTTTCCTGCCGAGATGCTTGGGCGATGCCACTTACAGAAAGCTATTTGGCATCAATGCAGCGCTGCGATTGAGAAGCTCCAGTACATACGAATAGGGGAAGCCATGGATTATACATCTGGCGGGCGGCGCAGTCATTGGCATTCGCAGATGAGGACAAGCCATGTTGGTTCTCTTCATGATGTGTTGGCGGTTACCAATCGTTGCCGAAGTAACTTAAAAAAGTGGCCAGTCGGACTTCAGTCACATCGCGCCCATTCTCAGGCCACGATACCTGTATTCAAAACCAGTCGTTCGTATCCGAATCCAAGGCCCCTTCCCCACCAACGCGAAATGGCCACCTCGCGGGGCCTACCGATAGCCCTACGATATATGGCATCTTCACCATCGGATCCCTCATCGCAACCTTCAAACACGGTGTCCGGCATGCCATCATCCTCGGCTGGGGAAGCCTTGTCGCTTTCTGCATCCTGCATATCGTCGCGGGTAGACTCGAGATAGCAGTCTCCGACAGTGTCGCTGCACGAGTGCTCGTTATTGTCGGTCTGGCGCCGCTCACGCTTGTTTTCCTGGGATTGTTACATGAGTGGTAAGATGATCTTACCTTCGTGTGTCCATGTTTTATTTGTTGATGTGATACGCAGTCGTGCGTACCTCTTCCCAGCAAGACGTCGATGGCTCGAGCTCTCGTGGCTTGCAGCTTGCACAATCGCAACATTCACCGCGCTCGTCCTCACGGCCGTGGGTGCCTCCCATGTCTACAAGTCTGATTCCGCGAGCGACCCAGACGCCATGTCAATGAACGTCTCTCTCCTGAAGGCCGGGCTCCTGCTACTGGTTCTGGTCTCAATCTTCATCGTCGGGCTTGCAGCATGGAGTTTCCTGGCTCTACTGCGCACCTCCAGCAAAGCCCGACCTGGAGCCTACTGGGAAGGCAAGCTGTTGCTCTCGGTCGTGCTCTTCCCGAGCCCGCTTCTGGGCATCGTGTTACTCACAAATCTCTCTTACGTCTTCACTGAAGCCAAGGTGGACCCGCTGGACAGGAGCCTGGGTGCGAGGCTTGGGTTGCAGGTTATCGAGGAGCTTGTCCTCGCTCTGACGTTCATCGTCGCTGGCATACTGACGCGGAATGTGGCCAAGTCTCCGAGAAATGCGTAAACTGCGGCTGGGGAACCGCCGCAGTGGTCTCGCGGCGAATGGGGTACTCTGCGAATGGAGGTGGCACTGTAGTTGATTGAACCGATGATTGAACTCATGGATCGTCAGGTCCCTAGTTCATTTCATTACGTTTATGAGTCCATGAATATGGCAATGTTGACAACGGACCGGATGTCGTGACTCGTAGGGTGACTATCTCAGCGTATTGGAGGGATTATAGGTCAGTTGTAACATGTCGATGATCAGTATCTTGGCTGCAGAGCAGTTTATTTTGGTTATACACCTCCATAACCATAACCCCCATGCGCATAGGAGGTAAGATAGCACCTTCGAAATTTGAGTCTCCCCCGTTGCTCCATAGGTCACTGAGCAATGTGAAGCCAGGATTCAGGGCGATAACGGATACCTTGGGGTCTGTAAAGCGTGGACAAAGAAAGAGATTGGTCATGAAGAGAGGCATCCGGTTGCGAGTTCAATTGCGCAAGTGGTGAAACGATTGGTTGGCGATTGGCGAGATGTTAGGTAAATTTTGCAAACGTGTATCAACCGGACTTCCTCAGCCGCCTGGAATACTCCTTCAATCGGTGTGAAGACACAGACACCTCGCTGCCAATAACTTCATCTGTTCGAGCACCGAAATACGAGCAAACAGCCGATAGTGCCGACGATGGCGGTATTCAGCGCCCTGTGATTGCATGGGATCAGTGTTCTGAACTGGCACCAGACATGAATCGTTGAACTTGTCTATCGTAAGTCAGATTAACGCGTACTTACCTAGGCCAACTCCAGCATCGCGGGAAACGACAGCATGATGGTATGGAATAGAAGGTTGGCCAGGATCACGGACCCCATGTCAGAGTCTCGTTGCCGAAGCCAGAGGCAGCACAGAGTGATACCATACGCCAGGTCTATTCCAGCCATCTCCATTGCGCAATTGCCCATTGTAGCCATCGTGCAAGTGCCGCTCCCGACACCCACGTTCTCTAGCTGCGATGGCAAGGAAAGCTTGAGCGCAAAAACGAGGCAACGCGCAATGAGGAAGCTTCCCATTAGCAGGTCAAAAGTGGGAAGAGTGGGAAGGCGGTGCAGCAGCTGCAGTGATGTGTCCATGGTGGCGACTGGTCGATGTCGAGGTGTTGTTGCTGCTATGTTCGAACCAGGTGTTGGCGACTGCGGCAGCTCTATATATCGATATGATTTCTTTGTACACGTTGTACTCAGATGAAAGTCGAACCGCGGTGACGTGGCGCTCTGATACCCGTGTCTTGCCCCATGGCTGAAACAACCTGGCCTGGATAAATGAAAGGCGATCAGTGATCAGCATTACCGAACGTGCTCATCTACAAGTCACATATTGCTGCCAGGCGCAGGGTCTATGACAATTCCAGGTCGACGGCTCAGGCACGACGTCAGCCAGTATCCGTTCGAGAAAGACACACCGAAGCTACCTCGCAACCCGCATACTTGCCTTGACCAATACCAGACTGATAAATTTGCCCTCTAACTTTCCAGGATGGTCGATCCGTTCAGGTTCTTGATACGCCGAATGATCTCTTCAATATCGTTCCAAACCCGCTTCCGATTCCTTAAGCCTCTAAGGCCAGGATCTTCTCGACTAGGCCACAGGCCACTAGCGATTTTCTCGTCCGCCTCTTTTTGGTGTCTGTCCAGCAAGGCTTTCGCCTCCGTGGCGAATTTGACATCCTGACTTTGATGACATTCGCCAAAAACAGAGTCATCAGAGTCAAGAAGAGTGTAGAGGGTATCGGCAAGTTCTTCGTCTTTGATACTCCAAAAATTGCCAGCCAGCTCGTTAGCTAGAACGGTAGAGAAAAGCCTGTTCCAATCGTAACGGCTCACAGGCGGAAATGCGTCCAGCACCTCCCAAAGCCACGGCATTTCGACTTGGATGAGAGATCGAAAGTACGCCTGTGGCAACTGTCGGAAGCAGTGAGATACGAGCCTCATATTTCCAACGTCCTGACGAGAGAGATGAGGCAGCAGTAGCACTCTAATCTCTGGCGAAAGTCTTTCGAAGGGATCTGTATGGTTTCCTCGACCTGGCAGATCGTAGACAACGCCGGTGCCATCTGTATCTGTAGTCCGGCACCTGGACAGCATATCTTGGAGCCCAGGAACTCTGATTTGGTTGGCCAGAAGCCACTCGGTTCCATTCCGACATACCCACCTATGACCATTAACCTCTTTCCCAACGAGAGCTTGACTGAGGGATACCCTACCATTGCCGGGAGCAGCGGTCTAGTACCGTGGGTTCCGCAAAATCTTTGAAGTGGCTGAAGCGGCGCATGTGTTAGGAAGACCCATTAGACATGACTTAGAAGGCAGCTAACTGAGACCGGTAATTGCCTTGTAACTGTGAAGGGGTCAGTTGGGGTCGTTAGAATATCTTGGTAGAGGACATGAACGCACGTCTCTCAGTTCCCATAAGCCGTCCACGTCGACATGGCCCAGTGACCTCAGTGTCTGCCGTTTAAACATTTCAAAACATGCCGGGTGAATCGGAAGGGCCCATCCATCTTCTTCATAACCGGTGTTGTCACATTGCTAATGGATGCACACCACACGCCATATTTGATAGGATTCAGACCAACGACGTCAAATCCGTCCGGCGGACCTGATGAAATGCCGGTGACAAAACAGTGTCTGGCCTTGATCTCGAAATCGTCGTCGCCGGGGCTCCGGAGCCCAGTCTTCGCGCTTGGGATGCAGGCAGAGCATGACGTTGGTGTCGGACACATCGGCGACGGTGGCCCACCAACCGGAATATGCATCAGTGTAGAAGCAATGCTCTCAGCCACATGGTCGGCGGCAACACCATCATACACTTTCCGACAGAGGCCTGCGCGGATGCATGGTTCATTCTCATCATAAATGTTGCGCTCCCCAGCAGAGTTCCAACCTGCCGAGACTGCTTCATCAGGCCTGCGAGCACGAGCGATGTTGAATGATACACCGCTGAAAATGCTGAGCCACAGACGGTAAAGAATGGAAAAAGGGGAGGGCGACTGCTCACCATAGCGGACAGGAACGCTCAGAATAGCGGCGCATCGGTGCCACCAAGAAGATATCGGCTGTGTTCTGGTACGATGGCTTTTTAAGTTTTCTCAGCCGGTTGCACGGGTGGGCAGCACTGCAGCTGCCTGTGTTATCTCAGTGATCAGCCGGAATCTTCAATTGTGATGGCCACTAGCCACATGAGTCACCAAATGAGCCACAAACAAGCCACCACAGCCACAAAAGCCACAGCACCACAGATGTTCCCTACCCCTTGAATGGCTAGCAGCTGGTTTGGGCACTGAGATAAGGCCTACGGACCTCAACCACGACGTCAGCTCTCAGCTGTGGCCCGTGGGGGTTCTCTTCCAATTACAACCCTAAAAGCGTATGGGGCGCCCCAGCCGCGCCGGCCCCTTCAACTTCACACCCCCGACGATTAAAGGCGTCGAGTAACCCTGTTTGTTTGCCGACGTCTCACAGCAGATATCTTATAATGCTGGGCCTTGGTTGGGCACTTTGAATATTCTTCTGCCGAGCCATGGGGAAGCCAGACTTGCAGTTGTGGGAGACGGTCCGACGCGTAGCGGGACTCCCCATCAATGCATGAAAAGTTCGAAAAAGGCACAAGCCAAAGACGACGGATGGGCGAGAAAGGATTGTCCAGGATCTATCCGCGACGTGATCCTGCATCCATTCAAGACCACTGTCTGCGATCTCAGAGCATTTCTATCCCGTCGCGATCAGTCGCAACTCCCGAGTGGCACCTCGCATCAGCTTGATGTTCATGCACAGTGAAGGCGTGTCGACCCAAGACAAGTGTCCTAGTCGCTTCGAAGCCTTTGTGCGACACGTCTAGGCTCCCATTGTTCCGATGCCAGCAGAATGTTCATGGAGATTGAGTTCACGGGTGCCCAGGCACGAGATCCCGTGGGAAGTTCCCCTTTCGTGGATGCAGTTTTGGCTTTGGGATTCTGGCATGCGCAACCTTGCTGCGGAGTGGCCTCTGGAAGCTGCCCAATCGCAGATGTGATCAAGGATACCCCAGCTGCCCAGATCCAAAGAGTCCTTCTGCTGTTAGTGGCCTATCTAAGCGACCGCGCCTGCGGGTTGGCACACGATGTGACTCCTCATCTTATCCGACTTCAAGCACCAACGTATCCACGGAATATATTGTGAACTCCTACTTAAACGATTGACATTTACCAGAAAACTCTGGAAGCTTGATCGTGTGAGACTTGTTCTTCCATGGTTGACCTCTAGTTGGGCACCGACGAGCATCCGGATGTCTCACCCAGGTGCTCTAGTCGTACTGCACTAACACAGCCTATCTTTAGCAGAGACTCCGACGAGAAGAGGTGGGACAAGCCAGGGCCTGACCAGCCAGCATGGCCGCATTCCAGGTTCCTCTTCCAGAGTGCTGCCCAAAGCCTACCCCTCTGGCCCCTCCACTTGGCTCTCTTCAATCTCCGTCTACAAAAAGAGGGAAAAGAAGCTATCACGCCAGCCTCCCGATTATCTGTGCTCAAGACGCGATATCGTTATATGGCGGGACGGTTTAAGTTGTTTTTGGCGCCCGTTTGAACTCCCGGTCTCTTCTTCTCTCCTCCAACCTACGCTCAGACCGACGAGAAGGGCTCGCGGGACCACAGCACTCTCGTGTGTCATTAAACAGCAGTGTCGCACTGAAGTCACACGCAACAAGTGTGTCGATATCGATTGAAAACCTGGAACAGCCTCTCTGCCAACCAGCGAGGATTGTACCAGGCTATCCGGACCAATACCGTCCCTATACGTCTCCAAATCAACAATCCTCTAGGCTCTCTGGGCGGGTCGTTCTGCTTGTGCGTCTTGTGACAGACCAGTCACGAAAGCCACTGGCAATTTCTACGTATCATTCGGCCGATCCCCCTCTGTCGTCATACGTAGCCCACTACTGCGACACTACCTATCACCATTTGGTATTCCAGCTTCCCTGCCTATCATCGTCTTCACCGTTCATTTGAGATTCTGCCAAGTTATCCTCATTATTATCTGTCGGGCGCTCGACATCAGTGCGATTGATTTCGATTCAATTCTATTCCATCTCGAAAGCTGCAGCACTTCAAAATGGCCTATCGACGATCAGACGACGACTTGGCCTACGGCGAGCGATGGGACAGGGATCGATTTGCGCAGGAGACCGATCGTAACCGTCACGGAGCGGACAGAGAGCGCTTCGAGGAACACGATCGCTACTACAGCCGTGGCCCGCCGGTACGTGAGCGACCTCGTGAGTCGTCACTTGACGACCGATTTGAGCCACGAGGGCCGCCTCGTCCGTGGGATGACGAGTTCGTCATACGCGAGAAGAAATACTACGATGAGGGACCACGGCGCTCCCCACCCCCGGAGATGGAACGGCGAGTACTCTACGAGAGAGATAGAGAGCGAGAGTACCGGAACACATCCCCTCCCCGACGGCCCGGGACCCTAGTGCGACGGCAGTCATCCCTCGACACCTTCGATAGGCGGCCTGCGCCAAAGTTCTTCGAAAGAGAGGAATACGGTCCTCCAGCCCGCCGCGCAGACTACCGTCCCGACCCGTACCAACCGATCCCCCTTCCCCGCTCTCGTGCACTTCCACCCCCGAGAATATATGCGGAGCGGGACTTTGACGAGATCAAAATATCCGAGCCCGAGCGTTACGGCGATGAAGAATACCACGCGTATCCCGAGCGCATTCGCGAGAGGGAGATTACGCGGTCGAAGAAACGGCGGGATCGAAGTAGCTCGAGAACCAGCAGAGCGACTACTACAGCGCCGACCACCACGCATCGTGCCAGCACTGTTCGAAGCAGCTCACGATCCTCTACAACCACCAGTAGTTCGAGCAGCTCCAGCAGCAGCGGGGGCACCGTTGTAACTGTCAAGAGCGAATACCCCAAGAAGGGAAAGACCAGAATCCCAGCCAAACTCGTGTCCAAGCGGGCAATTATCGACACAGGGTACCCCTTCGTCGAAGAGGTACGTCACGCGCTGGTGCTAGCGCTCGTCTATTACATCATACTAACAGGTGCAGGGCAACACTATCATCGTTCAAAAGGCCCTCGGCCAGCAGAACATCGACGACCTGCTCAAGCTGAGCGAAGACTACAAGAAGTCTGAACTCGAAGTCGCTGCCGCCCGCTCAGTCCCTGGTGCTGTCATCGAGGAACGCAAGGAAGAGGTGGTGTATACAATTCCACCGCCTCCGCCAGCACCCCCGACAGTTATCCACGCCCCTCCTCCACCACCGCCGCCGCCCGCCCAGCCCGTCATGGAGGTTGTCAAGGAGACCATCGTACGGGATGCTTCGCCTGTCCGCAGCCACCGCAGCTATTCCACCTCCAGCTACTCCACCTCCACGAGTGGGCGGACACCCCTCATCATCGAGACCAACCCGAGGGAGTACAGCGACGAGATGGCACTCGGTCCCCTGGCCCTGGTGGGAGACCGTCGCCGCTCCGACAAGGAGATCAAGATGGAGATCGCGCGTCTCGAGGCCGAGCGGGACCTCATGCGCAGTGACCGCCACCGCCACCACCATCACCACTCCCACTCCTCGCGCTCCCGCCACCGCTCGCACAGCCACAGCACCGAGCGCGAGATGGTCCGGGCCGAGCGCCTGCCGACGGGCGAACTGGTCCTCTACGAGGAGCAGGTCGAGAAGATCGAGGAGCCGCGGCGCGGGGTGCGCATCGAGAAGGACAAGAAAGGTAGGATGTCCATCAGCGTGCCGAAATCGAAGCATCGATAGGTGAAGGTGCGCCTTTTTGATCATGTCGCCTCGTCGCGATGCAACCCTTTGCCCGACGAACTGCCCTGCTGACTTGTGTTTTTGTAGGTCCACCACCTGGTCTTGTGAGGGCTATGCTCGCCACCCTCACCTGATCGGCGTCCAGAAATTGCTGCTTTCTGGCGTTTGGGACATGGGAGTTTGCTGCATCACTTGGAATTCGCAGTACGCACCGCGATATCATCAACACATTTTCGCTCGCATATATGAGAGTTGTATGAGGTGCGAACCTTGTGATAGTGGTATATGGACTTGGATCTTCCACGGCATGGTTTCTTGGGAGGGATATAGAGACGGCTCGGACAGCAGCTCTGTTTTGGATACGAATCCATATAGGCTCCAAGGCTAGTGTGCATGGTCATTGGTGTCTCTTTCTCCCTGTTCCAGGGTTGGCCTACCCGGTAGTGTCGATGGATGTCCGAGAGTTGCTTGGTAGTGTGTATGGAGATTGGAGGTGTAGCGAGGGATCACGACATCATGACTTTTTCGATTCTCATAGGCCAGACTATATAATCATTCTTCGAACATCCGTGGCGGGGTTACGTGTGATCGTATTGTTTGATGCAGCGGCAAGTTTTCAGGGGCAAATGTTCTTCCCTCCCCTTTTACTCTTGTGTACATATAGAAGCGCTTGATTTGAAGCAATTTTAGCAATTTTAGCAATTACGCACGCCGGTCGTCGAGGAATTTACCTCTGTAAGCATGACTGGCTGTCAGAGTTCGACTGCCTGTGACCCCATAATGACTTCCGTTGTTGTGCGTGAAGAGAAGCAGGAAATATGAAGTTAGCTAGAAGACAGGGTCGTGTATATATAGGGGTTGATCCTGTGCGGCTACCTAGTGCCTGCCATGACACCGGTCACGTAGGCATCCTGGGTGGTATAGGTTGCCCGGTCCTCCAAGGATGTGGCAGATGGAAAAAAGCAAGCCTATCGGGGTTATCTTTCTCGGTTTCCTCCTCCTGGGAGAACGAACGGATTAGGCACAGAGTCATGAAAGGAGTAGACATGGAGTCAGTATCATCGTTTGTCTGAACTGGAGCAAGGGAGCTGTTCCTTATATGGGGAGCTACGCAGGGACAGTCAGAGCTATGCAGGGACAATCCCCTGTGCCTGGTCACATATACACACCTTGCAACACTCAGGGTATGATCTTAGTTTTACTTACTAAATGCAGCCCTAGATACCGTGGATAGCAAGACGTAATGTCGAGGAAAGAACGCAAGACATGGAATTAGGAAAACAACTAAACGAAAGAACGGCTAATCGAAAATTCCAGAAAATCAGCCATAATAAAAACTCCAGGAAATCAGCGATAACCAACTCCAGCGCTGCATGAGGCTGGTCTGATATTGTATCGACGCTCTCGCATCCAAGGCTGAAAGAAAGAAGAAAACCAAAAGGATACTTCAAGGAAAATAACTAAAAAAAAAAAAAAAAAAAAAAAAAGCAAAGTCCAATGTCATTCCGACAATGCGAGCTCGAGAGATTCGGCCGCCGTCACTGGGTACGTCTAGAACGTGACCTTCGCAAATCGCATCGTCCTTTTACCTCCGGAACAGTCAAGCCACTGGAAAGGATAACCCGTGGGATGGGGTACTTTCCGCCGAGCTTCATCTGCGTCTCCCGGTATCTCCTGCTCCCCGTCCAGATACCGGAGCCACCATTGAAGCCTGGGATCATTTGCATCAAGCTCCGAATTCTCCTGTCGCTGGACATTTTCGAGCTTCTCGAAGACCTCCCATATCAGACAGACGGTCCTCTTTTCCTTGCTGCCCCGCAACCATGTTGAAGATGCAATTTCCCATCGCTCTCCTCTCTTTTCGAATTTCACCTCTTTTAACTGGGATGGCTGTAGGTCTGGCTTCCATGGCTGGAGTAGGATCCGGCATTCCTTAAACTCGCTATCCCAGGCCGCGAGATACCCGAACGCATCCCAGTAGAATCTATCCCTGGCCGCAGGTTCCCTTTCTAGAGACTCAATGTTGTATCTCCCGAGATCTGGAGTGTCCTGATCACGTGGGGGACCAGGGATGTATCTGCGTTTTCTCAGTACCCTCATTGTATCGTCGACCGAGAACATGGCCACCTCCATCACCTTAAAATCATTGAACTCCTGCTTATAAGTCAAGTCGAGCCGCCGGTGGTAGCTCTTGGTCAGGTAGTTCTTGAGGTACGGAATATCTACCCACGAGTCGGAATCGTCTCCGGTTCGACCCCACGACCCCACGACGCCATTATGAACAAAACAAGTAGTGGACAATATGGTTAGAGTGACGGTGCAGAACGAGGATGCTAGAGAATGCGGAAAGACTCTCATTTCTAATACGTTATGAAGGCAGACTTCATAGAAGGCCAAGGTATGGATGTCGTTTCAAGACAAAGGGAAATTATCACCTAACTTGTGACCCCGACAGCATCAGGTGCTGTCTCTGTTGCAAGTTGGCACTTGGAAATATGGACCTGAACTCCCATATGGTTAGAAAGACAAAGACAATCTCGAAGACTAGATGACCAATTTGACAATGAAATGAAGTGACAGATCTTCACAGAAGCCCATGGAGGTGTTTCCATGTGTTGCATCTGGACCCGTGGGAGTGGGACAGCATAATAAACGAGTCGGACACAGCCTCATAAAAACAACTATTTTTCTTGGCGCCCCGCTGTTAGGGCGCAACCTTGATATTTGCACTAAAGCAGGTACTTCTTTCAGTAACTGACTATCTCTGCCAAGGCACAAGAGAATTTTCTCACAAGCCGGATGGCACCCTTCCACGACGGGCCCCTAAACACGCCCGTGGCCGTCCCAAAGACGACCACCAGCGGCGTGCTCAAATCCCCGGCCCCCAGAAAGACATACGGCCCGGCAACTCCGAACAGGCTCCACCAGGCGCTGCTTGACGACATCAGCAGCAGCCCGTCACAGGTCTCTGAGGCTGACTTCACCGTTATTTCCCCTCTGAAAGGAAAATCCTGAAATATTAATGACAGCAGCACCACTGGAATGAAACAACCTCAATTGAACGAAATCTCGACAGACCAAGCCATTACACGCAATATAGAGAATAAAACCTCCTCTTCAGAGTGCCAGGACCAAGTTGCCAGAATACTGGCTAAAGACAAGCACCTTTATGAAGCCAGGATAACAATATTTCAAGAGTGTGCTGCAATGGTTGATAAGACACTTGAGAAAATTAGAACCGAACTATACTCTCATGCCAAAGAGTTTAGCGCTTTCTTCTCTAAATGTCTGAGCGAGTGGCTGGAAACCCGAGATCTGTCCAAAAAGAAGACCATCCCTGGGGGGATAGGGATGGTAAAGCCCACCATGACCTTTGCCCAAGCTGTCTCCTCTAGCCAACGACAGCATCCACAGACAGTCAACACTACCATAAAGAAAATACAGCCTGGTGCCGGCATCACTATTAACCAACTGAAGAAGAAGCAGGATGATCTCCGGATCTTTGTCCGCATGGATAATAACCACTTAGAGCCTTACAGAATAAAGTCTATACTGAACAGAAGACTTAAGCTCCACCCTCAAGAGCTTAAAGAAGTGACCTGGTGCCCCTCTGGATTTACCTTACACCCAAGGGACAAGCCAACTCAGGCTAAGCTCCTGGCCTTCCAAGAAGAAATCACTGATATTCTTAAGGCAGAAAAGATCGAGACCCATACGGTCTGGCATCACTATAAGGTCGATGGATGCCCAAGAAAGGTCATCAGTGCGGAAGGATTGACAATCGACATTACCGACATTGCTGTTACTGATGAAATTAAAGCCCAAACAGGTGACAGACCTTTAAGGTGCATACTCTCAAAGAACACAGTTGATTCTGATCTGGAGACCACATGGGTGATCTCTCTGCCCCGTGTAGCAAAGAAACCATTCACGCTTTTTGCTCACTCAATGACCTCAAGGCACATTCAATACTCGCCCAAGGTTCACCAATGTGCGAGCTGTTTCAGATACCATGGGAGGAACTACCGATGTGAAAAGCAAGTATGTGCACGTTGCGCCAGTACAGTACACCAGGGGGAGTGCGAAAAACCAATCCCAAAGTGTGTCAACTGCAAAGGACCTCATGCTGCCAACTTTGACAAATGCCCTGCACGCCTCAAGGTTGTGAAAGGCATCATCCACAAGCACACATGGGAGCAAATCCAGGAAATAAGGCTGGCTGGAGAAAGAGCCAGATTCAAGGCCTTCAATGAAGCAGGCAGAAACCAAGCTGGGTCAACACCTAACAACAATAACAAAGACATCACAATGCAAATCGATACAACAGATACAACTCATCCCAGAGATGCCGATACCATTGTTGTCAATCAATATTAAGTACATCAAACGAAACACATCGATACGGGCATCTAGTCATCCATTCTGTGAATACAGCAGGAGGACAAAAGAGTGCAGGCCCTACAGAGTTAGCCATCAACCTGGCTGACTACAAAGGAGAACAAGCAGACATCATTCTGATGTAAGAGCCCTAAGTTGGCATACCACCAGGCAGGAGAATGGGAGTAAAGACACACCCTAACTACGATATATACTCCCCAGTGGATTCCTGGGATAGTGACAGTACACGGCCCAGATCTCTCATCTATATGAGAAAATACCTTTAAGCGGATCAATTTCGGCCCTATGCTACACGAGACATCACCTGGGTCAAGGTACAAGGCATCACATTTGCCAGTGTCTACCGGCCATATGACAACCCACAGGAAGTGGATGATATTCTGGAAGTATGGACTCCACCTTTTGGCTGCGTTACAGCTGGAGATTTCAATGCTGGCGATACATCCTGGGACTCGAGCAATCCAGGATATCATGGTGGTGTCATACTTGCACAGACTATGGCAGACCACGGACTGGATCTGATTTCTGAACCAGATGTCCCAACACATGATGACAGAAATGTACTAGATCTGGTGTTCTCAGATGTCCCCATAGCCGAAGCCTCAGTGAATGATGCACTCCAGTACACTTCAGATCATGAAATATTACGAATAATTGTCCCAATTCAGAGAGATCTAGACCGAGTCCCTAAAGCCAATCATTGGATAGTACCGGACGATAAACTATAAGAGCTGACAGACAATGTCCAAACCAGGATTCATGAACTCCCCCGGCTGGGTGTATCCCCTGGCCAGGTGGATACCTTTACACAAAGCTTGATCAATATGATTCAAGGCTGTATCAGGACAGTGGGCAAGAAGCCCCGTCAATCTAGGCCCACTGCTTGGTGGAATGATGACTGTAAAGCAGCTATTCAGACATACAGGGCCCTTTCTAAACAGACTATAAGCCAAGCAGGGCGGAATTCAGCCCAACGGGAATTTTGCCGCGTGGTTCGGAAAGTTAGGAGAGAGTACTGACAGACTCTAATTGATTCAGCAACTGAGCTAAAGGACCTATACAGAATTGTCTCTTGGCACAAGCTATCAGCAGGATTGCGTTCCCCTCCAATCATCATAGGAGACCAAATATTTGAGTCACAAGAGAGCAAGGCAAATGCATTACGCTCAACCACGCTTGAACGAAGTACCTCAGACAACGATATCATCGACCCCTGGTCCGCTCAGATCACACAACCCAAGCCATATATCCCCCTTGAATACCATGTCGGACTGGAAGAGGCTGAAGGGTGCACTTTAGGGACCAAGAGCAACTCCCCGGGAATAGATACCCTCACAGTACGGATTCTGAAAGCTTGCTGGCCATTCATTAGGGAACATATCAGAGCCCTTTTCCAGACCTGTCTATAGATTAGACACCACCCTAAACCATTCAAAGTAGCTGAGGTGGTAATGATCCCAAAACCAGGAAAGAAAGACTACTCTAATCCCAGGGCCTACAGACCAATATCGCTACTGTCGTGTCTTGACAAAGGCCTAGAACGACTCATCACAAAAAGAATTACCTGGTTTATTGTCAAACTTGGAATTCTAGCTCCATAATATTTTGGAGCTCTACCAAAGCGCTCTGCCACTGACCTGGTAGCTGCACTCATACACGATATTGAGCAGGCCCTTGACCAAGGCCTCGTTGCAACAGTAGTCACGTCAGATATGAAAGGGGCCTTTGATGCTGCCCTAATGAGACTGCTGGTGGTTCGCATAAGAGAACAGGACTGGCCGGGTTTTCTCATAAGATGGGTCCAGTCATTCATGTCCGAGCGGTCCGCAAGGGTTCGGTTTAAAGGTATTGTGACCGATATTAAGCTCTTACTTGTGGGCTACCACAAGGCTCACCAGCCTCTCCAATCCTTTACATGCTGTATACAGAGCCAATCTGTGCCCAACTTGGTATGAAAAAGAGACGCTTTGGATATACAGACAACCTAGCGACTCTCTGCATTGGAAAGAACCTTGAGGAAATAGCTACAGAGGCTTCTGAAAATCTTTACTTACTTAGTTAATGGGGACATAACAACGCTATTGAATTTGACCCTGACAAAACTGAGATTATGCACTTCTCAAGGAAAAAGAACTCAAACAACCCTCCAGTCCGCCACGGGACAATGAACAAAATAACAAAGGACTCCATGCGATGGCTGGGTGTCTTCCTGGATAGAAAACTAAACTTCAAAGATCACGTTTCCTATTGGGCCAAGAAAACTAATAAGGTAGCAAATCACATTTAAGGACTATGCAACACAGTCAAAAGACTTCCAATAAAGTCAACCAAGAGGGCTGTGAAAGCTTGTGTTATTCTTATTCTTACATACGGCCTGGAAGCCTGGTACCCAGGAATCAAGAAAGTAGGGAGCTTAGGTGGGACATTAGCATATCGCATTAAGGGGCTTCTTGGAACGATAGATGCCGTACTACAAACAGCGATCAGGGCTATCTTGCCAGTCTGGAAAACACATCCTGGACATATCCTATACTTTGAATCGCAGATTCCCCCAGCAGGAGTTCTTGCAGAGTCAATAAGACGACGTCACGGCCTCCGACTAGGACGAATAGACCAGAGACACCCTCTTGTTGGCAGGCTCCAAATACAAGCTCGCAAGAATCCAACAAGGCTACAAAGGAGCTTCCAGCTAGTCCCTGACTTCTAGAGACCAACACTTACCAGGCCATATGGAAGAAGCCCCCAATCCACAAAGACAAAAACAAAAAAACAGAGCTCTTTAAGCAATGGCTACAGGAGAGAAACGTGAACACTGATCTTGTCATCTATTCAGATGGATCACAGTTGGACGACCAAGGACCAAGGCACAACCCGCACTGGATGGGGTTATACCATCAGGAAAGGCGGCACTACACAAGAAATATACCGGGGAAAGGGCAGACTTCTCCAAGCAGAAGTAATAGATGCTGAAGTCCATGGTGCTCTCCAAGGTCTTGCAGTAGCCAGGGCAATTGGACACGGAAAACAGCTATATGTCTGCCTGGACAACACGTCAGTGGTAGATGGGCTCAATGGGACTCCACCCGAGACATCACAGAACATTTTTCTACGATTTCAAGAACTTGCCACAGCACACACTCCTGGAGTGACCGTCAAGTGGATTCCTGGACACAGAGATATTGATGGCAACGAAGCTGCCAACACACTAGCAAAAGAGGGTGCCATGCTAGAAACAGACACGACAAACCTTCCCATAATCTCTTGGGTCAAGAAAGATCTCAAAAGAAAGGGCAAGAAAAAGTTTAACCAATAATAAAAAGACCAATCAGAACCTAGGTATCAAGAAGTATACTCACATGCAGTAACTGAAAGAGACCTTATATCTTTTAAGAGGAGTACTTTACACAGACTTCTAGCGGCCAGATCTGGACATGGCGACTTTGCCAGCTACCATGAACGCTTTGGGCACACAGACTCGAATGATCACTGCAACTGTGGTGAGAAAAAAACACCACAACACATTTTCTTTTGTAAGAGGCTGGGGAAAAATCGGCTACTGCCTAGGCATTCGCTTAGGGCAGCTTGTTTACAATACTTAGGGGAGAGGAGCATAGAATGGGCAAAATTCGTAGAGAAGAGCAAGTTCTTTTCAATAATCTGCCCCTGATAGATAGCTTTTCCTGAAGGACCAGATAGATGACCCCAAGGTCATACCGCCGCAACAACGGGGATGGGCCCGTGAGCGGGACTGACTGTACTTATTATCTTGAGACCTCCACAACCCTGCGATACAGAGGCTCTGGGAGGCGTGGTTTGCACTACTGAGGAGCTACCCCCCACGTTAAATACAATCAATTAATCAATCAATCAATAAACGAGTCATCCTAAATCAATAACAAGGGTGTTATATTGCACATGAAATGTTCCATAAGTCAAGCGATAATTTCGCTTTGTCTGGGTGCTCATGGTTGGAATGTTCCTTGACAGATGTTGGTACCTTTGCCGTAGCCGAGACGCCGGAGCCACGACCAACACCAACATCAATCCGGCCAATGGAATGTGTGCACCCCAAAACATCAACTGCGGGCCATCTAGCGAAACAGCCAACCGACTGTCGTTGGCAGGCCGGAGCAAGTCCACTACCCAGTAACCCCAGCGGCGTTGGATGCTCATTCCGTCCTCGGAGTGTCCCAGGCTCGGCCCCGACTTCAAACGCCCCAGTCACCGTATCTTCAATTATCAAGGTCTATTCCGACTAGCTACCCATTCCAAGCCACCGACAGATAGTCTTGTCTAGACCGTGCCCGCGCTGACTCGTCTCTACCGCCCTTCAGAGATTCCAAGTACAGCATAAACTCGGCCACCCGCTCAACAGCTGACTTTACATGGTGCCGTTTCACCGATACAATGCTGGACTGGGTTGGCTGATCATGTACACCATTGCTAGCCGCAACACGTTCCTCAGACCGCTGCTGTACTTCAGCCGAGGCGACAGCGTTCTGAAGGAGGTTGCGAATCTGGCGGCCATTGAGCCTCGAGCAGTTCTCCAGTAAGTACTTCGTGGCTGCCTTGTCGACTTCGATCGTGCCAGTCTCTTTGAACTTCCTTACGAACTTGTTCACGATCTTGGCTTTCGTTTCAGGGGAAAGGGGCTTGAAGGCGATGGGGCACGTGATCCTCGAGATGAAGGAGTCATCGATGTGACCCGGCCTGTTTGTCGTCAGGAACAGTACGCCTTTGTAGTACTCCAACGATCGGAGAAACACTGTTGCTAGACTGTTTCGCGTCGAGTCGCCGTCGCGTCTTTGCTCAAGGAAGAGGTCGGCTTCGTCGATCAGAAGGATTGCGTCCCATTTGGCAGCGACGGTAAACCATCTCCGAAGCTGTGTTTCAACATCCTGTCTCACCATCCCAACATCCTGCGCTGTCAGGCTGATCAATCTACAGTTTGAGTCAGTAATGCCATTCGGGGAGAAATTATAGGGCTTTCGGGAGCAGGGAGGTTATCTGACTTACGGTCGGCGAGTGTCGTTGGCGACACATTCCACGGTCAGTGTTTTACCTGTGCCAGGTGGCCCATACAATAAGAAAATCTTCCCTTCTCCCTTTCCTGGAACGAAGTCGGAGCTCACACTGATGGCTTGCTGCCCCATCGGGAGAACCGTACGTAGAGCATCTCTGTCACCATCAGACATCAATACCAGTTCCGTGTCTAACTGATTGGGCGAAAACTTTGGAGGCGAATCGCTGATGTTGTCAACCTCGAAAACAATCCAGCTCTTCGTTTTCAGGCCAAGTCCTTGTATTCTTCTGGGAAGAAGCACATAGACCTCGTCTATTCTCTCAAACTTCTGGCTGTTGGAGGGTGAGAAGTTGAGAAAGTCGCGGAACTTCCTGCCTCCGTCCCCGTCGGCAATCGGAAAATGTCGATAGGTAACGTACCTATATGGGAGTCGATCGTCATATGCATACTGGTAGTATGAAATCGGGTCAACAATCACTTGGCCGTGGTATCCCTTCAAGGTATCATTATAATCTCAATGTGCCACGGGCTCACGTAGAAGGGAGAGGTACTTCCGTCCCCGTTCTTCCAGACGTTTGCGGAGGGCGCCGTGGTCGAGCCTATCGTGGAGACTTGTAGGAATGACCTCGAGCCCCTTTATCGGCCTATGACCGTCGAATCGGAACATTATAGCTTGACGTCCCATACGTTGAAAGGCTGTTCCATCATGTTGAACGTTCCAAAGCTCCACCAGAATCCGATCGATCTTTTCGTCCCACTCCGCTATTCCAGAAGTCTCTTTTGTGCGGTATTGCCAAGATGACACCACACATGCCGTCATCTCGTTGTCGTCCGGGGGGTCGTCGTCCGACCTCCGCATCCCATCATTGTCTTTCCTTTTACTTCTGTTCCGAATTGAATCGGAAAACGTGGACTCTTGGACGTATACATATGTACCAGGTTTTAGGAGAAGCCAGAGGGACTCGTAATTGATACGTGGCTCCTCATCAAGGTATATGGAAGAAAGGGTCGGCACAGCTTTCGACCTGTACATCGGAGCTAGAAGGCGAAGCAGAACAGCAAGTTCGTAGGCTGTAGTCGCATCGCATGGCTCCTTGTCGACATCCAGAGATCCGAAGTCCAATTGTTGTTGCATGGCCCCATCAAACTTCTCGTCGCCACAGTTACCTATATCCAGCCTCGCGACAGCCTGGCTATCCTCGAGCGCTCCATTCTCGTACGTATTGAAATATGCCTTCAACTCGGCATAGTAATACATCAGCTCCACAAAGGTGTCTTCCAAGCTTGCTTCGTAATGGTCGTAAGAGCCAAGATGCAGTGGGTAGTAATCCAGGAGTGATTCCATTATTCGCGTGAGCCTTTTGGAACAAAGAGTGATCTCCGGCCAGTAACTGAATAGGAGATGCGCATCTTTCCTGAAATCAAAGTCCGCGGGCTCGGTCCTCCATGTAGCAGGCGTGTTCTCTGTCTTTCGTGTCCTGTCCTTGACTTCAGCTGGGACAGTGTAGATTAAAACGGATTTAGTTTCAAGGTCGTCGTCCGCATCAGAGCCTGACAAGCCATCGTTGATGCCCTTCCATTGGTGGTCTTTGTAGAAATTGCGTTCTGTCTGCCCCTTCTCTCTAAGTTTCAGGGCGTATAAAATGTCTGGACGCTCATGGATCTCGTGTGTTGAAGTTTCTGCTGCCTCAGCCGGTGCTGACCTGCCAACATCATCTGACTGTCTTTCATTTTGACGTTCGGATATACTGGTGGCGATGCCATCGGTAGACTTCGTTCCTGACTCGTATTGATTTGACGAAGGTTCAATGCTTTGTTCTTCCTCGTCGCCAAGTGATTCGGAATCAGTGAGCGCTGAGCCGTGCGGTGCTGTTTCAAACGTCAATTCCGATAATGGAAGCAAACGTTCTGCCTCCGCCGGAGAACAAACCTTGTCTACCATTATGGTGGCCAAGGCGGCCGCGATTCTGTGTCACTCTCGTGCCATTGTTCTGGCGTGGGCCGTGACTCTTCCCGAAACTCTGCATCGCTGAGAAGAATGCCAGTTCAGCACGGGCAGTAGACGAATTCAGTGAATGAGAAAACTCGGTATCATTTGAGACAGACGATCCAAGAACACATGAACTTCTTGATGTTGAGCGAACTCGACGTTTCGAGGGAGGGAGGACGGTGTTCCAGTACGATGAGGTCGCGAAATGCAGGTGAGGGGGCGAAGCACAGAAACGCCTTACGGGTTGCCTCGCGCTGCCAGGCTGACGTGCCACGAAGCTCTGGGAAGCACATCTGCCTTGGGCTAAGCCTCCAATTCGGCTGCTCAGCCTGCAACTTCACACGAGTATTGACCGACACGTATGTGCTTGTGAATGGGTGGAATTTTAGCCCCCAACCAACAAGCAGCAGGCTTGCATTCTGCATATGTGACTAAGCCACCCCTATATGTGCGACGCTCAGCCCCACCAAAGCATCACGAGGATCGGTCTTTTCCGTCTGGAGCCCTCAGTCTGAAGAAGGCGTGATCGATATCCACCAACCACTCCTGGCTGCTCTACCCGCCATCAGCGAGACTCGAATAAGACTGATCTGCTAATGCACCATTCAGGAAATTGTCTTATGTATCCTCAATTCGGAGACTCCCGACTCGGAGTACTCGACCTCTCCAGCACGAGGAAACTATGGCAGAGCTGGTGCTCGGCATAGCCGGGGTTGTTCTGGCTTGGAAGGGTATCATGGATTTCGGAGAGCTCATACTCAAGCTCACGGACAACGACACAAGACGTAGAGAAGGACTGTCACTCAGACTCGAAGTATCGCAGTACATGCTCAAGGACTGGGGTGACTATTGGGGCGTGGATAAAGACGATGGGGGTTTTCACCGTTTTGAGCCAGCCAGAAAAGAGCTCATTTTCAAGATCATCTTCAGGCTTCACGAGTCTCGACTGAAAGCACTGAAGGTGCTGAGGAAACGCTACAACTTGCCCATCAAGGATGACGAGGATGATGGTACCGGTGCCGCCAATCGGTTGTCCAGGATGGTGGATCGAGTGAAGGGCTCCTCGAAGACATTGAAGGATAAAGGGGTCTGGCTGGCCCACGACCAGTCAGAGATCATTGATTTGGTTAACGAGACGATGGAGCTACACGAGAACCTACAATATCTGACCTACGGCTCCCACAAGTTCATCCGCGATACAGCATCGGAGATACAAGCTCCTGTTGTCATTGATGTGGGCATGGAAAACATGATGGACCACAAGGACGTACCGCCGAGTCCGAGATCAGCAGTTGCACTGGTTCCACCTATATCCCCAGAACCTACGCTCGACGAGCAAACTCTGGCAAGCTATGCCACGAAATCTATCGCATCGACTTCCAAGGCTGGACGCATCCAGTACCATATCGACAGAGCCTTTCACTTTTATGGTGACGATCGCATTATAGAGGCAGTATGCACCTGGTGGAACGACGACGAGCCAGGGGTGCTAGTGATTGAAGCTCCCGACGACGGTGACGACGAAACATCAGTACTTACCTGCGTAGTGGTGTACTACGTAGCTTCTTGTCAAAGGCTCATCTACAGCTTCAGCCCTGACTCCCGAGAGAATGCGGATGTGCAGTTTGTGGAGATGCTGCGGACTCTCATACTGAGCATGTTGACGATGGGGGGCAGCCAGCAATTCAACGAACTCCCCTTACCATCCGATATGCTCATCATGGAGAACACGGAACTGAACGTCGCTACGATAAAGCAACTTATTGGGTTGTTCCACCAGGTTTTGAATGCGCTCGTAACTGGGCAGGACCGCCGTGTTCTGCTAGTCATTGACGGTCTGGAACGTGTTGGGGCGGGCAACCTATCATCTTTGGTCAGATCATTCGTCGATGGCCTTCGACCCAGCTGCATTAGCAACGAAGCGAGCCATCTCAAGGCCACAGTCAAAATACTACTGGGCTTCAGGGGCCACGCCTTGGTTCTATACGGGTCCGTTGGGGACCAAGACTTAGTGGACCTCACAGATTGCCCAACCCAGACGACCAACATAATGCACGAGCTGGCCGTAGGCATGCATAAGCGAAATTGAGGTTCAAGATAGACGGAGGAGGGATATGGCTTAGGCAGAAGTCGATCAAATGCCACACATGTTACAAGAGTCAAGTATCTGCCTGGTCAACTTTGAAATATCTCCTTCTTCCAGCCGGTGCGCTCAACAAGCTTTATCTGGCTGACTCGCAGATGGATCCTTGCTCATAAGAGTCTCGCTGCTCGTTTACCCTCACTACAAGACGCGCAACGAGGTGGCCACTGTGGCCTGGCTACTTGACAACACATCAGTCCCGGTCCTACATGTCATTGCGCTTGACGACAGCAACGACAGCGAGATTTCGTTCGAGTGATGTTCATGGAGCTCATGTCTGGCTCACCAGCCCATCAGAGCTGGCAAACCAGTCTTTCACTTAGGAGGTCAAGAAGAATCTGCCCTGAAGAGTGCAGGAACCTTGTCTTCGGCGTCGACATGACTTTGCGAAAACCTGTGTGGACTCAATCGACCCAGCCAACGTATGGGAGATTTGCTTCTGGTCCCGCCCCCTGAGCTCAGAATCGATCAACCACAAGAGGCCACCATTTGCTCAAAGCCGTTGCCGATGAAATAGGTCAAATCATTTATTCGAGTAGCGAGAATAGGTAGCAAGCAACATACAGGCAGAGTGTCTCTGGCAGAGCGGAAGAATCATCGTTCAGTACGGAAACTCCTCTTCGACAAGGCCTTCGCTCAACTTCCATAACCGCTCAGCCTCGATTTTGCTTGTCGCCCACGGCTTTACTGTCTGAACTAGTGGATCAACCACTTGAGAATCTTCAAGATAGGCACCGTTGTGATCTGGAGGTCAGAACAGAAGACAGCTGGGGTCGGCGAAGTGCCTGTTGAAACCGAGAGGGACGGATAATGAGGATAATGAGGATATATAAAGATAGAAAAGACGTACCCTTGAGCGCTGGGTCAAAGGCCGCGTAGACGTGCGTGGCGACACCTTCGTCCGAAGTCTTCCACTTAAACTCGGCCCATCCTTCCCTGTTGCCCAGGCCACGATCTACAGCTTCTACATGGAGGAAGGATAACGGTTAGCACGGGATTTTAACTGGCGCTTGGAGCTTGGAGCAATGCTTACGCATGCTGGGACCACCTTCCTCCCAATCAATATGGGCACCAAGATTGGTGCCGATGACGCCAGGGTGTAGGCTATACGTCAACAGTCCGCGACCTCCCAGCTTCTCGGCGAGCGCCAGAGTGAAAAGCATGTTCGCCGTCTTGGACTGGCCATACGCCTGCCATTTGTTGTAGGTCTTTCCGCTCTGAGAAACACCACAGTCAGCTTTCTTACCTTTGCCAGATGTCCAGCGGCCGGTGGCAAGGACTCACATCGAAACCGTAGTCATACCAACGTATGGGGCTGAGGCGGTGGCCGTCGCTGCTTACGTTGACGACGCGGGGGGACTTGGAGGCGAGCACCTTGTCGATGATCAGGTTGGTGAACAGGAAGGGGCCGAGGTGGTTGGTGGCGAACTGGCTCTCGAAGCCATCGGGCGACAGACTGTAGTCGACGGCCATGATGCCTGCATTGTTGACGAGGACGTCGATGCAGGGCACGTCGTCCCAGAGCCGGACGGCGTCGGCGGCTCGACGCACGGCGGCCAGCGACCCGAGATCCAGTTCGAGGAGGCGCGTCTCGACGCCAGCGTTCGCGGCCTCAATGGCTTCAGCAGTCTGGCCTGCTTTGGTTGGATTGCGGCTGGCTAGAATGATCAGGGCTGGGCCGGCCTTGGCGATGGCTTCGGCGAAGAGGGCGCCGAGGCCCTTGGGAGAAACACCCGTCATGAGGACAACCTTGCCCCTGATATCGGACTCGAGCTCTGCCACGAGCTCAGTCGCAGTAGTCTTGGCGTCGTGTACTGGGGCCATGTTTCTGACGTGTGGAAGGACGAAGTGGCAGCAGACCTTGACGGTGGTGAAGCAGGCTGTGGTGGGCGAGCGAAGGACTAAATACCTGGGCTTCGGTCCTTCGGATGGCCAGAAGAAGGGAGGCGGGCTGGGCTGTCCAATTGCAATGCAGGCAGCGGGATGCAGACGAGAATCTGTCGCAGTTCGACTGCTGGTGACTCCAGAAATGACTTTGTTGATGTGACAATCAGGCCTGCAGCTGCGCTGGTCAGGGCTGATGGGATGAAATATCTAGATTCAACGATATCTAAGGAAGAAGAGGCAAGGTCGGAAGAGAAAGGGGAAGCTAGAGGTATATATGTACATAAATATGTGGAGGTATTATGTAATACCGTAACAGTTGATGTACGGGAAGAAGCGAGGAAACTATGAAGCTAGCTAGGTGACATGATCAGGTATATATCGTGGTTAGCTTCTGGAGCTGTGGTGCTGTCATCTAGTGCCCTGACAAATGCCGACGAGAATGCAGAGGGCGTACAGTAATCCCGGCAAGGCGTTAGGCTATAGCATAACGTTACCTCCTTTTTGGACCTAAGCGATACCTCCGTACATGCACAGGTGCTGTGTCACCTGTGCTGTCGCTGAGGCCTAAAATTCTTAGAAACGAAATCTTATTACACTGACCCTCCAAAAGTCTCCGAGCATCCACCACGCTAGTTTCAAAACGCGTCTATGCGCTCGCGACCCCCTTCCTTCTTCACCTTTTATTTACTCAATACCAAAACGATGGATTTACAAAAGGTTGGTACAATCCTGACCGCAAATTGCGGGCCAAACCAGGAATTTATTTCTGAAGCTTGTGCAGCTATTGTGGCTGCCAGGGCGGCAGGCGCAAGGCGCGACAAAGTCACGAGCGCGTTCCATCTGGATCGGCCTCAAACTATGACTAATATTATCAATACTATTAGAGAGCATAACACCACGGTCTCTCGACCTCGAGAGAGAACCACAAGGACTCTAAACAAGGGCGAAGAAGCTCAGTTAATTAAAATGGCACAAAAATACCCCATAATTACCTACAAAGAGCTCAAAAAGGAGAACAGGGTCCTCAGCTCTTATACCACTATCAAGCATGTTCTTCGCGCTTATGGGCTTCGTAAGTAAAAGGTAACAAAACAGATCGAGCTTACAGAAGATGACGCACGAGAGAGGCTCGCTTTTTGTAATAAATATGATTCCCCAGAGGCTCTGGAGGAGCTGATGCGAATGCTCTTCTCAGACGAAGTCACGGTCCAGAATTCACCCGATAATCCGGGCGATTGGGTCATCCGCCTCTCTTCTGAACGTTACAGACAGGATCTCGTGAACCCTCGGAGTCATGAGAGACCCTGTATCTCCATTATATGTTGGGCCTTGATCTGGTTACGTGGCGGAGAAGGTGGCCTAGGCAAAATCATCTTTTGTAAGCCCGATGAGGATGCTCTTCGCGGAGGAGTATCCTCAGCTTCATATCAAGACGTCCTTGAGGAAGGGCTCCTTCTGTTCTATGAGGCTGAGGATCCTTTTATGTAAGATAACGCTCGCATCCATCGATTTAGAGGCACTCCAGAGTGGGTAGAGGAGCACGGCATCTGGACGATCGACTGGCCTGCTCACAGCCCTGATTTGAACCCGATCGAGCACGTTTGGGCACTTCTAAAGAAGCAGATACAGAGAATCGAGCCTGGTTTCGCTGATTTGAAGGCTAATATTGCCCACGAGGCATATGCCAGACAGTTAATCGAAAGGGCGTGGTCAGAGATCGATTCTAAGGATGTACGCGTTCTCGTCGAATCTCTCGGCAACCGAATTGCCGCAGTGAAAAGGGCAGGTGGTTGGTACACACACTATTGAATGGCTTATATAATGCAGTTTTTTTCATATTATTACAGTGAGAGATGGGTGCGTGGTGAATGCTGAAAGTTGGAAGGTGTAGGCGTGTAGGGCTGCTCGAAAAGTGGGCTCGGAGACTTCTGGTCGGGGAGTGTACATAGCAGGAGCGGTTGATATCTAGTCATTACTTGTGGGGAGTAACTCGCATAGTACCGACAGATCTGGCTTTAGTGGGGTGTAAAACCTTTTGTCTGGTTGAGCATCGTAATTTCAGTGTGATCAGTTTAGTACTGGCGTAATAGTCTAGAATCTAGACAGCTGATGATCATCAGTGAGTAGTGCAGTTGTCTCAGTCGAAAAAGGTAGCTGTAGAAGGAACAGCATACTTCCTTCTCGACTATGTATTCGTGGCGCTTACTAACATGGAGAAGCATAGGAGTTTCCTCGTCGAGATAGACGGATAAAGGACTTGCTCCCTGCCCGGTAAAGACAAGACCTATACTAAATACAGTGAAGAAATACTCCTACAAACACCACAGTTGTGCCCAGTTTAACCGACACTAGGGCCATACTCCGACGAAACTGAGCAAGAGCGCCCACTGTCCTTGTCACTATGTCTCGTGCCTTTGTCCACGTGAAGTCTGGATCCAACACACTATCGAGCCTGCCATTTCATTGATCTCGGGCTTGTTCCGTAAAGTGGGAAACCCTTTCTGCAGCAAGTTCTGTCACTTGATAGTGGTGGGAATAGACTGTACTACGTATGGGGTATCAGAAAGACCACATTTGGGTCCTATTAAGCACTTGGTAATCACAAGCTAACACTGTGCAGGTTGCCCCAAGGTAGCTTCTTAGAATATGAGACAGAATCTGCAGGACATTGTGTAATCACCTCTGGTATCGATAAATCCGGTTTGGTGGTTAGAGCTGAAGTGTCCTTGGCAGCTGACGGGCAGCTGGTCCCCACGTCTAGGGGGGTTGACGGCTGGCCGGTGCATGACGATCAGGGACCTCAAGGTTCGGCTTGGCAAACAGTGACGTCAAGTCTTTGTGGCCAGTTTCCCTCAAAGCTCCCAGACATCTACAAAAACAACCACTGGACTCCTACAGGATCTCCCTCTCAACTCTTCCTGTTTCCAACATGCCAGCAACTCAGTACTCTACTGCTATCCAATCTACCGAAAGCACCAGTCGCACAAGTTACACCATCACCAAACAAAACAAAACCTAAGCCTTCGCCACCCAAATCTACCACCATGCCTCTCGAGAACAACCAAGACAAGGGGGCCACCGGCGCCGCCAAGTTCGTCACCAGCGCCATCGGCAACACGGTCGGAGGAATCGGCCGCACCGCAGGCAACGTCACCGGCGCTGCCTCCCGGGGCATCGGCGATACCATCACTGGTGCGACTGGCTCGGCCGGCAAACCCGTCGGCGATGCTATCAGCGGCCTGGGCACCGGCGTCGAGAACGGCGCCGACAGCGTCAGTAAGGGCGTCGAGAACGCGGGACAGTGGAAGAAATAGATGGGTCGCGATGTTTGATCGCGACGGGGGAAATGGATGAGGAAAACCTTGGACTCGGAGGTCAATGAGTTGCGTGGCTGGGAGGTCGGACGCAGTGGGCAGCTGCGAGGCGCTGCGTTTTCATTCGTTAGGAGGGAATGGTCGGCGTATGGGCAATTGACTGGTATTCACGAGACCGATCATAATCAAGGGGTTGATTGACATGACTTGGACTGCCTTGTTCGTGATATGCCGTTCCTACTGACGTGTCCCAGCCGAGACTCAAGATGTGATCCTCCACCCGGGCAGTCACTCCACCCACCCTTGGCCGATGCAGAGGAATGAGGTTCTGGGCTCTTCGGATCTGAGTACACTGTCAAAGAGAGTTCATACGTTGTACGAAACTTGGTGGTTGCTATCTCATCGGCCTGCTGCATCGAGTGCTGTCCGGGGTTCGCCGGAGCTAACGCCCGGAGATGGGAACCTCCGCCACGGGGCTACAGCGAGCTGAAAACGGAGCGACGATAGATATAACTCAGGTCAGCAGCCAAATTTTCGAACCCAAACATGGTAGACTATTCAATTGAATCAAAAGTCTTCAGTTGCTGCTGCACAGGACTAATCGACCGTCGTCGCCATCGCCATCATGACATCAATATCCCAGGACCAAGACCCAGGTACCCTCGTCAAGGCCCTCCTCACAACGATAGAGGAACAAATCATACCCCTGACCGGCGAAGGCGTATCGTCAGGAAGCAAAGTCTTCGGCGCCGCCATCCTGTCCAAATACAGCCTCACGCCCCTGACAGTAGCGACCAACAACGAGGCCGTGTCGCCGCTTCTGCACGGGGAGATAAACTGCATCCAGAAGTTCTTCGCGCAGACGTCCTTCCCATCATCCTCATCCTCTGCAACTCCTACCGCCACCACCCCATCAGGACCAGACTCAACACCAACATCACAACGCCCCAACACCAAAGACTGCATCTTCCTCGCGACGCACGAGCCGTGCAGCCTGTGCCTCTCGGGCATAACCTGGAGCGGCTTCGACAACTTCTTCTACCTATTCACGTACGCCGACAGCCGCGACCTCTTCGCGATCCCGTACGACATCCAGATCCTCGAGGAGGTGTTCCGCGTCCCTCTTCCTCTTCCCCAAAAAAGCGAGGAGGCGCGGGAGCTGTATAACCGCCGCAACAAGTTCTTCACGGCGCGCAGCGTCGCGGAGCTGGTGGATGAGATTGCGGACGCGGGGGAGAGGGAGAGGTGGAGGAAGGAGGTACAGAGGGTTAGGGCGCTTTATGGGAGGTTGAGTGAGACTTATCAGGAGGGCAAGATGGAGGGGGTGGAGAGTGCTAGTTTTTGGAAGTAGGGGTGTTATGGAAAACAGGGAATGTGATATAGTATTTGTGAAGGCAGCGAGTATTGATTGTATCTCTGCAGTAAAGAGTATCCCATCCGACCAGTGTAGAGTCCATACATGAGAGACAGCCTTTCTGTAGCAAGCGAAATCCATCCCCCTGAGCCGTGAACTCAACATCAACGCACTCGAACATCGCGACCCGTCACAGCACCTCTTCTATTATCGGCCCACGCGCTCAAGGCCGCCCCAGTAGCCCCTTGCGAAATCGTGCGAAGCCAACATCGGCAGCACCCAGCGAGCGAAGTAGAAAGCAGCGACACCAGCGAGAACACCGATACCGCCCACGCACACCGACTCGACGACCTAGGTCTCCGTCTGCGTGATGGAAGAGACCATCGACTCCTGCTTTCCGAGCGCAGACTTCACCTCCTCCCCATGCTCACTATCAGTCTCATTTGCGTCGGCATCCGCAAACGCATCTCCATCTCCCTCTCCCTCTCCACCTCCATCCCCATCTTCATTTCCGTCCTCAGCGCAGTCCTCAGCACCGTCTCGATCCTCGACGCCCACCGTGCCCACCGTCGAACGACAACCCCCACAACAAACATGACAGCACTTGCGCCCCGCCGCATCCCGTCCAGCACAAGACCCAATCATATTCCCGCCAACACCGCAGACGCAGCAGACCCAGCCGCGGCCCTTGGCCTGGAAGGCGCAGTGCGTGATCGGGCACGGCGCAGGCGGGTGCTCGACGTCCAGAGTAAAAGCGACGGTGGCGCAGGGCGCGGGCTCGTGGTGCGGCGTCGAGAGCTCGATCTCGTCGCAGAAGCGGTGGCCGAGCGCCGAGTGGCCGCATGGGTAGGACTTGATGTAGGTGTGGCACATGGTTGCGTGCGTTGATGAGGATTGTTGTTGATGATGTGGGGTTTAGGGTGGAATTGGAGTGGTTGTGCAACTGGTCTGGTTTGAGAGGTTCCTGGGATGTGCATTGGGTACGGGGAGAAGAGCTGGATATATATAAGGCAGAGGGGGCGTGATCTGGGCCACGTGGAATGGAAAATACACTGGAGGTACGAGTCACCAGAAATGATTCATCGAGTTTGATTGCAATATCAGAGATGGGATGGATACGTGATCCTCGTTGGCTGACCAGACTCGTTATTCACCAACTTCGCGCCTTTGACGCAAGCAACCATGCTAGAGATGCACAAGGCCAAACAAAAAGTTCAGACGAACCTTTTGATAGGTCAACGGCGTTGCCGACAATTTGACACTATACAATTAGCTACAAGAACCCACCCTACTCGTCCCATTGGAAGTCTTCATGCTCAGACCATGGTGTGAACTGATCGTCCGTACACACGTGTGGCATTGCGTCCTCCGGACAAGAAGTGCAAGTCATTCTGCTCCTGTCTTGGGACGCCCTCTCTGGTGCCTTACCCTTTCTTGTCCCCGAAGACGAATCTGATGATCGGTTCGGCGGTGAGTAGACGTTGTCCAAGATATCCTGCAGCATTTCCTTGCTCGACCTCTTCCGTTCCCTGTCGGGTAGCTCCGTCCACGTTCGCTCCAGTGGCGGATGGGGCGGTGATGCCCCCCGGATTCCTCCTGGTGTCTGCTCTAGCAATGGCATGAAACTGTAGCGACGCAACTTATCAAGAAGACCCTCATTCTGCGCTTGATCAGAGCTGGGTGCCGGCTTAAAACTGCTCCTTCGTCGGTGAGATAGGGAGCCAAGGGCACGGCCGAGTCTTTTGCTGTTGGCTTCGTATCTTCCCACTTCTTCGAAAGGTGATGTTTGCATAAATGGTGGACTTGGCATTGGAGACTCTTCTAGCACTGGCAAATGTGCTTGGACAGTTCCAAAATGCGCATCGACCCCGTGTTGATAGAGGTCTGACGACATTGTTGTATCCCGGGGGTCTCCATCCCCCTTTTGATGCTTCAGTAACGTCGCTGGTGTTAGCCATTCATCCGTACAAGTCCTGGACAGGAGCTTGGGGAACGATGTCATCGACCTGGCGCTAATCGCGCGCTTCGGTTGTTCCCTTGCAGATGCCTCGGGCACTGGAGCGGAGCTTGAACGTCGTTCACCCCGTTGGAAGCGTTCTGCCATGGTGCCCATTTCCTCGTGTACCGAGTCAAGATCAAAGCTCACTCTCTTAGTCCCGCGTGGAGACGTTGCTGACGAAGAGAAATGGCGACTGGCGCTTACAGATACACTTGGTGAGGCAGTCTCGGACCCGGTTGCTATCGCATTCGGCCCTTGGGCATTATCTCGATCCAGAGTCTCTGTAGCCGATTCCTAGTTGATCTCAGTTATACTTTGGCGAGAGACACAAGTTGAATTCGACATCCCCAAATAATGTCCATGGCCGACGGAGCAACCTGTCAGGCTGAAAGACGGTTGGACGGAGCTGAAAGTCGTCACCGGGTCTACTATATTTGGTCTGCCCGGAACAATCGCCTTGATCTTGGGCTTGCTTTGTGTCTCTCGCGGTAACAGCAGCGACAAACAAGCGGCTGAGCTGCTTTCAACGTGGGTGTTGCGAATCCCCGCAATGACAATATCCAGAATGCCCGCGATATCGGTTGTGGTGACTAGATAGCTGTCCGTAAGCGATGCAGGTTGCCTCGGTCGATCGTTATTGGTGGTGTCCAAGTCCGAGCTGGCTCTAGGGGAGGGTACACGATTCTCGTTTGATGCTCTAGCTATGCTTGTTCGTTGGGGGCAGTCATTGTGTCGCTTATCAGACAGATTGGCGCGAATATTGGACAAGATTCCTTCGACTCCTTGTCTATCAAGTCCCGGTTCCATGTTGAGAGGCGCAACCTTGGGAGATGATGGCGCCTGGTCATCAAGGTCAACCAAGCTCCAACGCCTTGCTGCAACCACGGGGACAGCAGAGATTACGTGGTCTAGGGACGGAGCGAGGCTGCTCGATATCGCGTTCTCGTCTTCGGCTGGTGCACCGAGCAGCGGGGATCGTGGCTCCTGGGAATTACCCGTGCCCACCTGGCCGGTGAAGGCCTTCGGGCAAACGTGGTGATGCTTGGGAACATGTTCGTTTCGTGTGAAAAAAGACATGGCCCAACCCGTCTTCGGTGTGTCTTGTGACTTGGGGTCGGCACACGTCGATGCTGGTGGCGCAGCCGCGCAGGCTTGTTGACATTCAGTAACCAGGGGCTCCAATGGCCGCGCGCTCCCATTGACACCCTCGCCTTCCACCATGTCGTAAGGTTGAGCCATGACACTCACATGTCGGCTTGCCACGCGGCTTGACGGTGCACTGTAGAAGTTATCGTCCTCGAAGCTCCCAATTGACATTCGATCGTTGAAGAAGTATCGCGTCATATATTGGGGAGGATTAGATGACGCAGGTGAGTTTCGAGTTGGCTGTAGGTAATGATCTGGGATGCGTATCGCGTGTAGGGATAGGTACCATCGTGGTTCGAGGAGTCTTTGGGGAAGATGCACATGCGTGGTGGAGGATCACGGCGTGGATTGAAAGGAGATGCAGTTTACTCATGGGCAGAGTGACTGAGGTAACTGCTACCTTACCTACATGTAGCTTCTAACCTCCAGAAGCTTCACAGGCCAACGATGGAAGGTGGGTGACCCATCCAGGAAAGGTAAGAGCCATGGACCTCACAATGGGTTACACGTTGTGTTCGCAATGCAATATCGAAAGAGGAAACATGTCGATGTAATGACACGAAGCATCATCCTCAACTTTGGGCGTCGGCGATAGCAGGTGATGATGAGACCTCGTATGTTCTCGTGCGTACCAGTATAGATGGCGTAAGTAAGCTGATTGGAACGCTGGGACAATAGGTGAGCTCGTTGGGATTGCTTGAAGGATTTCCTCCTTAGCTTGCCAGCATTCAAGCCATCAGTGGAATCGGTAAGCATCTGCCCAACAGTGTCCACTGCCGCCAGGAGCTTTCCGGGCAGCGATGCTGAACTGGAGTGCCGCCATAACGACTACCTCATGAGTACAAAGACGGTGCGTGCGAACTCCTCCGTGCTCGGGACTGTACTCCACGGAGCGACATGTCTTCTTATCAAGCAACCGGCATTGATCGGATCACTTTGATGGGATTGTCGCGAAAACGTACCTAAGCAGTGAGGCAAAAGATTCCGACCCGACCACAATGGAATGCCGGTAAAGGGAATGGGAGAGAGCATTCCCGGCATTGAGATTCTCGCAGAGGCCCAAGCCCTAAACCGTGCATGGCTAGCGGGTGACAGTGAGTGACAGCTGCCAACGCCGCCGCTGCAGCTGCAGGCAGAGAGCTCTGACATCCTAGCCACCTGGCAGCTTCATATCGCAGCTGCCAATGGGGCACACACCAACTCACCCCACCAAAGGTCCGGCGAACTTTGTAAACACCGTGAGCCCAACGTCTGTTGCCCTCCCGAGCCGAAGTCGCAAGTTGCTCACCGTCCACTGTTCCGGGGCCATCCTATGAAAGAAAGAACTGGGCAGGAAACGTGTCACGCAACGAGTGGCAGTATCGTACACTCGCTTCATGTGCGAATCAGATGATCCATGAAGGTGTTGGAGGCCCAACGCTACGTCGACTCAGCGGTGCCACGGTGGCGAGGAGGCTTTTCATTTTCTTCTTCCTTCAAAATTCAAGCTATCTTAGCTACTGATTTATCTTTTCGGTCGTACGTCGAAGACGCAACACCTGTCACCTAGCAGGCAGCTTCTTGGAAAGCATGTGCATAATCTTACTATCGACGGCGCACCCGAGGTACGCGCTCATCGCCATCGATAACCGGGATGAGTATGTCCTCCGCCCCACTAGCCGGCCGCACTGGTGGACCCATCGCCCCTCGGGCAATCGGATCCTCTCCGCGCGGGATCTGCACCGTCGTGAACGCGGAACTTGGATGGGCGTTGGCAAGGACGGACGCTTCGCCGTTTTGACGAATTACCGGGAATCCGCTGTCGATGACCCGGACCATGCAATCTGCGGGGTGCGGAGTCGGGGCGGCATGGTGACAGCATGGCTCGGCGCGCCAGCGGAGGACAGCCTGGATGACTTCATCAAACACATGCTGGACGACAAGTCGGTGAAGGGCGTCGGCGGTTTCTCACTCATCTGCGGAGACCTGAAGGCGAAGGCGAAGAACGGCGTGGAGCCCCTGGTTATCATCTCCAATCGCTGTAACCACCCTGGCGAGGTGCCGCGGATCGGAGGGGAAAGGGGCAAGACATATGGACTCAGCAACACCGTCTACGAGGAGCCCGCGACATGGCCCAAGATCAAGACGGGAAAGAAGCTACTGGAGGAGACGATACAGGAGGCTGTTGACAAGGACCTGAGCGAAGACGAGTTGACCGAGCGGCTCTTCTCCGTCCTCGAGAACGACACGCTGCCCGTCGAGCCCAAGATGAGCATGCAGGAGCACATGGATGCGCTGAGGCAATCGGTGTATATCCGGGCTTTCGGAGACGAGCAGGAGTGGAAGGACATGGCCGATGCGGCGGATAATGGCAAGGCGAAGGACGCCTTTGACGAAATCGAAGACGAAAGCGAATCAGAGGAGCGCCTGCGGACCGAGGCCGTGGTGAATTTTATGAAAGGAGCATATGGCACTCAGAGGCAGACGCTTGTGCTTGTGGATTGGGAGGGCAATGTGACGTATGCTGAGCGGGCGCTGTGGGATGCTCACGGCAACCCCGTGGAGAAAGGCAAGGGGGATCGGGTCATCAGGTACAAGATAGACGGCATGAATACATAGGCGAGAGGAGTTAGTGGCGGCACCAACCAATCAAAGGATCGTTTTCAAGCAGGTAATAACTGGGAGGCAGACTCTGCTGTTGATACACTTGCTGGGGCGGTTATTGCTGTGAAATGTGCCTCGAGGCCTTATCGTCGACCGCCAACGACTTACTCAGCCTCGACCACATTTTCGTCTACATCAGGCAATCGCAACACGGGGGCTCGGCTCTTGTTGACTTTTGGCGTATTTGGGGTTGGCTCCTCCCTTCCGGTCGAAGAGCTTAAAATAATGATAATAATAATAATAAAATGGAAAAACCTCCCTCAGCCATGCGTCCACGAACACAGTACAGATGCGTGATCAACCTTGAACGGTCAACCATCGAGACTAGCTAAGGTAACCCGATTCAATGCACTCATGACGCTCGACCATCAGGGACGTCGTGGCCTGCACAAGAAGACGCCTGCCGTCCATCCCGACACGGCCTTTCTCAGCATTTCCATGACCAGAGTATCACGATCGCAGGGCTCGGTCAGGAGTGTATGATGATGCCATTTTGCTCTGAGGTTGTGTCTGGACGTCTAGATTGGCGCCTAGTATAGACGCGCTCGTTGGAATATGCTTCATGGTTATGACCACCTCTCGTCTAATAGTCACTTTAGATTACAATTGGGTAGGTATGTATTACGTAGGGAGGTATTGAAAGTTTGGCCAGTAGCCTAGTCTCTCACTAGTCCTTCCAAAATTGCCTTCATGGCGAAATTCATACGTATATATTGAATCTCAGTTACTCGATGTCAAGCAAACTGCTGTAGAAATGTTGACTCATAGTGGCCTTTGATGTCACTCTCACAGGGATCATGCGGCTTGATCGCTACTCCTCGTGTAACACGGTTGTCGCGGCCATAAAAGACACATTTCACCAGAGCTCAAGAAGTCCAATTGTTGTTTTGTAAAATCCTCATCACATACCTCCACCAAAGAGTACGATCCAATCTGACATTGAAAGAATCCCATCATCTTTCGTCCTTGTTAATCCTCAAGCCAAGATGGTTTCCCCGCTGCTAGGTTGGGCCTTCGCTCCGATTGCCCCTTTCTTCGTTCCAGCAGTTCCAGCGGCTCCTTTCTTACTTGCATTTGGCTTTGGGATTCTGGGCCCTGTGGCAGGTAAGTCGGAAACATTTTGAATGACTGCTTCGAGGCAAGCTCCGATGAAGACTGATGTGTTCAGGGAGCTTTGCAGCTGGGTGGCAAGCCCTTTATGCAGTGTTCGTTCCTGCGGGATCATGGCTTTCATTCTTCCAGTCTTGGGGGATGACAACCGCATGGTTCGGATTATAATCAGGGATCAGCTTACTTCCCGTATAGGCACAGCAAGTATGGTGCTACGTTGGAAGCTGCCAATGCAGGTAGCAATGTGAACAAAGCCGCCGCACGTGGGGTGGATTCCCAATTCTTGAAGATCATTCGTTACATTTTCCTCTGAGACAATGGGTTGAGGATTGAAAAGGCCAGTTAGGGAAGAACATTGAAATAGAAGGGAAGGAGGCGTAGGGCAAGTGGGGTGACGGCATTGAAGCTCACAGCAGACAACCTTGGAAGGCAGGCGCCTTAGGAGGGTTTGGAAGGACCTGGGATCATGTTATGCCATTAGCATGGAAGGTGCCCAAGTCTGAGAAGAGGAGTGAGGAAAGAACCACCGACATGGTCTGATCTTCCCTACATGTACCTGTGGAACCGGTGCTGATTTTACTGAAATTGATCTCCTGCACATGAACAATCAAAACACATCCGCTCACAACCTCTGTTCCTCACATTCGTGGTTTATTCCCATCTCTTCGGCAACCAGAAACTTTGCACTCCATCAGCGCCATTGTCCACCACCAGCAGTCAGCAAACTTTCACCCATTGTCAAGACTTCACAGCCCATTCACCCCACCGCACACCTCTCAAGAGCTGCCATGGCCGTGGCAGATTCCGAGCCATCATCATCCAACTCATCATCCACCAACCCAACATCCACCCACCCGTCACCCATTTCATCACCCAAGCAACCTCCCAAGCTCCTTAAAGGGGGAAACTGCGCATTGCATTCGTCTGAATTGAGTGGAACGCAGGTGCCACATTCCAAGCCATCGCCCAAGCGATCAACCACCGGCCCATCACCCAAGCCATCACCAAAGCAGGCAGATTTCAAGTCGTTGCCCAAGCGATCATCGTCCGAGCCGGCAGTGTCCTGGTTATTACCCCAGCCATCATCCACCAAGCCATCAACCAAGCAACTGGACGTGTCAGACGGCCTATTCGATTTGGCTTTTGATTTGTGTCAGGAAGCACGGTTGCTTGCATTGAGTACAACGCTGGTGGCAGATTCCAAGCCATCACCCAAGCAGGCAGACCTTAAACCGTTACCCAAGCGATCATCCCCCGAGCCGGCAGATTCCAAGTCATTATTCCAGCCATCACCTACCAAGCCATCAACCAAGCAGCTGGACGTGGCAGATTCCGAGCCATTAGTCCAGCCATCATCCACCAAGCCGTCACTCACCAAGCGTTCACCATCACCCAAGTCACCATCCAAGCAGCCGGAGACAGCCGCGATCACGACAAACTCGCGCCGCACCGTCACCGAAAAGGCTCACACGAGTACACTTCCCCTGCACAAGTTGGTCGTGCATGCGTTGTCTGTCGCAGTGCACATGGTCTTCAAGACAGTCCAGTCTCTGATCCTCCTAGTGAAGATCTGGCTGACGGGCGTGGTTCTGCCGATTGCTCGAGCAGCCAAACTGAACTTTGAAATTGTGTTCTGCCTACCCACCCTTGGCAAGCTTTGGCTCGGGGTTGGTTTTGATCTCGTGTGCATCTTCCATCTGTCGGTGTACCTGCTGATCGCCAAGATCGCCGTCGGCCTTCTCACGGTTGTTAACAAGATCATATTTGTTCATCTTCCACCCGTCGACAGGATCATCGTCGGTCGAATCGTCAGTCGAAACGTTCTCAAGCTCAACGATATCATCGTCGTCCAGGGCATCCCTGTCCTTCTCGGGGTTGTCAGCAAGATCATCGTCAAATTTCTCGAGTTCAAGCTTCTCAACAATATCCTGTCGACATGGCTCATGCAATTGGGAAATCTCCCACCCCAACAAGAGCACAGCGCAATAGACTCTCCCTCTCCAGAATGGACCAAAGCAGCCTATCCATCCCCACGCCCGCGTCCAAGCCAAATGGAACCCCTGGACGAAATGACATTGGTCGCACTGGATGCTCTGGGTCACGACGTCTCTCGATTGCGCACTCCCAGTCCAGAGAACCAGGCGTTAAAAAATCCGAGATGCCTGTCGTTAATGAACAGTCCCAAGCTAAAGAAGGGTCAGAAGCTCAAGCCAACCGGCCGGACGGCAAGAGGCCAGGCAATAGCCCAGGCAAGAGCCCGTTCGAAGTTAACCAACGATACGAACCAAACCGAAGAGCCACTATGATGCCGCCTCCATCCCAGGCACCCGCACCCTACACGTCGCCGCGCAGTCTCCACAGAGCATCGGTATCAACTTCGACAAGAAAACTCTCTGCAAGCTTCGTAACCGGTGGTCCATTGTCTAGCAATCCAACCACCGCATATTCTACTGTCACTGCATCGACTACCACCGGAGGACCGTTGTCCAGTCACCCAGGACCATTGACCAGCCATCCCACCTACATGTATTCGTCCATCACATCCTCACAGTCTCGTGGAGGCCTCGACATGCCGCCGCCGCCACCTGCCGGAGCCCTGAAGTCCTCCCATACCATTAGCAACTTGCCTGTTCCAGCCACGTATTACAGAGACTCCCGTCGAGCCTCACCGACCAACATACCTTCACCCAAGGCCTTGACAGCAACTTCATACACCACAGCAACAGCTCTACCACGCAGACAGGCTGAAAACATACCACCTAGCAACTCGAAGGCAAGCTTGGGCTCCAAGCCCAAGCGCAGTCTGGACTTCTCCCCCACGAAGTTGCTGCCAAAGCTGACACCAAAGTCCAAGGCCAGACACGGTGGGGGAATCCCCAAGTCACGAACAATAAATGTCTTTTCGAACTTGACATCTTCCCTATCGCGAACATCTCTAGGCAATTTCAACCGAAGCGAGTCTCGTCACACATCCACCTCGTCAGGAGAAGTCAGCCGCTCCTCAAGAGCACCACCTTACCTCGACTCCAGCAACGCAGCCTCTAGCTCTTCGCAGGCACTAATCAATCCGATGCAGAACTTCAACAACCCTCGACAGATCCACATTGCCCAGGAGTCGGCGTACTGGACGGGCCGCTTCATGGCGCTTCAGGACCGCTTTCACTCCGAGCTTTTGCTGCCTCAGAACTTGACAACGCTTGTCAATGCCCACGCAGAGAGATCATTACTCCCGGATTCCCAGCCCACTTTCGCGGACTCCCTAGCGACCTCATCCACTACGGCATGTATACAACAAGGACAGGGCCAGAAGCCTACGCGCAAGCATCAACATACCCAATCCACGTCCACTGTTGGATCCATTCATAACAGGGCCTCGGCTGAAGCAGCGGCTTTACTCTCCGATGAGGACAACCGCAGTCGCCGTATCTTCTTCCATCTTGAGGCGCTGTGTACGTCGAACGAGGCTCGTCGGAGCCTGCACAGTTGGCAGCAGACGTATGCTCGTCGTATGGGCAAGGAAAGCCTACTACCGCGGGGCGGATGCAGTGAGTAACGTCCCAAATCCATCCCAACTTCCTGCCCCCGTTCCTCTGTCAGAGTCCACAACAGCTTCCGTAGTAACACGGCCACTGACCTCCGATATTGCAGTGGAAGACAAGGAACGGGAGAAGGAGAAGGGATGGATGGGCCGACTGCTCGGCAACACTGGCGCACACGGCAAGCGAGGGAGTTTTGTCTTCTAGATGGCCATTATGGTTTCGAGTAGGCCTTTCTTGAAACAGAGCTGGCAATGCGAAGGCGTTGCCGTAGAAGTATGTTACGCCGATAGCAACGGGGGCGGGGCAAGAACGGGCTCGTCAACATGGTTATATGCGGCTGCAAGGTAGTAGCTAGCATTGTACGAAAAGATGGAAAGTTGTACGTTCACCACACATGACGGGGACCAGGTCGACTCAGAGCAAATAGGCTCAAATAGTCATACAAATAAGATCACATCCCACAAGCTCTTTGGCCATTCTGTCTGTGATGGGAACCTTGTTTTGAATCTGCCTTGATTCATGTGGAAATGCTGGATATCTCCCTCGTGGCAAACCATGAACATAGGCTTGCAGAATATGAACGAAGTACTCTGCAGTGCAACAAGCAGCCTTCCATATGTCATTGCACTCAAATGCCCGTTGGATCATGGCTTACTCCAGCTGACCATGCAACCTATTATTTCAACCCAGACTCCTAGAACTCCACCCCTTCCACCCCCTATATAGATAGCAAGAACCCAACCCCTTGACCACAGTAGCACACGATCCGCCGGTGTCATTTAGACTCATTGGACTTTTTACGGTCCTTCATGAAGCCCTTGATCTGCTCGACCTTGTTGGCGAAGAACATGCACTTCTTGTCGTTGCGCCAGACAACGACGCCGATGTCCTCGGCGAAGTTACAGATCGCGACGTACTCCTTGTAGTCGTCGAACTCCTTGAACAGGAAGCCCGGGGTGGCGAGCATGCGCTCCGTGTCGAGCTGCCAGAGGCGGATCTGGTCGACGACGACGGGGGGTAGGAGCGGCTTTCGGGTCGACGCGGCGACGCGGTGCATCTGCTTGTGCGCGTGCGAGGCCAGGTAGGATATTATCTGGTCCGACGTGATGCCCATGTCGACGGCCTGCCGGATCGAGGCGCGCGTCAGGTGGCCCGACACGAGGCCGCGGAAGCGGAATTTTAGCTCGGAGAAGAGCGCGAGCACGGCGATTTGTAAAGGTGACTGCACGTAGGCGTACATGCGGAAGTTGGTCTCGAGGATGATGGAGCTCTTGTCGCCGGCCGAGTCGCCCAGACCGCCGCCCCCTCCCTCGCCCGAGGCTAGGAAGCCGGCGCTCACGCTGCGGAGGGCGGTGTCGGAGCTCGTCAGGGTCGTCGCGAGGCGCGTCGGGAAGAACTGCTGCGGGTTCGCGGGCGGGATGTAGACCAGGCCGAAGTCGACGAGGGTGGGCAGCATGTTCTTGCGCGCCTCGGTCAGGGCGCTGGTCTCGTACGCGCGGCCGTGCTCGAGCGACGCCAGCAGGAAGAAGAACGAGAGCATGTCGACGCTCTCCAGGCCGCCCAGGAGGCCGCGGCCGCTCGAGCTCGCAACGTCGGCCGCCTCGAGCCAGAGGAGGAGGAGCGTCCAGACCTGCGCGTTCGCTTCCTGCAGGAGGAAGGTGAAGCCTGCCTGCGTGATGCGGTGGGTGACGCCGCTCCGCTCCACCAGTCGTCCACCTATCAGCAGGTCCTTCACCGACTGCTTGGGCCCGCTCGAGCCCTTCTCCGAGGTGCTGAACCCCACCGAGTTCACCACGAAGTGCAGGATGTCGTCCCATTTCTTCCGCGCGTACCGGTCGAGAAAACCGAGGTCGATGTCGTCGGGTGGCGGCTGCGTGGACGGCACGCCGAACGAGTTGTGGTCGCCTCCTCCCTCCAGCGCTAGTCGCAGGCTGTTCTTAAAGTTGGTGTTGAGCGAGATGGTCGGCGAGGCGTCGCGGAGGACGATGTGTAGGGAGCGCAGGATGGAGATGGCCTGGTCCTTGTCGCGCTTCGCGGTCGGCTTGATCCAGATGTCGAGGTCGGAGAGCAGGAAGGGCGTTGGCATGTAGAGGATGGCCATCACTATCGTCTTGGCTAGATGGGGCAGCATGCGACGGAAGATGGCAAAGGTCGTGGAGGGCTGCTGGTACAGTCGTCCAAACGTGGTCCCTTTCAGCTGCTCCAGATACTGGAAGAGCGAGCTCGCGTTGGCCGACATGGTGAGATTATGGTGACGTCGAGTCGGTCGCGGAAGGTGAAGGTCGAAGCGAGGCTGTCATGGTCCAAATCGCAGGATCGGGTGACAGTACGAGAGATCGAGAAAGCTTGGTGGAAGGGCTTGTCACCTGGATTGACCAGTGTGATCACCTCCCGGTAGTTGAGCGATTCATCGAAGGATCGAACGTGGCCGCAAGTAGTTGTCGCAGGGGCCGAGCAGTACACGATGTGGTTCTAAGGTGAAGCTCAAAGCCTTTCGCGAAGCGCAGGGATGCCGGGAATGCACGCCTCCAGCTGTGAGATAGTTGCCTCTATTAAATGCAGATACTCCCTTCGTTACGTGCCCTTACGGGGCACGTCGCGAGCCCCCGTAGGGCTTTCGGTTTTTTGCTCTATATAAAGTACTCTATATATTATAGATATATATAATAAGTACTTCGAGCGCAAGTAACGAAAGAAAGGTTTATAAAAAAGTAGCGTTTAAATAGACTTTAATATATTAATTATTATATAAAACGTAAATTACGCACTTTATATCGTTATTGACTTTATAATTGTTATAATAATAATATATAAATAGTCAAAAAAAACGTAGCGAATTAGATAACAGTCATTATAATATCGAGCTTATAATATTTAAAAGCGTAATTTGTATATAAGATATTATAAAAACATTAAAATCTCGATATATTAATTTTAATATATATAATTATATAAATAATAATCAACTACGCGTTGAACGAATGCTTTAAAATATCTTATTAATTTACCCCATACCGTATTAACTTTTAATAAGTTATAAAACTTTATTTAAACACGTGGTTATTAATTAACAGCGTTACTAGTATACGTATACTTTAACATATCGAACACCCTGCTACCGCTAGCACCGCCCAGACCGTAAATCGGCCACGTTTGTGAAAAAGTGGGTCTATTCGCGGGCTGGGTTCTCCGAGGCAATGAGATAGGCCTGCAGCTGGCTGGCAGGGGACTTACTTAGTGAAGCTGGTCTGCACTACCTTAGCGCCAGAGTAGGTCTCTCCCCCCCACAAACCTCCTTCCAACTGTACCACCCCTTGCCCTTTTCCACCAACACACTCATTATCCGCAACCTAAAAGCTACGCTCTACGAAAGATGATGGCCTGTTTGGCTTGCCATAACGTCGGCTCACTTGTATCTTCAGCTATAATGATGAAATCGAATATACAACTGCCAAATGTCAACTACCTACTTGCTGCACCTACATCCCGCGCAGGGTTGTACATTAAGGTATACAGCCCCTATTGTTGGTAACCGTGTTGCATGAGGTGCGCAAGGTATCTACCAGAATTAGATCGCTCCCTCCTCAAGCCTCACAAGACTCTTGAGAAACGCCGCTACGTCAGCCGAACTTGGGTGAGCAGGTTAGCTTGTAGAAGAGCAGCAAGGAGAAGAGCAGATTCGGAGCCACATGGCTGAGCACGAAGGTCTTTGGGACTCGTCTTTGCTGACTCATCGAAAATGGACACCGATAATCAGGCTTATAGAGCATATCCCGGTTGGAACATCAAGACACTGGCTCGGAAATGTTGCACTGCTGCCCCTTAGATGGCAGTTCCATATATTGATCAGAGGGTACAGGATACAGAACACCATATCATCAACCATGTGCGTATCCAACCAGTTCAATGGCCATTCGCACCATTCGTACCGTTAGTACCGTTAACCCCATCAGCACCACAGCACCCATTGCCATTGGCATTGCCGATACCGTTCACACTGCCATTCGCCTTCTCCTCCCCAAAAGCCAACCGACTCATCCGATCCGCCGCCTCGGTAACGCCCTTCCCATTGGCGGCGACCTGGCTCGGGGTGCTGCAGAAGCTGGGCGGGACGTCGAGCACGGGGTTGCTGGCGAAGAAGTTGCGAGGGCGCAGCAGGAGCGTGATGGGCTCGACGGGCATGACGGGGAAGTCCTCGGGCGCGGGTATGTGCGTGACGCCGAACGTGTGCCACAGCACGACGTCGGTGTCGTCGATGGACTGCTGGCCATTGCCGATCCACTCCGGCAGCCCGAGCGACGGCTCGCCGGAGGTCTGCGGCACGTGGCGGCCTGCGGGCCAGAGCTGGTCGTCGTCGTCTGTTTGGGGGGCGTCAGTCAGTCACATACATACGTGACCCGAGAAGAAGCGCCGTTGCTTTTGGCGCGTGGTAGTTACTTACACTTGGTGACGTGCACAGCGTGGCGCGCGAAGCCGGCTCGCTTCCATACTAGTGAACCCTCCTTCGGTAGCAGTCTTGGCACCTCTCGGCTGACGAGCTTGTAACTCGACGGCTTCTTGCTGTAGGGGTGCAACCTGCTCGTGTTGCAGATGTCCCACGTCCGGCTGGTGTCGCCGTTGTAGTCGGTCTTTGCCTCGCCTGTGGTGGTCAACTTCGTTCGCTTGGCGTAGAATGCATTCCCGTAGTAGTTCTCCGGGCTGCCGACTGGGGCATCTGATGGTACGGTATCGGCCATGAACACAGTATTGTTCGGCCCGTCCACATTAGGATCTATGCGAAGACAGAAGAGGTGTTGGTGGTTATGGGCATTGACGCCTGAGGGCATGCGTTAGCGAGCCAATTTCAGGGGTAACGTCGGAGCTCGACCAAAGACATACCCGGGTAGACCTGAGTGCCCCAACCCTGCGTGTCTTCATCTGGGCCCATTGCGTAAGTGTTAAGGATACCGGTGAGTTTGATCTCTGGCTGGATGGTGCCATCTTGCTACAGTCTTTGTCAGTAAATCACAGCAGAGAAGCAATTCGCCGAGTCGCTTACGTGAAAGATCCACTGTACTTAGTTAGCAACGAGTTATCAAAGCAATGCCCTCGAACATAGACTAACCTGGATGGAGTATTCGTAATTCGCAGCAGTGAATATTTGCTGGATGACCAACTTTCGAGCTCGCGTAACAATCATCGACTCGTCTCTGAAGTCGGTGTGCTTGAACAGGATACCACTGTCTTCCTCGTGGATGCAGATGGCGTTCTTGATGGTCCGGACGCTGCCAGCCCTCGTGGGGAATTCAGCGTCGAGGTAGTGGATGGAACCCTTGCAGTCACAGCCAAGGGCCAGGCTGTTTGTCATGTATCCGGCACCATACTCTCCGAGATCGAAGGCGTGCTTGCGCTGGTGAGGATGCTCGGGATTGCCACTGGTTAAAGTCAGTCCTGTTTGAAGTGTTTAAATGTACTGGATAGACTGACTATGGTACTACCATCTCAGCCAGAGAGAGACGGTAGAAGATGGGTCGAACAGTTCCCTTGTCGTTGAACGTGATGTTGTTCAGCACGATGCCTTCTCGGTAGTTGAACCCGATGTGGAACTTCCAATTCTGCCACTCGATCTCTCGCCCACTCATTGTGAACGACACGCCCTCAGGTTGGGTGATGTTGATAGGCTTGATGTTGTTCCTGTAGCCCCCAGCGCTCTCAACACCAGCAGGATGGTAGTTGATAGGTGCAGCCTTGCTGAGTGGTCTTCGGACCTTGGGGATGTCGATGGCGACGATGGTCTCCTTCTCGGCGTCATAGATAGGGCAGAAGTCCAGGGGATACTGGTATTGGCAGTCGTCCACATTTGGGCGGTAGTACATCAAGGCTTGCTGAAGTCGGATCTTGCTGCCGTGCCTCTCATCGAACCCAATGGTCCACGGGTCGCAGTAGACCTTGTGCATATCCTCTTTCGGGATGCCATTGATCTCGCACTGCTCAATCACTTTGGGGTCCTTGCGGCAGATGTGCTCAACGGCAACAAGCTCCTCCATCGTAATCTAGGGCAATTAGCGACACGTATTGTGTATCGGTCACGTACGCTGACTCACGATAGGTTGAAGCCCGTCCAACAACTCCCATTTCGTGATTTTGCCATCAGCGAGGTCGACCAGTCCATCGTAGACTTTGCCGCCCGGAGCAATAACAACGATATCTGCAATCCTCTGTGGCCGGGGTGCGCTGGCTGTGTCTTCTAACCATTTTGTCATCTCCGCCTTGCGCGGCTCGTGGAGTGAGACGACATTGAAGAAGACATCGCCATGTGCCTTCTTGACGATGCCGATAGCTGACTCGATCTCTCCGGTGCTGAGTGGGTCCAAGGGATGGGGGAGGGTGTCTGAGGTTGCGGACGGCATGTTGAAGGATGAAGACAAAAGACAATCTCAGGAAGATGATTTGATGATACACGAAGCGAAGGTGTAGAGGGTATGAAATGTTACGAAGTGCTTGACTTATGTATATGATGATCGAAGGGAAGCCGATATGGAGATAGAGAAGGGCAAGCTGCAGGGCTAAGGATGGAAATGACGCGGTGCCACGGTAGGGGATGCACCTCGGTCACCAATGAGCAACGGGGACATGCAACCTCTAGAGCGATAAGAGTTCGCCCAATGTTGGACTTGCGCCCAAGGTGCCCCCTATCTATCGTGGTCTAGTCTAGACCCAACCTCACCCCATCCTGGTTGATAATAAAGTCGTCCAACACGATAACGTCAATTGCGGGGAACCGCATAGACTTGCCGAAACCGGCATGAACTTGACATGACACGACTGGTGATAGGCCAACTGATAGCGCGCCTTAGTGTCCGTTGGAACGAGAAAGTTGTGATCTGGGCTTCAATCTCTATAGTCCCCGATACCGGGTAACTTATGTATCACTATGACATCCTTGGTTTCGACTCGCCCACATCCACTCGATAGCTGACCATGCAGACAGGCATGTGTCCATCGTATAGTCGTTGTTGGTAACAACCGCCTATCTCGCATCCCGAATGCCAGGACGAAGATCCCGATTACCGAAAGTTGCACCGAATGACGTGGCCAGGATATAGTCTTGTCTATCTTGGAAAGTTATTGGATGTAACGTCGCGTCAGTTGGCACAGGTCGCGCAACAGACTCGCAGACTATAGCCTTGGTTGTGATATAGGAATAGACTAGCGAGTGATGCCGCTTTAAGGACCATGTATGCTGTTCTGTATATATGCCCAACCCTTATCTTTCACTCCATCATGGCGACAATCATAGGGTATAGGTATACTCTATAGCCTTGGCAATCGAGTATAGACTGCGCGTCCTTCGCTCGGTGAGTGGTCTTGGCCTAGATCAGGTGTATTGTAGCACCATACGTCAAACTTCTTATCTTGCATTAGGCTTCCGTCAATTCCCGCCTAGGTCGTCCTCATCAGTCAATCGTGTGACACAGTGACACCCCTTCGCATAATATGGGACTATACCCTGACGAGTTCTGGACTATATCATTTTTAAGTCTTGGATCTCATTGGACGCTCGCTCGGTTGACTATACGTTCGAGCCTGCAGCATAGCTACCCATGCATGTGCGTGGTGATAATGATGCCAGTCTAGGAACCTAGGCATACACGACCCACTCTCCACCTATACTGTCGCGGCGTCAATTACTTCCCAAATAGATAGTCGTCTCATAGGAACAGTATCTTACACGCACTCATGAAACCCCCCCCCCCCCCTCCCCCCTCCCCCACTTCCTCATATACCATGGCAGCGTCTTACGTCCAAAAGCTTATTAAAAGAGACGGTACCTTCAGTAACCTACTGACAACATGACTCAAAGTAAAGTGAGTCTGCCCGAAAAGATGGTTGCGGCCGATCCGTGATCATGGGACCCGGGCGCGGCGGCAGGGTCTTCGGCATCGTGGCGCTGGTGCCGGATGAAAAGATGAACGAGGCGTCGTCGATGGACTCGTGGGTTCAGGCCGGCGACCGTCCGTTTGACATGATTTGCTTCTCTCGAGAAGTATGTTACCAATATTGAACTTGACTTCATATGTAAGCGCTATGTTGAAATGAACGACCATCTAGTGAGACTCTAATAACTTGAATGCAAGTTCGCCTTGAGACATGCGACATAATGTTCCTTACTCCGGTATTTAATGCACACAATGTCCTTCGCCAGATGCCTTTCAATCCATGCAATAAGTTAATCCCCCATGATACAAAGACCAAATGAAAAGGAAATTCCCTACACCATGCTATATTTATGCTCCATCCCGTCCAGTTCCCAGTCTATATGCAATTTGAGTCCCAAACCGCCAATATTCACGCGATGCAAGAAATGCTGCAGCTCAGACAAGGTTGAAGTTCCCGCGTCGAATAGTGCGGTGAAGATCCGCCCTCAACTTCTCAAACGGCAGCATCAGCATCCCACACTCGGAGGCCTCGCCAAACCCAATAATGTGCCCCAGCAACATCGGCCGATGCGACGCCACGGACCGGCGCACCCAGACGCCGCAGTCCTCGGGCACCACGCGATAGCTCGACGTGTTGACCACCAGGCCCTGGACCTTTGTCTTCCGCGCCGAGGATGAGGATGAGGACGAGGACGAGGACGATGACTCGACGCTGACGCAGTAATTTTGTGCTGCGACCACCACGCCCGTGACCTCCTCGCCGCCCGTCGTCGTGAACTCGACAAAGTCCATCATCTGCGGCGCGTGGACGTGCGCCGCCAGGTCCGCGACGGGGATCGCCTCCTGCGCGACGGCCGCCTCGTCGCCGGCGTACACGGCCGGGTCGACAAGCACGAGCCCGTAGGCGTGCTCGCGTGACAGGTGCACGAGCGTGCCCATCAGGCCTAAGGCGTCGAGGTGCGAGAACTGACCGTAGTGGATTTCTTTGGAGTTAGGTTGGCAGCGCGAGTGGCTCTTGCTGCTGCTCGAGCTTTTCTGCTGGCAGGTCGACCAGCCGAGGATGGAGACGTCTTCGCTGGTTAGCATGTAGAGGTTGTTGCCGTCGCGGATGAGGCCGCCGCCGGTGACGAATTGGGATGAGTTGGGGGAGGGGCCGTTGATGAAGAGGGGTTGGGGGGCTCGCCAGCGCGGGTGCCCTGTCGATGTCAGGGGCGAGTTGAGGAGATAGACTTCCATTGTGGCGAGAACGTGGATAACAAGAGAGACTGTAAGAGGACGGGTGCTTACTCATGCTCTGTTCCCATCATATCGTGTCGGCGAGCTCGAAACGACTTATATATGAATAAAGGAAGTCACATCCGTATAGTAGGACTCTCGAGGCTTGGACGTTATGGTCCTTGATGATCGTTATGGTCCGTCCGTATGTTGCTATTGATATCAATATCCATTGAAAAGTGAAGGCGTTCCCCCTTTGGGGTTTTCTGCTAGATCTGGAAATCCGCGGCACTTGTTTGGTGGGCTTATGCTGGGGGCCAAGGGCAGTAAGGATTCCCCCAGGATGCCGGTTCGAGGCTTGGAAGCTTATTTCCTGCAATGAGCCGCAGCGTTGCATCCTGTGAGGCGTATCTCGTCTTTCGGCTCCTGGTAGTGATCTGACAGCGCGACTTGTGGCTCTTGGAGTCTTGGAGGATGCTGAACTGTGACCATGATTACATACATAACTTCCACTCGGCCCCACACCGAGGTCTATCGAAAAGTTCCTACGGTTAAAACCTCCAGCTTTCCGCCCTCGCCTCGCCACACGATCGTCTTGCCGTACTAATTACCTAGTATGGGGAACGCGCCACAAATCCAACTGCATCATAACAAAAGGCCGCCATCACCAATATCGCCACCATCACCAAAGAATACATTCCAAAGTCAAGGGGCTCGCACCGCCTCCCAGACTCCTGGCTCACCCCAACCACCTGATATGTGTTCCTGCCAATACACTGGCGTGCTTGCAGCGTGCTTAGCTTACAATGAGCGTAATGAGGCGAAAGGTAAAGGAGGTTTCTACTGCTTACTGCGTACCGCGCTGATGGGTCCTAGATCTAAGCACCTCATGTATTACGGGTGACCTGGACGGGTTCTTGACAGGCACAGGGCTGTTCAGAGGAGATGGCTGAATCAGACTTCACAGCCTTGGTAATCTGTGCTGTGCTAGCAAGAGTCAGCATCATTGGGATACTAATAAAAAACAACCACGTGCCCAACGGGGTTTCCTGGATACCATGTCGGTGCCATGTTATGTCATGCCATAATGTTGAAAAGTGAAATCCATTTTAGCAGCATTACACCCATATGTTGTGAGATCAACATGGCCAGCCAGGTTCACTACGCGATCTTGGGCTTGGGACTGGCTTAAGGACCAATTCTACACGGTCATGTAAACTTCGTGAGCCGTGACCGAAGGAATGGGCGGTGTTCAAAGCCACGTGGGCATTCTAAGCCACACGTTACTGTAACACGGATTCCTAGCTCAACCCTTACCGGGGTAGGTAGCGTTATTCGTTGAGTCATGAATATTAAGCTAGAGTCACGAATGGTAAGCTTGATAAGGGTAACGTGACATTTTTATTATCATACAATCTAGGTACTTACTACGTCGGCAACTCGTATATATCGTTCATCACGAGCCATTGATAAAGCTCGATCATTGCTTACAGGCCGAAGTTCTGCTTCAACGCAGCCGCCACCGGATCTTCCGGCCCGTTACAAATACAAATCATCTTGCTGCCACTCATTTGGAGGCATTAAAGGCAAGGTAGTATCGCTACACCTCAACACTTATTCAAAGCAGGCAGTAAAAAACGAGCGGTCAATAGACTGATATCAAGTTCTACAAGCAAAATTTCCTACAAGAGGTAGCCAGCCAACGACGGCCCCGCTACTCAAACATAATCGTCAAGGTCAATCTCTTCCACGACTTGCTCATCCGGATCGTTCGCCAGCTTGGCGCGGTTGTCATTGCGGACGCGTCGGACGTTTTCCGCCAGGTTGTTCTTGTCGTACAGCTGGACGAGGACGGGTCTCATCATCTGCCCTTGGCGGTCGATCCGGCCGAAGGCCTGTCGCTGCCGGTCGCCGTTGCGCAGGACCTCTGTCACGATACAGTAGTTGGCATTCTGCAGGTTGAGCCTGACACCGACCATTGCCTCATTGCTGATTAGTACCCTCATGGGCTCTGGCTGCCCGTTTCCGTACTTCTTCTTCTCTTTGAACTTGTCGGTGAGCTCATTCCGCTCCTTTTGCGAGAGACCGGCGTGCACGTAGTACCATTCGATATTTTCTGTTGGTGGCTCCGATAAAGACACATAAAGGTGAGAAAAGAGCTGATGGGCGCGTCTGACAGGATCAGCATGTGTCGAGCAGTGGAGTTGTCAGGTGGTAGTGGTCCCAGCGCCTTCACAGCCGGGTCCGTTGCGTTTTTCTTCCGGAGGTCGATGAGTTCATCGAGATAATCCCGGAGAACCTTCAGCTTGGGCGACTCTCTCTTGAGCTCGTCCTTGTGTTTCCACCAGGGCGACTTGGCGAGAGCCTCCCTCACCTTATTCGAAGTAGCATTTTCTCTGATGAGTCTGGTGGTCTCGGTTGCCCAAGGCTGGATCTTCTTTACCAACATCGATTCGTAGGGCACCTCTTCTCCCCTGATCAAGCGCGCCACTGATGGGAACATAGACGCGTGCAGACCGGTTGCAGCGTCTGGGGTTTTGGGCCGCACGATTAAGCTCTTGCCTCTGGAAAGCCAATGCCTCGGGCTGGTCCCCTTGCACCTCGTCGTTCTGCCATTTCCGTACTGCTTCCTCGAAACCATTGTCGGTCCACGCCTGCACCTCTCGTGCCAAAGAACGGTGAGCATCCCGCGTTGGGCCATCCAGCATATTACAGGCCTTACTTGTGATTGGAGCTTCTGGGAAGATGTATCTGCCATTGAACTTTGATCGCTTCCGCCAAGAGTTGATCATCTGAGGTATGAATGGCGTCAGGATCTTTGTGACGTCGTCCTCGCGTTTCTGAATGGCATCGCGTTTCTTGTCATCCAACGATTTGTTGTGGAATTTTTCGATGAGGTACCTCCAGTCACGGTCCATTTCGTCGAACTTGGCGATATCTTCCTCGCTCTTCATCCCAGCTAGGTCTACTGCCCAGCCCTGCGAGACAGCGGTGGCTAGGGCATGCTCAACAAAAGGCTTCAGATTGCTGGTGTCGACCGAAGGCTAGCAGACAAGGCTATCGCAAATATCGGCAACCTCGAGTCATCTCTGATGTTTTGAAGCAGCTGGAAGGGTTGGGTCGGATTCTTGGGAGTTCCTTTATAAATGTGCCATTCATCGAAAACCATAGTCGCAGCGGCCAGCGTGCGCACTCTGAGCTTCTGTCCTTTCAGGTGGGCGTACTTACCTTCTCCGTCGTTGCCCTTCCAAACCGTATCTTCTTCGTAAAGAGAGATCAGCGCAGTGCAACCGGCATGGCTAACGACGATGACATGGCCCGCGGACGTTTTGGAGACAGGTACCACGTTGTAATCGGGAGCGCGGAGAACAAAGTCTGCCTTCTCCTCATGAACGATGCATTGGAAGGCTGCACTCTTCTTCCTGTGGACAAAAGAGCTCGTAGAAAAAGTGCTATGAGTGGTGGTGATAACCATGCGGCTGGCAGGACTGTCTCGGTTGCCGTCATGGAACTTTTCAAACTCGTCAATCCAATTTTGGATCAGATGAGGCGGGGCGACGATGATATTGGGCAATAGAGGAAGAACGGTAGCCAGCTTGTATGATGGCTCGGATTTGAGACAGGGACATGTTACAGGCCAACCCTTCTGACTGGGGTACTTCGCGTCATCGCCCTGCTCCAATTCTGGCAAATGCGTTTTGGTGGACATGCTTTGGGGCTTTGGGCCTTTCTACTCCTTGATGACATCGTCAAATCTTACATGTATCATGTAGATGATGATGAGAATGGATATCGCCATCCCTGTCTTGCCGAAGCCCACGTCATCACCGATCATGTATGCCGACAGGTTTTCCGAAGGGCGCGTGAGAGCTAGATATATCGTGTATAATTGGTAGTCCTTGAGCGGTATGCGGATGCCCGCGAGCTTCATTGTTCGCGCATTCTCAGTGCACTGGAAAAAATTTACACGCAGATTTCCAGATCTTCGCGTCAAATTGACCATAGTCAATGCCGATGCGTTTCAACACGATGTCGGCTTGTGTCGAGACTTCGGACTCGGCGGCTGTTGCGGCTTGGGAATCGGGGTCGTCGCTATCCCCTTGGTCTTCCCCGGCTTCCGGCTGGGGTGTTTGCCCTGGAAGACTGCATGGTGTTTCGACCCGCTTGCCTTTGTCCAATTTCTCTCTGGGCGAGGAATCTGTTTCGCTGGGAAGGCCTTTTTCGCCATTGGAGAGCTCGACGCTGTGTTTGTTGGCGTCAACCTGGGCCAACCAGGGGACAACCTTAGGAGTGGAAGCGGCTGCGACAGTCGCATCGAGAAGACCAGAAAGGCTATGCTCTTGGCTTGTCTTTGCAGTATGGTACGTGGTGTTACCACTCGAAACACCTTCTGCCACGGCTTGTTGGGGACCGGCTATAGGGCCAGCACCGATTTGTTTCAGTCGCCAGTAAGGAAGTCTCAGTGTGGGATGCTCTTCGAGAGGGAAGATGCCGCTCTGAATCTGAGTCAGCGCAAGACGAAAAGACGTCTGGTTATGAATTTGCTGCACACCCACTTCTTGCAAGGCACTGCCGATTACCTTGTTGGCGGGAAGACCTTTTGAATCTAGGTGTCGACGGAATCCGTTATAATCGTAATCCGTGACAACGCGAAGAGCCGATCGTTGTCCTCTTTCCATTGCTCCTTTTGGAATAAGAGCGTCCGTCCATGTTCCCGCGGAGGCAGTGAGAGCGGCAACCCCTTTCGCGTATCCCATTATCATTCGCGGCAGTAACCACACAAGTAGATGCAGTCACTCACCCACGCCCCAAGAGGACACGGCCTGGCACAGTGATACTCCGGTAACCGAGTATGCATAAAGTAAGCACTGGCCTTGCCTACACTGCCAGTCCGTTGGTACCCAGAGGGCGCAGGAACACGTGAGTGTCGATCGTCTAGACGCTCCTGTTCACTCTTCCCTCGCAGTAAAATCGCTATCATGGCATGCCGGGTACTGAGGCTAAGTGCGTCAGGTGCTGGGAACATACACCAAAAACTGGAACTGAGATCGAAGGTGTTTGGATAAGGCCCCCGGAGGCGCCTACTATCAAAAAGCTTGAACATTCGTTGCCGTACACAGAGTGCCGATGTGGCATTTTCGCCTTACTCCTTTCGTTCATGGTTGGTTTCTTAGCCTTCTTGCCCACCATTGCCTTTCCCCCCACCCCCTTCGAATACATCATGAGAGTAAATCGTAAAGTCGTGTATCCCTTACAAAGGAAATCCTCAGGCGAACGATTCATCAATCATATCCAACCTAGGGCCCTGGTTATTGTTGAAGTCGTACCACCATTCGCCTGACGTGTTTCCGATCGAGGGCCACAGCATATCAAGGTTAGATGAGGTGTCTACCGAGAACGCCATATCCATAGAGTCGGCCAGCATGTTCTGCATAGAGATTGCATCGTTCTCATTCGGGGGCACGAGGGCACCGGCTTCCGGGAAGGGGCCTCCGCTGACGATATCGACGGGAGGGTTCTCCAGAGCTGGGGGTTGCGCCTCGCTATTGCGGCTGATGTCGGCAAGGAAATCGATTTTCGCCGCCAGGTCACGCATCACCATTGCCGCACTGTTTGCGGCTCCGAAGCTGCGCCCGAAGATCTCGAAGGCTGCCACCGCCAGATCGATTGCTTGTCGCACAGCCACCGAAGTTCCGGCGCTGTCAGGGTGGGCGAACAGGTAGCCGGCGAGAGTAAGTGCCGCGTTCCATTGCCATTGGAAGGCTTCATGCCAACCGGTCAGGAGGGCATCACTCTCCGAAAGGACCTGGTGCATGATGCGTGTCAATGTCATGCCGTGTTCGACCGACGATGTGGCATGCGACCGGGTCATCGAACCTAGCGGCGAGGGATCGAAAGAAAGGGAGGGAAAGGAAATGAACGGTCTGTAGAGATTCATCGCCAAATTGTGGTAGAGCAACTCGAGAATCAGCCGCTGACGTTGAAGCCAGATGGGCGCAAACTGCTCAACGGCGAGAGGCTGATGATCTGTTGACAAGGACACGCCCCCTCCTATGCGCTTGGTCTTCAAAGCGTTGGGGACGGATCGAACCCACGTATCAAGGCGTTTGATTTCGGAAGCAAGGAAACCGGCGTAGCACTCCAAGGCTATCGGATCATCGTAAATAACCCGGCCCTTGCTGCCGTTGTAGATCTCTGGATACTTGTCGTACAGGGCCATGTGAACTCCACGCGCAGCCAACAACAAATGAGTGTTGTGCAAAGTGTATGTGAGCCAAGTTGCATTCTCGTCAAGGGGCGCAAAGTCGGAACCGGCAAGGCTAGCGACAGTGTTGTCATCTGCCGGTAGACTGCAGGACGTTGAGTACAGATCGGCATAAAAGGGTCGACCCAACTTCATGCAAGTCTTGCTCTCAAACGTGTAAAGTGTCCACCAAAGGCGTCGGTGCATCTCTTTCTGGGAAAAGGGCAGGTCGTCTGCTGGCTCTGTATGCAGGCCGAGCATATGGGCCGTGCGGACTGCAAGCGACAGAGCCGAGTGCGACATGTTCTGGAACGAGGCACAGCAGAGGTATATGGCTGAAAGCATATGACATTGTACGGTCATGATGGTCGGGTTTTCCTGCTCGCTGTTCAGTAGCCGTTGACACCGTCGGTAGTAGAAGCGCCCAGCTATGCTGGGATCGTCTTGGCCCACGTCAGCACTATTCAGCGTTCTAGAGCTGTTCCGTTGGATGATGGCCATGCCGACCTGCATGCTCACAGCAATGACAATGTCAACGAGAGCGGATGACTTCCTCGGCTTTCCTGGCTTCGCTAATAATGACTTGTAGTGCACTTTGAATTCGGCCTCGTTGAGAATGACCAGGGATGTGTGATACGACTGCCAAAACAGATCCAAGAAGTACTCCTCTTGTGACGGCGTCAGATAGTCCTCAGTAGACGTTGGCAGGTTCGTATCTTTCACATCTGCCTTGTTCTCGTCTGCAATAGGGGTCCAGTCCGGTGTGGCAAATGACTTCGCTACAGACTTCAGCTGTATATGATCGTCTGGATGTAGCTGTTGGAATACGGATGCCAAATATGCGTTCATCCGGCTGATAAAGTAGTATGCAGAGGATGGGCCATACCATGTTTTCTGTGGGGACTGGGCGGTGCTGGCATATACACCCTCCCAGACTCGAGAACGAGCCGGATCTCGCGGCACACTGACATCGGTGACCGATGGGGAGTCCAACGATGTGGGAGGTGTCAGCTCCGCCTGGGGCAGCCGATCTGAACTGACACTCTTCAATGAAGTGCGCTCAGTCTCAAGCTGCTCTTCGAGTCCCTTGACCTTTTGCTTCAATCGATCGATCTCACTAAGAGGTATGCTGGTTTCAGTAGCTGCTATAATGGGACGAGACATTGCATGAGATGGCGACTGACCGGTATGCTTGAGGAAGCGTGCGCCTTTCACCGGGACTCTTATTGTTACACTGCTCTCCTCTATTTATGCAATTCCTACTCGACGGGTTCGCTGGTCAGTTCCCATTACTCGTGGTAGGCCTCGGCGGGTGCCTCAAGGATGTCCAAAGCGTTCGGAATGCTGGAACCATCGCCGAGGTATGAGACTCCCCCTCCACGTGCACATTGTCAGAGTACTGACCTGCAAGGGACATTGTTGTCACACTTGACACGGTGCATTCGACATCTGGGATAAGGCCTAGTCAGCAAGTCCGGAGGAGATTGAGCGACGCAGGGGCGGGCTTACGCGTCGCAAGCACGAGCAACCTGGTGCCGTTTGGGCCTCAAAGGGGCCTCAAATGAATGTGGCTTGGAGGGCTCAGTTTCCTCAGCCTTGCCGCTCCCAGCGCGAGGCTGGGGTGCGCCGGTGAATGTGGTAAACATTGAAACGTATTTTGGTGGTGATCTTGCCGCTTCTACCTCGGGCGCGATCCGGGGCCAGCCCAACCCACTTGAAGTGCTAGGCGAAGATGACAAAGATGACAAAGATGATGCGAGCGAGCAAGCTCACAAGCGCTCATCAGAAATAAAAGCCAGGAAGAAGGCAGAGGGAGTGTTCGCCGTGGGGCTCAAGAGTATTGCTTCGCAGAGAGTGTTAGATGAGAGAGAGCCGGAGCTGAAGTCGATTCAATGTTCTCCGCCAAGGGCCAAAAGCCGTCTGATCAGTCAGCAGAAGAGCCGTGCTTTTGATTGGCCCGGTGCCCCATGTGGCCCACACTGCATTTTGTTAGACGATCGCCGCTTTAACGGGGGTTATCTTCCGTAACCATGTCGTCGATTGCTTCAAGATGCTTACAATACACTTGTTCTCCTTGATTCTGCTCGTCGCACATGATGCCATCTACCATGTTTCTGGCCACCCCCAATCATCGTCACCAGCAAGATATCAGTACATGCATGATCCAGTCCAGCAAGTCGACCAGAGTCCAGAGGAGGTGGGCAGATTGTCCGGTCCACCCATCCCATCAGTCCTTGGTGACATAGACATACGATATGCCAAAGATTGCGTACAGAAGTAGTCCAAACAATGCGGCCGTGCTCGCGACACCCACGAACAGGACGAAAAAGTCGAGGTACACTCTCGTGAGTTCCGGCGAAGGTGTCTGATCAATCTTCAACTTTCAAGCTTGTCAGTTGATTCAAAGCCATCGTTGGAAGCTGAGTATTGATGGAAGAGTCGAATGCAATTCGCACAAGGCGAGGAGCGATGGAGTCTCTTTGATAGGAAAGGGAATAACTCACCTCTGCGAGGCCATGTGTGATGCGATCATTCTATGAAAGACACCTCTGGGTTAGTATCATGATACAGGCGGGGCGGCCCCTGCGGACTGGTGCAGTCTGGGAGTGGCAATGGGCTTCATTGCTTACATTGACCCGCCGGAGTACATCATCAGGGAGGCGCCACACGATGTCCGAGCGAGGCTTCCATTAGTCCTGGAAGGGTCGAGCGAGCTCCATGCGGTCCGGTGTATGCAGCTCGCGAGGGTACCAGTGAATGCATTCGATGGGGTCAGTCTCGTTGAGATCCGTAGAGTAGGTGTCCGATGACGTGTTCGGTAGGGCAACCCAATCCTTATCGACCAGAAAGGATCGAGTCTCTCGCGAGGATGAACCTAGGCCTTGGGTGCCTCCAAACATGACGGTGTTTGTCGAGGTCGGGGTTTAGGTATCGAGTTGTGCTGCGGTTCGGAGGGAAGTGGAAGCGGGAGTAGGAGTGCTGGAATGTGGTGCGGTGGTGGGTGATTGGGTGATTGGGTTGTGGGTGTGCAAGGAGAGAGTAGAAGTCACCTGGGCAGGGGAGGTTGTTGGGCTGGCTGCAGGTGCCTTCCAGTTGTCCCAACTGGAGCATTTACTGAAAACGTCGAAGGAAGGCACGATATGGATGGTCCGTGTGCTTAACTCACGTATCACATTATGGTACCTGCCGAAGCCTTTTCCCACGACGCACTTGCCACCTGGGCAACTTCAAGTGGAACGGTACCTTCCCTTTCTCGGATCTCCCCTACGAGAAATCAATGTTATCCTGAGTTGACTAAAGGGGCACTCTTGCAAGACCGCACCGATTCCATTGCGTGACCGGACATCAAGTCACCCTGAATTGCACATGGAGGGCTTAAAATAGGTGTGAGGGCACTTGAACAGGCACATCTGTCAAGTTTCTGGGTCAGATGGCGACTATCCTACTTCCAGTATCCCCATTATCTTCCATATGGCTCACTAAAAGGTCCAATATGCAGTCAGCTTATGTACGCATTTAACTCATGTAGCGGCGCATTTTAGCCCGTTGGGAATTCGAAAGACAGATTGCGTGCGATAAGTGAATCAGTGCATACACGCGGACCTTAGTTGATTTCTTCTCATCTACTCAGAAGACCGCGTTCACTTCTATGGCGTCCATGAGAGCAGCCGCCTTCGAAGCGAGCACCCTGGTCTCGGCACTCGCGCCCTCGTGGTGTTCCACCCCCCTGAATCCGTTCTTCCAAAAGCGCCACCGCTCGAGGGTATAGCCTGGCTGACACCTTCGAAAATAGATCCCGCCTTAGTGCTCTGGGCATCGATCGGAGTGATTTCTTGAGGCACCTGGACCTGCCTGAACAGCCACTGGCCAGCGTGCAGGATCCACTGAGCGGCGGCAGAGACCTCGGAGTTGGAATACTTGGGATTGAAGGGTTCTTCCAGCGCTTTCCTCAGGCGCCAGAGTCCACTGCGAGGTTGAATGGGAAGTTCGTAGGATCCCAGTAGGGCCACGAAAGCGTTGGAGTTTACCCATCGTGCCGCGTCCATCGCTTCAAAGGCTCCGCCTTCCCTTCCACCAGCTGATAAACATTAGTCACGCATCACCGAGATGGCGTATCTTAGGGCACGTACGGAAGTGATAGTCGGCCAGGACGAGGGTCAGTCCTTCCGGACGAGGCGAGTAGAAGAACCCCTCCTATTGGCGTTGGTCAGAGCCACAGAGATTAGACGCAGCTTGCCTCACATCGGAGTCTCGCGTCCTTGTCGTCTTGGCAGATTCCGTGAGACAAACAACGAGCCTGGCTAGCTTAATCTGTGAAGGGTGGTTGTAGGGGATTTGGAATGTAATTTCAAGGCAAAGAATCCATAAGTCAGAGAGCGGCTCCGATTCCTCTGGAACTGGAGGTTCTGGGAGCAGTTTGGCAACAGACTGAGCCGCATCTATGACGGATGACGAGCTGCTAGGCTGTAGGTACGAATCGATGACTTCGTAGACCTTCCTCAGGGAGAACGCCGCCGGAGTTGATTTGCTGCTTCGGCTGAATTTAGAGAGAAAGCTGCTAGCTTTGCTGGACCCCAGTTCTTCCTGGCTGTCTTCCAGTAACTCTCCCACATCGAAAAGCAGCGGTTCAGGCATCCTGAATCACGGAAAAGGTTCGCTCGGGCTTGGTGACAGACAATCGTATAAGATGGGGTATGAGTGATCATGGAGGAGGAATGAGACGTTGCGATGCGCAACCACTGGCTCGATGTGCGGGGTTCGAGCTCAGCCAGTACCTTTACTTACGCGGCTTCGCGAGGGTACCCTTCACCCCTCGAGGCTTCGCTTCTTCATCCGCAGGAAGGATAGTTCAGCTACTTGATTGCACGTTAGACGCAATGGAGTTCCACAGGAGGGTCAATGGGAGGACGATGATACCCCTGACCCCTTTCCCAGCTTGGCTGCTGATTGCGTGGCAGCTGGCTGCCACGCACTAGCGGCCGGGACGGACCGACAAGTCTTGCATTGAACCATACGGAAAATTTCCGACAAACACAGGGCATCCAGGTCACTTTTCCAGAGGTGGCAACTCAAGACCTCGGAGTCCTCAATTGATCTGGCACTTATATAAGTCTTACGTGACGGATTGATGCTCGCCATTCATCACGACAGCGAATCCTTCCTCTCAGCGCAGCCTGCGTGAGTTGCGGGCTACTCTTTGGACTCTGGAGGCCGCTGATGCCAGGATAACCCCAACTTCTCACCAGCCTGTGTGATTGACACAATGCCTGCCCTCACAAAAGCGCAGCGGAAGCAGGTTGAGGCAGCAGAGGAAGCGTTCAACCGCACATACGCTGTCCAGTTCGACCAGGAAAGATGGCAGCAGACCCTGTACCCAGCCCTGATGGCCCCCACGCGATATGCCACCCTCATCAATCGCTATGCAACACCTGGCAGGCCTGACGTGTTCACCGAAGACGAGAACAAAGCTATGGAAACAGTCAATCTCCCGGGTCGCACGGATCAGTCCAGCGAACGCTCATTCGTGTCCTATCAATGGTGTACGGCAGAAGCCGACAAGACGTTCCCACCGCCCCAGGCCGATCCTTCAACGCGGCTCATGACGCATTGGAACCTGGATGCAGCCTCTCTACTCGCAGTTCACATCCTTGGTCCCAAGCCGGGAGACAAGCTGCTCGACTTTTGCGCAGCTCCGGGCGGGAAAAGTGTAGCACTGGCACAGATGTTGCGGCCCGAAGGCTTCGACGGGGCGTCGCCCTCTTTAGCGGGTGGTTGTCTTCACAGCAATGAGCTCAACAATGCACGCAACAAGCGCCTTACTTCCAACTTGCAGTCATATCTCCCCGAGGCCCTCTTCAAGACTGGCGAGGTGAAGGTCCTGAAGCTTGATGGTACAGAAGCCAGCGCCGCGCAGTCGCTTTCTCTAGGGCCTGGCGGATACGACAAAGTCCTCCTGGACGCCCCCTGCTCGAGCGAACGGCATGTCATCCACGCCAACGCGAAGGCCAGGCAAGGCGGTAGGGTGGCCGATGAGATGGCCTCCTGGCGGTCGGGGCAGTCGAAGAAGATGGCCAAGACCCAGGCGGCGCTACTGATGACCGCCCTCAAAGCTGTCCGGGTTGGCGGCAGTGTGCTCTATGCGACGTGCTCGCTGAGTAACGAAGAGAATGACGGCGTGGTAGAAAAGGGCATCGAACTGGTCGGGAAAGAGCGCAAGAAGTTCGGGATCAGGTGGAATCTTGCCGTGCGGAGCGGCGATTTAGCTGGCCGTGGGCTGGAGCAATGGGCCGAAGCCACGAAACACGGGTGGATGGTTTTACCCGACCATCCCTCGGGCGGGAAATGGGGTCCGCTATTCTTTGCTCTGCTCGAGAAGGTCGCTGTTTGATCCGAGACTCTTCGACGGCACGCAGGAAGCAACCGGCCTTTAAATTGTCCCTTCGCGCACCAAAACAGACTGACGTCTTCGGCCACGGAATGATGTGCCAAGCGAATGCGGAGCAATGAAGGAAGAAATGCCGACGAGCAGAATTACCACCATCGACATTCCGCAAGAGAGTCCCTCTCTCGTTGCCTTTCACTTCTCAGGTTCATCTACCGCAGTTCTTCGAGGGAGCTGGCTGTCAGCTGATAGCAGGTAGTTGCTTGCGCATCAGCAACGACGAGCTTGCTCGTAATGTGTATGTGTCTCAGTGAGGACCTTGCCCGCGCTGTCACCCATCAGCCTTTTCGCTTGTAATATGGGGGAGGCATCCATCCGCTTGTGGCAAGAACACAAATGAGGCGTTCCACCAGCATCAGCTATATATATATATCCCTTAGCCAGGCGCGAGCGGCCGCAACACACCACAAGGCAAGCCGATAGGTCAAGAGTCGCAGCGAAGTGAGCGCACTGCGAGGCAAGGAGGATCGTAACATGGACCATGGCAATACAACAACAAACTCGGACAAATACAAGGTCTGTGACTGGTCACTAGGTATCTAGCAATATATGCCGGCAGGCAATGAAGCCCTTCTATGATTTAGCCCTTCTAAGTAACCCATGATCCAACCCTTCTATGTAACCTATGAAATACACCTAAATGAACACCACACCGCGTATAAGCGATCCGCCTTGACGTTCGACTATCTGTAGAGTTTCTTCTCTAATAACACCGTTGCTTGAGCGGTCAGGGTTATTTGAAATCGACGAAAACCCTTGTTGTCAGGTAGCCCGGCCTCATCCCGCCAGGTATATTCCGATCAGGTGTAGGTTGGTTGTTGAACGTTGTCTTCACAACGGATGACTTGACTTTGTCGTTCCAGTGATCTGACTTCAGGATCTCGTTCCACATGGCGTCTGTAGTTTTATCAGAATGCACGTACCGGCTGCCAACATCGCGGCCGTCGTGCAACCCCATACCCTGTATGTACATCCTCGCAGGCCCACCCCGTTTCATCAGTCGTAGCATATTTGATGCCATCTCCTTCTGCTTGTCTAGGTTAAAGAGGTGCAGCACGTTTGTCGCAAGTAGGGTATTTGCGGATTCCTCCAATTTCTTCACATTGGAGCCGTCGGTAAGGTCGAACGGGGCGTGGAAATTGCCCTTCTCGAGCTTTTTCTCGTCCTTCCAGAAGTTGAAGGCGATGTCAAAAACGCCATCCTTGAGGTTCGTGGCTACAAGGCGCTTCGGATCGATGCCTTTGTATGCCAGCCAGCGGGTGTCCGGCGCAAAGAAGGCGCCCACCTCGATGACTGAGGCTCTATCGCCGGTTCTCTTCAGCCACGACAGGACCTCTAGCCCGAAGCTACCTCCGACCGCAAGAGGCGGCCACATGACTTGCTCCTTCTGGGCAAAATTCTCCGGTTCGATCTTCACTGCCTTGTCGTAGGCTTCTACGATTTTTTGGTCAGCTTGAACGTTGCTGTAGCCTGTCCAGTCCCTGATGAATTTGTAGATGGCCTCGTCACGTGCACGTGCGAAGAGGCTGGGCGTTGTTTCGCGGCTGAGGATTGTCGGTGCCGCTTCGGCCCATGAGGCGAGGCCGATGCCGGCCAGAAGAAAGCTGGATAGCTTCATGGTGGAGCTGGCGAAGATTGTTGCGGGAAGAGATGGAATGTGTCGCCTTGGAGTGTGTGAGTGGTCTGTATAGATAGATGCAAAGGAATCCATATGGCCATTGGGGTCAACGACTCCTTTATAAGTCGAGAACAGTTGATCCGGCCTGGTGAAGAAGACGTGTCTCTTGCGAGGGAATCCGAGACCGAAGGCAAAATGGTGTAGCCCGTGGGCTGCAACGGAGTGGCCGACATTCGAATGTGGCAACTCGGGTATCACCGAGTCTCACATTCTGGATGAGCGACAGAGAGTAGGATGTCGGTCCGGAAGACTGACCCAAAGCCGCGATTCTCGCAGCAGCAGCGGATGGATCATCGCGCTGGAGCGGGCGAGGCCCTGGTATGCTCACAAGCTTCCAAGGATTCCGACATCCCCACCGGGACCAAAGAAGCCCATGTCCGTTTGCTTTTCTTATGGCTGTCACTTAAATAGCAACAAGGAACTTTCTTCTTCACGCTTTCAAGAACTTTATCCATCCTTCGAGGCCACAAAGTTCCTGCGATGACGCACATGCTTACAACACTTGCCACTACTCCTGTCACCGGTGAAGCGAACGACGGTATAGCTACCTAGGAGGCTTGCGCCCATGATCCGCCGAGGCAGGGGAAGCCCGGGAAGGCAGCAGAAGACAGGCTGGGGATGGATGCTTGCGAAGTGGCCTCCCATGTGGGTGCCACAAGGGTCCTCGTGGGCTGGAAAAAGCCGATCAGCTCTTCGCAAGGATACCTACCATCCTCTCGCCCAGAATGACGCCCTGGTGACCTTTCGGTCAGCATCCATGGCGAGTTATGAGACAGGACGATGGAGCACAGGCGGCCTTGCCGGATCGGGGCCCATGGTCAACCATCGTATACCCGGCGTTACGTAAGCGATCGTGGGTCTAACCGCCGCAGGGGGCTTGGGGTAGTCGGGACTCGGGACAGGACTAGGCGTGGAGGAAACGCCTTCGGGTGTCGTGACAGGATGCTGCTCCGAGCTCGAAGAGTTGGTCGCAGGTTTGAGCTTTGAGGCTGGGCGTGAGGATGGAACACGTGCATGTCGAAAAGCAGGTCTGCGAGGGGATCTACCCAGGCTTGATGAGGCGGCCGACGATGGGCGCGTATGTAGATTTGGCACTCGAAGGACGTCGGTAAGGCTAAGTCGAAGAGTAACCCGACCTGGCGACGTCTGCGTATCCGAGAGGTCTTCGGTCTTGAGGCAACAAGGTGGATCTGCTCCGAAGTCGTCGTTGACTGTGTGTGTTCGCTGCTGAGTGTTCCGATCTTGCCGGGTTCAATACCTACCTATGATAGGAGAAGCATGCATATATATAAATCATTATCGTGAACTAGAAGGCACAACGCCATAGGTACAATGCATATGAGGTCGCTACTGCTCTATCTTCCTCGCTGTCCAGACCAGATTTGAAGCACCCATGTCCCTACCTCCTTCCATCCTAAGCACATTGAACTGGCTGCAGTGCAATCCAGCTTGATCATTTACGATTGGGAACAGATTAGTGCCTTACCACACTATCACCTACCAGCGTACCTCTACTGCTCTAGAGTCCACCACCCGAAATCCCGAGCGAGAAGCATTCGGTGGTCTCCTACTTCCAGCTCTCCTCCCACTTTATACAATCAACGCTCTCATAATCAGCCTCTTGACAGTTGCGGGCCGCACGCTGCCCTAGACACCTTCTGATTGGCAGGAGAACGTTGAAGGTTCAAGATCAGTGCCATCGAGTCCCCAGTCGTCCCTCTTTTTCTCCCTCCCACCGACCATACACAGGAAGGGGGCGCTCAAGATTATGTTTTGGACTTTTCCTATTACCATCCCCCCCCTACATCTCGGACACCCCCACATCTCGTACAGCAAAACCCCACCACCACCACCTAAACCCTATATGTTCACTTATACGCTTTCAGCCTGATATTGAAGCTATTCAGAATGTATTTAGTGCTCTAGATAGCCCTGATCTTAAGGTTTAATCCAATGTAGAATTTACCCTGCGCGGCCTACGTGATTGGCTGTCTATTACCTCGCGTTTCCTACCCCGAATAGAGATTTTTGGGTGCTAGAGCCTCGTCTGAAGCCTTGTTCTGTATGCACCGCAGCATCGTATAGCCGCCTAAAATGCCTCTCAAACCGTATACAGAGGATCAGATGGCGAATGCCATCTTAGATGTCACGGATGAGGGCCTCTTGCTGCGAAAAAGCGCTCAAAAACACGGCGTCCCTGCTACAACGTTCTCTGGCCAATTTAACGACAAGTCCTCAAAAGGCAAAGGCCATATACACCAACAGAGACTCTCTCTTGCTCAAAAAAGCACTATATTCAACTGGATTTTGTGTCAGGAGAAGCTAGGACTAGCCCCTTCGCACTCCCTGGTGCGTGAGATCATCGTAAAGGTGTTGAAAAAGAACGGAAATTCAGGCCCCCTTGGAGACCACTTCATAACCGGCTTCAAGCGCCGCAACCCCCAAATAAAGACCAAAGTTGGCAAAAGGATGGAATCAGCGCACTTTAAGGGCTTCATGCCGAAGGCAGTTAACTGGTTCTTCGAAATTCTAGAGGATTATGGCTGGGTCAAGCCAGAAAACACGTATAATGTCGATAAGGGCGGCATCATGGCAGGTTTTGGTAACTATAACCAACCCTTTAAATCTGTAGATATTCTAATTAGCTTTATAGGCATTGATTCTTTGGTTTTAGGTAGTTCTACTACTAAGAAGGCCTTCTTAAAAAGCCCTTAAATCCATAACTGAACCTCTTTCATTGAGGCCATCTCTGCAACTGGAAAAATCCTCAAACCAGGTATTATCTTCAAAGGGAAGGACCTCCAGGCCCAGTGGTTCATCAAGGAGTTTTGAAAGACCGCCAATTGGCATTATATATGCTCAGGAAACGGCTGGACTTCGAATAACATAGCCTGCCAGTGGCTAGAAGATGTCTTCATCCCGTAAATAGACGAGATACGAGGAAAAGATCAGGCTAAGTCTATTCTTTTAATACTAGATGGCCATGATAGCCATACCTCCGTACGTATATGAATTTTTTTATTTAATATAGACTTCCTTTATTTCTTTCCTGATTTAATAAGGGCTAATGCGTGTTATAAGGACGAATTCATGACCATCTGTTATTTTGCCAACATATTGCTCTGTTTCTTCCCTGCGCATACTAGTCATGGCATGCAATCCCTAGATAACGGGTCCTATAATGCCCTGAAGGCTCACTACCAGAAATTCCTTTCTCAGCTAAATTCTCTGACGGATGCCTCGCCTGTTGACAAGATCAACTTTATTCGGTGCTATAGCCAGGCCAGAACTGCTGTTTTTACTAAGGCAAACATCCTTTCTGGCTTCAGAACTACTGGATGTTATCCTATCAGCCGCAGGAAGTGCTTAGCGCATCCAGAAATCCAGGAAGAGAAGCAGAAGACCCCTGAGCCTGAGACCCCTGAAAGCTCTGAACCAGAGGACTAACGGACCCCTACTACGAGCCGCCAGATCATGAATTTCGGCAAAAAAGTCCCCTGGCACCCGGCTGAAGTACAGGAAGATAGCCACTGCGTTCAAGGCTAAGGAAACCGACCTTGTTATCAAAGACAGGAAGATCAAGGCCCTGGAGGCTGAACTAGAGCGGCTACGGCCAAAGAAGCGGCAGAAGATCCCTAATCCTAACAGGAAGTTCAGAACAGTCACGGAGGTACTAAGTACGGGTGGTACCATCACCCCTGGTGCCTCTGCGGATGTACCAGAAGTTGTGGTTGATGATGACGAGGAAGAAGAAGCAGAAGACGAAGACTCGGCTGAAGAGGCCGCTTCGGAGGCCATACAGGAGCCTAGGCAGACCCGTTCGGGGCGATTCATTCGGGCGCCCACTAGATATTACGAACGATCAGCTTCAGCGCTCTTGAATGATAATTTGCTGGATTTCTCGGACCTGAATGACTTCTTTTACATGTGGGTGAATAAGGGGGTGTTTTGGTGGTGGTGGTGGGGTTTTGCTGTACGAGATGTGGGGGGGGGGATGGTAGCCAGTCTGCATCTTACCTGAAGTATAATAGCTGATTAAGGTTCGCAACCACTCGCCGAAACTCACTCACGATGTAGACTGTGATGATTCGTTCGAATACCTCTCTGATTCTGTCTGTCCCTCTCCGTCCAAGAACTAGTGGCCCCAAACATGCTCAAGTTACTGATTGTGCGCGGTGAACAGGCCTCCCTGAAAACATACAAAAGGGCCGTTCTGTCTCGCTCGTTCCCATTTCCTCCATCCTTTCTTTCCCTTCCTCAACATCCCTCACACCCTCATTAACGGCCCTGCCGCCCACCCCCCATATCCTCGCCATCTCTCCATCCATCTTCCATCTTCCTATCGCACACCACTTCACCTCCTTACCGGCCATCATCCTCTCCGCATCCACCTTCTTTCCGCAGACCTTGCCATCCTCTCTCCATCTTCTGTCCGCAGACCCATCCTCTCTCCTTCCATCTACTCTCCGCCGACCTTGCCATCCTCCTCCCATACTCGACACACATACCTCTCGTCTCATCCGCCTTCTCGCCAACCTCACCTCTTCTCCCACATCACCTATTCTCTTTGCCGACTTCACCTCTTCGCCAACCTCGCCTCCTCCCCTCCTCCCCTCCTCGCCGACTTCACCCCATCGCTAACCATCTTCGTTCCTCTACTTACCGCATCCCTCCGGGTCCTCAGCTCAATTCTCACCGCCCACAACCGAATATTTCCATTATCCTAAATCTTATCTTCTTCTGTTCCCCGCTTCGCCTTCCCATTAACCTCTCCTTCTTTCGCCCTCGCCTTCGGTCTTATCTCTCACCCCACCTTACTCTACTCGCCATGCACTACTCTCCTCTCTACTTGCCTCGCTCTACTCACCCTACTCTACTCGCCTGGCTCTACTCGCCATGCACGACTCTCCTCTCTACTTGCCTCGCTCTACTCACCCTACTCTACTCGCCTGGCTCTACTCACCCTGCTCTACTCACCTACTCACCCTGCCCTACTCACCCTGCTCTACTCGCCTGGCTCTACTCACCTCATCTGCCTTATCCTCTCCGACCTCCACTCCTACCTCAGCGTTGCTTTGCCTGCATTTCATAGTACCGGTCTGTGGTACTCGCGTCCGTCATGTACAAGCCGCTCGTCCAAAAAGCGTAGGAAAGGACACCTGGCCAGCTCGATATGTGGGTTCGAGTCCCACCGTCGGGTGCTGATTAAGTTTGGGTAACACCCCGGCGTCGTCTAAAAGATGTTGGTCAAGACGTCGAGCTGCCCAGGAGATCTCGGTTCGATCCCGAGGCGGGGGAGGGTTGAAGTCCACCGAAAATGGGACCCGTCTAGCTCGGCATGACGTTAAAGGCCACAACACATCTCGTCGTCCAGGCCGAGGTTCTACCAAACTGCCTGACAGCCTTGGAATGGCTATACACACTTTCCACCGGGCACTCTGCCCAACCGCTCTCGAGCACGACGAAGTCCTCGCTACGATCTTTGATCCGGCTCGGCAACTACATACTCTGTAGTTTTTAAAGGAGTCGCTCTCGAGCATCGTACAACTCCATACAAGTCCAGTGCTGCGATCTATGATCCTCCTGCCTGGCATAACTTTTTTTCATTGTGTGCGTTGCCGTGTGCAGCGCCACGAAGAAGAAATTTGGTGTTGGTGAGAGCTTACCTCTCGTGGTGAAAACTTTGTGTGGGCGTAGCCTATCTGGGGGCTGTGGCTGGACATCCGGGTGCACCGGACGGGAGTTTCGGGCGTGGAGGTTGCAGGTATCGGAGTCAGCGCCGTCCAAAAATAGGAGATAGGGGCGCTAGATGAACCCAATCCCGTCACACTCGCATTGAAGCACGTGGCAATGGTAACTACCTCCTACCTTCCACTTCATGGTGTTCGTTCTCTGGCGCTTTTACTTTACTTTCTTGCCGTCGCAACAGGTTTGCTCGATGGTAGCTGATGGATGCACAGTCAAACGCCCGGCCTCTCGCGAACAAAGCTCTCGCATTTCTCTCTGGCTTTTGAACGTGCACGGAAACGCAACGTCTTTTATGCCAAGTCTATTACGGATTCTCGCTTTGCTACTGATGCCCACTCGTCTTGGCCTCTGGATGATCCTTGGTCACTTAGACTCCATCTCTTGCGAAGCCACCATCCACCACGCCGGCCATTCCCTGGCTTGATGCATTGCCCAGAAACAGCACAACCCATCTGTACGGTGTGTGTTCTCGATGTTTCCAAGCAAGTTGTGGAAGGCTCGCACTTTTTATTCTCAGCGCATCGTCTGGGCAGTTTTACTTATGCCCCTTTCAGTCACATCTTGTACTGACGTCCGATCAAGCTTGAGTTCGCAGGGAACTGCTAAATGTTAGCGATCGCGTATGCTCTTTGGCAAATGCTGACGCCGTCGTTGCCAGCCCCTGAGCTGCCAGCCGCTCGTTGTATACCCCTTAGTCATCCACGGCAGACTAACAAGCAGGCGTTCCCACCCTCCAGCACTGCTACAGCGCACATCGACTTATCAAAAGACCAAAAAGAAATCTTCCCACATCCACCTGCACCAGCACAGCTTGCGCATTTCAGCCATGTTGTCACTCCAAGAGACTTCGTGTTCCCAACCCGGCAGATTGAAATGATATCGATGTTGTGGAATCAATTCAGGCTCTGCCACAACCTTGAGCAAATAAACAATGGTTTTTTTTTTGGTGGCTCATGGCTGAACTCTGTTCGTCTTCTCCCTCAACCTCAACGCCACTAGCGATCACTCCAAGAGAAGGCCATGAAGAAAGTATAACCAAGAATATCTATCACGCAAAAAGCAAAACATACAACACCGGGGATTCGCTGGTCGTCACCGACCCAACTACTAATCCGGCGGTATCAAGCTTATTTAAGGCAGAGCGGACGGGATGCCAAGTTCTCCTGATCCTATGGTCGTATGTGATAGAATGAACTTTGAACAGGGGCTATATACTAGCAAGACAGAATTGGGCCCTCCCTCCGGCTTCTCGACTTCAATACATCCAAGTCTGTCTCTCAGAAGGGTCACCCATCTCAACGACGGCTTCACACCAAGCGAGTACCGCGATCTCCTCTTCCAATTACCAGGCCGTTTGGGCTTAACAACAAAACGGCAGGTCATCTGACCTAGCTGCTCATTACTTTACACAAGGACGCAAGGGAAGAAACATGTCTCGAAAGGTTATCGTTCCGTGACGCCGTGGGAGCCCTCGATCCCACACAGCTCAACCACAGTTAGGTGGATGATCGTCAAGGACGCCGCCATTACCTGCATGATGGGAGCTCGACACAATACACAGTCCTGATCATGGCGGCCACTGTCCGGTCCCGCGGAGGCATAGGTACATGCCTGTGCTGCACCTGTCCTGTTGTCATCTAGGAATCCCATAAGTCTGAGTCCCCGAACAACTGTTACTGGGGAGAGGCCGGTCCAACATCACAATCCCCGACCAAGCTCCCCATACCCCCGCGCGCCTCCCGAAGATTGTCCTCCTCGTGCAGGGTGACGCGGATCAGCGCCAGCAAGAACCGCTTGACCAGAACCAGGTCCGTGACCGAGCACGATGCGCCCAGCCGCCGCCTAGCTGCTCGATGCTCAGCACGAGGATGTTGTCATCGCGCTGGACGTCGTGATGCATGAATTGCTCCAGGTCGTGCTGGATGGCGGGGAGGTTGGGGTCAGTGCAGCTCGTCGTGGTCAGGGAAGAGGAAGAGTCAGAGATGGAGAAGGTGGAACAGAAAGCCAGGAGATGGCAAAGCCGACTGTGAGCAACAGTAAACGGCATCGGCGCCAACATCACCGCATCCTGCACCCAGTCGTTCAACGGCAGCAGCACTAAAGTTAACATCAGCCTCTCGAAAGTCTTGTCCTCGATGGTCTCATCCCCGAAGCGGCGGAGCAGGCGCACGAGCTTAGCGATGTTCACGTGCGTCGCATTTCAAACACCCTATCAAAAAGTCGTTGCGCACGCTTTAGCAAACATGATTCCTCGCTCTCTGGTAGTGTTCGAGCTAGCGCTTCTTCTTCTTCTTCTTTTTCTTTTTCTTTTTCTTTTTCTTTTTCTTTTTCTTAAGCTGCTATTTGTTGACTCAAGATGCAGGCTGGCAGGTAGGTAGGTAGATACTCAGACTCAAGTGGACCACCCTCCCTTCTGAGATAACTTACTGGGACGAACACATCCTTCATATACACCACCTGAGCTGCACGCCGGCACCCAGCATAAGTTAGCCAGCACACCAGCAAAGCCAGCTTCTCAGAGCATAGGAAGCTCTTGTCCCAGGATCTCACTCTCGTATGTAGTCTCAACCTCGACACCAAAAGCCTGGAATCGGGGTGTTGAATGTGCTGATTGGTGGATGCCCGGTGTCTAGAGGCCGCCACGTTTGGCGGAAGCATCGACTGAGTCGTGAAGCACATGATACAACGCAGTCGACGTCTACCTACGAAACCCCACCGATGCTGAAAATAGTAAGAAAAGCTTCGCCGTCCTCATTCATGAATTGCTCGGAAACATCATAGCCCAGAGATGCTCGCAGTCAACTCGCTAGTTTTGAACCGGCGAGAATCGCAAGGTAGTGTCTGTAGTCAACTGCGAAACGCCTCACGCACAATGACATGTCATCCAACACGAGACATCAATTTAGCAGTCATTGTAATCTAGCAGTCAATATGTGTAATCAGAAATGCCATACCAGTATAAACAACAAGAGCCCTCTCTCTACCTACCTCCTATACTAGGTCCCCACTAGCACTACGCCAACCCTTAAGATTTCCAGGTAAAACACCATCAACAACATGTATTCATGTATGTCGTAAAGAACACCACTCAAGTCTCGGAGGAACCTATCCAGTGCACCAGTGCAGTCCAAACACGTACCGAACACCTAGACCTATGTATTTCCACCCGATCAGAGGGAGGCACCCAGATAGGTAGACAACTATAAGAGCAATCAACGCCCGACTCCAACCCATGCAAGCAGGACTCCGATGCCGGTGGGAGGAAGAGAGCTTACCTTACTCAAGCCATCCATCAAACAACAACGCCGCAGGCCCGTAGCCCGGCATGCTTATTCCGCTTTGCCTCATCCCCGACCGTGCCAACCATGATACAAGATTGCCGCTGTGCCCTGCCCTGTTCCGTTTCCGATATCGTATCATGTGTTCACACACAAACCATCCCCGTTATGCAAGACCCTGTTCCATTCCCCATCGTGATCCATGCCACGACCATCGTTCGTAGCTTTTATACAACCCACGGACACCACATCATAAACCAGTGAACCAGCCGCGCAGGCCCCCCCTACGAAGCCCACCGGCCGTCCTCCTCGACGATACGGGCGCCGGCCGAAATGGCAGCCCGCCCGCCGCCGGTTCTTCCATACAGCATCTCCATGAGCTTGCCCTTCTGGCGGGCGCGCACGCCCTCGAGGTAGACGCCGACGTCCTCGAGGCCCTTGATCTGCTCCTCGAGCGTGAGCGTGCTGCTGTTGACGCTCCGCACGAGCGGCGAGACGAGCTTGCGCCGCAGGCTCTCGAGGTTGGCCTTCAGCGTGAGCAGCTTGCCGTTGTGCTCGACGAGGATGCCTTTGTTACGGACTGTCTTCTCGCGCACGTTGAGCAGGAGCTCGCGGTTGCGCTCGTACTTCTTGACCTCGCTGGCTTTCGGGCCCAGGATCCGCGTCCACATTGAAGAGAGCAGGTCGTTGTGCTGCTCGTCCTGGGCACTGGACTCGCGCACGACGGTCCGTGCTAGGTTAAGGAACTGTCGGTCGATGGCCTCGAAGAGACCGAAGAGCGCCAACGAGTGCTGCAGTTCGTTTTCGATGGCTTCTTCGAGGACGGAGAGGAACTCGGTAAAAGTGCGCTGCAACGTGTAGCGGGTGCGTTGCGGTTGCGACATGCCAAACACGGTTGTCGCCACAGCACCGAGGCGCGTAGGAGTGCCCGTGGCCGGATTCTCAAAGACACCAGCTTCGCAAAGCATGTTATGAATGTTGGCGAATGCGGTCGAGAGCGGTGGACTGGGCACGGCTTGCACCTGGGTCAGCTCACGCCGCGCCCAGTCCATTACGATCAGGATGCCATCGATGTCTCCGTCGACATTAGCGAAGAATCTCGTGAGCTCGATGGCAAGTGTCTTGAGACTGTCGGACAGCTCGTCCAATGACTTGACGATTATAGGGGCTGATGTCATGTTGCTTGACCGGACGCTCTCGCCGAGATCCCAGACCGCAACACCTGTGGCCTGCAAATCGCCAACCTGCGACACACCATTCTCAGAGTAGTAGATGAGAGGTTCAAATGAGCGCGCGATTCCAGCCACCTTGACAAGATCTGGCACCGGTCGTTGTGATGCCGGTTCGAACAGAGATCGGACTGCCGATATGGAGATAAGTGCGACCAAGGTCGAAAGGATCATACTGCTCCAGGAATTTGTAACGGGTTGCAGTCTACTGCGGAAGAACTTGACAGCCGCCTCAATGGGTTCCGTCCGGTGTTGGACGTCGGCGCGCACGGCGAACCGAATGTCTGAGACCTGTCAGTAACCTTTGTCTCCGTAAAAGGGGTACAGAAAGCTCACAATTGTCTCTCGCATCCTCGGGCGGCATGGATGCCATCATACTCCTTTGATCTTCCACCATTGCTCTGTCTGCACCGCTCTTCGTAGGCATTCCATTCTCGCTCTTCATGTTGACCAATGTGTCATCCTTGCCAAGCGCCTCGGGTTCGGGCGTGCGTCCCTTCTCCGGACTCAGGCTGCCCGTAGGCAAACGCGTCCTGCGCGCCTCTTCGAACACGTCGTTCGGGCTCATTCTGTCGTCGTAGTCGGGACTCAGATGTCGCGACTTGTCGAAGCCGCGGCCGAGGAGGTCGTTGCTGCCCCGCCAGTTGCCGTACCAGCGGTCGCCGTTCTCGAGGCGGCGCCAGGCGGGCGGGCTGTAGTTACCGGTGGAGAGAGAAGCGTCGTCCAGGTTGTCGTCGCTCTCGTCGTGTGGGTCGTGGGCCGCGGCCGAGAAGCCATAGCCCGAGCGCGCCGACGGGTAGCCGTAGGGCCTCAGCTGCGGCGACATTGGGGTCGCGAAGTCTTCGTCGTCCAGGCTGGCCGCCGAGTACATCGAGGTCGCCATCATCTGCTAATTCTTCGACACGGACGATCTGCTGCTTCGAAGCACTGCTTGTCGACCTTGAAGTGAGTCTCGGACTTGGAGCAGTTGGAGTTGGAGTTGGAATTGGGGGAAGCGCTTTGGAGCGGGAAGAGGAGGAGAAGAAGGACCGCAAGCTGCGACTTGAGGCAATTCGTCGCCGGTGGGCTTCTTGGGTCAGTTGAAGAAGAGGCGCGTTCGTCTCTGGGTGAGGTAGCGCTGGCAATGCTTTGCGCAGTTGTACCTGTTCGATGGCAAGCTGTTGCACAGCGACAGTCGGCGCTTGGGTTACAATTTTTGGTAGACGTATACTCCGAATACTCGGCAACGTTGTAATGCCTGTCAAGGCGAGATATGCGCACAAAAAGACGAAAGACAGTATGAGCGCAGCCAGAAATGTACTGGGTGTAACTGTGATGCTCAACAGTGAGATGTGAGTATGAGTATTCACAGATATCAGTGCCTGCATGAAGTCGAGGAAAATCGACCAGCTCGAGGCCCGGCCTTGGACTTTGTTTGCGTCGAGAGTTGTCGAGTCCGGGTATCAGACAGATATCGAGGAGTAGTGGTATTCAGGGTATGCGGTCGAGGGCGGACGAATGGATGGCACTTTGAGTTCCGCGCTTACACCATTTGACCTGATTGAGTCGCAAGGAAGATTCGACCAACTCAAGATGCTATCAAGATACAATGTTCGCAGCCAGAATTGTCAAGAAGAAGATAGGTATGCGACAGCGACAAGAGGCAGGCAATCGATAGGAGGGCTCGACAGGATGACTGGTGAAGTGTTAAGTTTCAAGTGACAGCGCATGTAGATTGGGCGCCGATAAGAACATTTGAAGCATCAGCGAAATCGAGAGGCTGGGGAAGCTCCGGCTAGTCTGCTAGTCTGCCCGTCCGACCCCCCAGCTGGCCCCCATCGCGGCATGTCGCACTTCGCTTCAACATGCAGGCCAATCAATCGTCTCGCTTTGGGTCACCTTTGGGGTCACTCGTGTCGGACCAATGCAAGGGCGTACCCAGTAATACCCCGCTATAGGCATTCAGGGGGCAGAACGAGAGGCACTTCGACCGCATAGACAATCCCAGCTGAATTCTGTCCGTACAGTATATCTCGTCGAGTGCCGGATTAAGCTATGATGTCTTCTCGCATGTCTTGAATAACTCTCCCTTTGCTTCCTTTCTAGTACCATACTCGGGGAGTCTTCCCTGACCCATTTGATCATCACCCGCGCCATGGACACCCGTGGTGCCAGAAGTGACAGCCAGCCTCTGCCAATGACAGCTTACCTACTGTCTGTCTGTCCAGCGCCCAATCACAGCAGCTGACTCACAACGGGATTCCATCTGGCTGGGTGTGATTGGCGTGACCTGGACATCAACACCCATCTGCATCATTACTAACGTGTCCTGCACGCACTTTACGCGTTTCCAGTGCGTAGGATGCAGTCCATCGACACTTGACGAACCGGCCGCGAGAAGCAGATGCCCCGACTGGAGCTACCCCGCCATCAGAATCCCATTGGAGCGCGCCGTCGTGCCCCATCTCAGTCTTATCTCATCCCACCCCGCAATTGGCCGCCTGGATCTGGTCGTCTGCTGCAACCACTTACGAGGTGCAGCCGCCATCCCCGGTAGACATCAACGTCAGCATGGGGAGGGGGTGGTGTAAACAATGGACGAGCCAGACGAATGATAAAATACCCTCGCTTCTCATTTTGGAGTAGGATTGATGCATCGACTATGGCTACCTGCCCGAAAACCTCGTTTGATGATACCGCTACTGGGAGAATCATAAACACCCTGCGCCACCTGCCCACGCATGGGGGACTCTCATAGGTCGTGCCTCGTCGTCAGTCGCCAATAGGCAGACTGCACAGTCACCTCCCTACGGCGAGAAACCAAAACAAACGGACTGTATACCTCCGTGGGCGTTGGGACAGATAAAAGCCAGTTGACTAGGAAGAAGGCATGGTGCATGAGAAATGAGTTGTGCCTACTAGCCAGTTGGCATCAAGCTGTTGTTTTGGCTTTGCTACTCGTCTGGGTGTGATCCGCTTCCGGGCCTTTCCTTTCGTCACACGACGCGCCAAACGTCTTTGCACCGGAGCCTTAGTCGATTCTAGCCGTCTCGAGGCTCCGTGCCGATGGATTTGCTAGATTGTTGACCTGCTTCAACGGGGGCGGCTGGTACTTGCTCTTCTTGCGTAGCCGTTTGCGTGCTACCATGACCGGTACAGAGCTCTTGGTGACCAAGTAGTTGGAGAAAGACCCGAGCAGGGTGCTGCATTGCGAGTCAGCCAGGACCTTGCATCTAGGGAGCAGTGATAGTAGTAGACATGAACGACTTACCCTTTCAAGGCGCTTCTTCCTCGACTTCCCAGGATAACAAGCGTCGGGTTCAGAAGGTCAATGACTTCCGTGATGAGATGCTTCGAATTCTTGCAGTGTATTACTTCCACGATGACTCGCACTTGCAGGTGTGTCTTGCGGAGAAGCTTCGATACTCGCTCCGTGATATCTTGGACCGCTCGGTTCCTCTCTTCCTCCGTCTTGGACCTACCCCGCGAGCCAGGCGCTGGCGACGACGCGTTACTACCACTGTCGGCCGCCCGGATGTGTGGAGAGGCAGACCCGCGGTTGAAGTTGAACGGGTTGGAGCTGTTGCCGCTGCTGACCGCTGGTTTGATACTCCCTCCTTTGGCCGTTGAGTTGATGACTGCCGCCTGTTCCTTCATCGCCCTGGGTTCGTCCGGCACTAGATTACTAGCGTCAACTGGGACGTTGCTGCTCTCCTCGTCCATGCAGTACATGGCGATGAGCGTGTCCCCATCTCGTAGGATGGTCCCAATCGCCCATTCCAGCGCGTGGGTTGACTCGTCACTGAGATCAGTCGCAACAAGGTACTTCCTAAGGCGTCGGTGATCTTCTTCAGCTTCATGTTGGATCTTGTGGTAGTCTCCGCGATAGATGATACGGAGGCAACGATGCACCTCGGGCATCGAGATGATGGGTGTCAGAGATAAGGGCAGGTTCTGAGCGAGTTTGATAGCATGGACGTCGGCGTCCAAATCGGGGTCAAAAGGTGTCTGAGTGCCAGACACCGGATCTTGGTCAAAGCTGGTCGAGGGCTGCACTGGCTGTTTGCTCAGCTTTGCCTGCTTCGTCTTGTCTCCGGCCGGGCTTGTCACTGTTATCGCAGGGTCGTCGAAAAGAGACCTATACTGGGGCTGAGTCGAGGAGACATGTTTCCCTGCTCATCTTGTTAACTACGCTCTTTACAGGGCGGCCAAAGTCATACTCACTTTCGTCTTCAATAGAGGCAAGAAGGCTTTTAGCGAAGCCATCCGCGCTCGTCCCTTTGTGACTCGATTCCGCCCTTGTCGTAAGTTTCCTACCCCTGTCATTCTCTTCATCAGACGAGTTCGGAGCATCATCGTCACTCTCATCGGACAACAACTCTCCGTACGGACTCAGGTTGTCCTTCTGTATTCGACCGTGACCATCGGAGTAATCGGGCTTCTTGCGCGCCAGCGAAGACAGATTTGAACCCCCATAAAGAAGGTTCGCATCCGAGAGTCTTCGGTAGGCGTTGTTCATGTCGACAACCTGGCCATTGTCCAGCATCATGGTCCCCTGCCTTTGGGTTTGCTTCGACGAACTGCTAAATGGTGAACTTGAACGCATGCCAAACCGATTGCTCGGGGACTTGGACTTCTTTCGAAGCCCGAATTGGCGTCCCTGTTCGCCTGGCAGCACCAGGTTCGAGAGGTCGGATCCGCGGAGCGCAGCGCCGATAGAGCTGGCCCGAGGACCGCCACCCGACCCACGTTTGGCTGTGTAAGGCTGACCGGCGTTGGTCGGTAGGATGTCGTGAAACTTGTAGGAAGAGGTTGGGTCAATGCCCCTTGGGCTCATGGGCGGTGGAGGAGATCGCGGGCCCATATCCAAGAGCGGCTTCGAGGTAGCATCCGACATGCTCCTGTGGCGCGTCGAGGTTTCGATAATGGGAGACTTGAACGACAGGGTAGGAGAGGTTTTCGTGCTCGACAGCATGGGACCATGGGTGTCGATGTCCAGCATGCTGCGACGCGGCTGTTGTGCTACAGGAGAAGGGCCATCGATATCTAGCATACTTCGAAATTGGGATTGTAACGGAGGGCTCTTCGGGCCACCGTCAACGTCAAGCATGCTTCTCACCGGAGACCGAGGGCTCATGTACGGCGAGGGAGAGCGAGGGCCAGCCGAGGGCGCCCTCCTCGAGGTTCCCTGCTTTTGTTGCTGCATGGAGATCAGATCCTCAATCTGCTTTCGCTCCTCCTCGAGCGCTGCCTCGAGTGACATCATTTTCTGGCCGGACATGGTGGAGGAAGCGATTAGCGACGTCGGTCGCGTGCTTGGGAATGGTGCTGAAGGTGTTTTCTGGCAAGCCTGGAAGGCATCAATTGCCCAGTGTTAGCGCCGTTCTCGTGAAAGTGTCAAGACAACCTTTGAACATCAAGTAGGTAGGTACATTGGGCGAGGGTAGGGAATCACCTGTTCTGTTTGCCAGGTACACTACTCTCTGACAATAATGGCTGAACCGCGCAAGGTAATGTTGTCGACACTTGCTGGATCGATGTTATCGTGGGATGATGGTCGGTCGTCTTCGGTGATAATTGTGGACGAAGAAGATGGTCATCGTTTGCGAGTGGGATTCCGGGCCTTGTTCGTTCACTCTTTCCGCTGTGGACCACTAGCTCATGACGGACTACCCGTCGCGACAACTGTAACAACTGTAATAATATGGCACGGTGGGAAGGAACGGAACGACAAACGTAAAACGTAAAACGGGTAGTCGGCAGGGAACTTGAAAAGGCAGCAGCAGGAGAGGAGGCCTTGACACGTGCTCGACCGCCAAGAAGAATGGCGATGACTACGGGGGCAGGAACCTTGGGAAAGAGGGGGTTTGACAGGCAGGAGCTACCGCAGCCGTGCGTGTTTGTGCTGTGTCTGTGTGTGTGTGATGTACTGCGGGCAGCTAGGTTAGACCAGTCGGTTGAACGTTGAGATGGAAAGTGCAGAGTCCGAGTGGAACCCGGGTCGTAATCGTGGGCTTGGAGTTCTTGGTATTCCTCTGAGCATGTGCCAAGCAAAAAGCAAGCCACTTTTTGCGCCGAACAGCTGATCTCAATTTGTCCCCTTTGGCTTTCAACCAAGTGAGGACGTGCGCTGACGGCAGGGGGCGGCCGGGGGGCGGCCGTCCTAAATGTTCCCTAGCGCCAGATCTGAAGTAACAATACAATATTCCCGACTTCATCATACTCCGATACAGGATAGAACACAATGATATGTAGACTCAAGCACTGTCACTCTGACTCACTTTCTCAGCCCAGCTGTATGCTGTGACGTATATGAACATCTTCAACGCCAGTTCGTTGCTGATATTGCCAGTTCAAATAGCGTTAGCTGGCTCGCCTGCTGCGAGTTATCAAAAGTACCCCAGATGCCCTCACATGGAACTTGTGGCCCTCGAAACTTACGTGGTACAGTACCGAGGTCGGCACTTGGCACAGGAGCTACGTGGATGTGTACATCACTTAAAGGTGAATCGCGCTTCTAGAATGAGTACTCACAGTCTTGGTCCTCGGCTGCTTACTACCGTGTCAGGTACTTACTCCAACCACCAGCAATACCTTGGAACCGAGTATATTGGGCCGTATATCGGGCCTGCGTAGGATTGGCGATTCTTTCTTTCGTGCATGCGAGCCCGCCATTGTCCACCTGTCAGAAGGTCATACTCTCCCAGGCTGCCAGGCCACATGCCATGCACCCGGACGTCTTGGCGTTATCAGATCGTGCTGTGACGACCGTATTCCTCTAAGTCAGCCACCACTGACATTACATCTACTCCAAATGCAGTGATACGTGAGTGAGAGGTGTGCGCTGGCGATCAACTGTTATAGCCTCCTCAGGTTTTATAAGTACTTCCTATTGTCAGATCATTACGTGGTTCCCAAACCGGGCTCCCTGCTCGAACCGTGGCCAGCTCTTTTTGAAGGGTATTGCCCAGACATAAGTATCTACAGAAAAAGCCTTGCCTAGAATACCAACCTGATCGATGGGCAAGACGAGAGGTGTTCTACCAGGGGGACGCCGTCTTGAAGAGGCACCAACTTCTTCACGGGCAGAGCTCAGCTACTCACCCCATGCAACACCCGCGTCTACACGGGAATTCGAAATGACTCCTTGCTTGGGGTATAATAGAAACCCACGCCGTTGGTTGGCTCAAAGCCCCTCTCCTAACCCGTGAAACCCGCGAGGTCTTGGCATACAACGACGAGCCCGCGGAAGATATCAGATATGCCGACGATCCCCGGGACCGACCCATGGCGGAAAAGCCACATGGAAGGGAAAACCTGGGTGGGATAGATGGCACTTGATGCAGGTGCACAATACCTTAATTACCTGCCTATACCTACATGATCCAAGCACACCGCAGAAACACTCAAGCAGGAGACGTCGCTTGCTGCCTCGGTCTCGGTTACGGTTACCAGCGCCTCTACTGTATGATCCGTGTCCCGCTCCTGGGCCAGAGATCAGCCTCCATGCTGCCATGCTGTGCTCCGGCACTGCTATTCCGTTTTGCCGCTGTTACTACCTGGCTTGCCACCACGCAATCATACTGCAGCAGTCATATGATGCGCATACGAGGGACGAATCATGTGGAACTTGGATCACCTTCGGGCGGTAGGGTGGCCCCAGAATTATGAGGGGAAAAAACATTGGTCATAAGGCCTGAGCACGGAAAACATGCATGTTTAGCACATATGGGCGGATCAGGGCAGGTTTCGTAGAATAAGCGCTTTTGTTCATTATCAGAGAAGTCCTACTGAGAGTAACCTCTACTGTGTTTGGGAATTCACCCACCGGCGACCTTGGGGGTATTTTGGGTCAGAATCATGGGTGCCGCCAAATTCCGTTCGGTGCCAGGCAGCAAGACCATGGGCTGACCGATTATGACCACAAACGCCTGATGACTGAAGCTCCTCGCATCCAGCCAGTTGCTCCGAGCAAAGAGCAAAGAGCAAAGAGTCTACCAATACATGAGAGTAGTATGTCGGTTTCCTCGAGTAAGCCGGACAAGATGTAAAGGCACCGACGGGCCAAGATCCGTCCAAACATCGAGAAGGGAGGTCATACAGGGCGTGACAGACGAAGTGGGGGAAAGAATACAAACATCAATGTCGCAGACTGTGCCTGGACAGAGAGCCGGTATCATGACGAACTTTTCCGAAATATGTTGGCAAAAGTCGGCCGTGCCAAATCGCAAACAGTCGAAGAAACTGATGCTGGGAATAGGGAAACCAAATCACATCAACTCCATATCGTCAGATGTTGGTGCCGATTTATGCCTTCCCCTCAGCCTTCTCCTGCTTCTCTCCGCCCTCCTCCTCGTCGCCACCCTGTTTCTTGAGGTAGTCGTCGTAGACGTGCATGGCCTCGTCTACCTTCATCTTCAACGAGTCGTTGTCCTCAATGCTGTGATGTGTTAGCATGTATGCACCTGTTGTCGAGGACGAGAATTTCTCCACTTACAGATTGACGAGGTCATGGTTGTCCATCTCTAGAAGCATACCGGTGATCTTACCAGCCAACTCGGGTTGCAGGGCTTGAATCTTGGGGAAGATCAGCTCACCAAGCATCTGCTTCTGCTGTCCCGGGTTGCCAGCGTGAGCCTGAAGCTGGGACTGAAGAAGCGACGATTGGGTCAAGTCCTGCTGCGGCAGGTTGGGCGCGCCGCCCATCTGCTGGTTGGGCATTCCACGTCCACCCTGAGGGCCGAATTGACCCATCTGACCGTTTCGGTTATTGTTCGGTCCACCACGACCAGGGGCGCCGCCCTGTCGCGAGTTGGGCGGGTACCCGGGCATTCCTCCGGGACCACCAGCACCCTGCATGCCCATGTTCGGCATTCCTTGCATGGGACCACGACCGGCGGGAACGCCTCGGCCGCCTCCGAGAGTAGCTTGCTGCACCTGAGCCATCGCTGCCATGAACTGCGGGTTTCCAGGCTGACCGTAGGGAGCACCAGGAGGAAACTGGCCGGGCATGTACATGTTGGGAGGCATCTGTTGCGGCATGGCTCCGTTGCGACCGGCTTGGGGAGCTCCGTATGCATTAGGGGGGAACTGACCGGGACGGCCACCCTGGACGGCTGGCATAGCCATTCCTCCGGGGAACGGCATGCCGCGCCCCGCCTGAGGAGGGAAGCCCGGCTGCTGACCAGGAGGGTAGAAGACGGGAGGCTGCATGCCGAAGGGTTGGGGCATGCCTGCGGCTGCCGCTGCCTGCTGCATTCGGAGCTGGTTGCGAGCCTGGATACTAGCCTCGAGCTGGTTTTTCCGAACGTCCTTGCGCTGGGCGAGAGCGACATACAGCGGCTTGTTGTCGAACATGCGCTGGTTCATGTCGGCGACCGCCTTGGTCGCATCGTCGGGGTTGGAGAAGCAAACAAATCCGAACCCTTTGCTCTTTCCGAGCTTTCGGTCGCTCTTCTTCTCCTTCTTCTCGCCCTCTTCGTCCTTCTCATCGTCGCCGGAGTCCTTCTGGTTCTCCTTGTCCTTTCCATCCTTGTCGTCTTCACCCTCGGTGTACATATCGCGCATGACCTTAGCTGAAGTGATAGGTCCGAACTCTGAGAACATCTGACGCAACTTCTCGTCATCGACCTCATCGGCCAGGTTCTTGATGTACAAGTTGACACCCTGGTACTTGCTTGCCTTCTCCTGGCGAGCGGCCTCGTACGACTTGCGCAGTTCCTCCTCACGCTCGTGCTTCTTCTGGGCGCGACCGACGTAGAGGTCCTGGCCGTGGAAATCGCGACCGTTAAGCTCGTCGACCGCCTTATAAGCGGCCTCGTGGGTGGTGAAGTTGACGAAGCCAAAGCCACGCGACTTGCCTTCAACATCGCGAGCCAGCGAGGAAGAGGTGACATCGCCGTATTTCTCGAAAAGATCGCGGAACTCGTCATCGGTCGCATCGCCCGAGATGTTCTTCACGTATACATTGGTGAAGTTGGCCTTCATCTCTTCGAACTTGCTCTGGCGGTCCTTCTTGGCAATGTGGTGTCCGACGTAGACCTTCTTCTCGTTCAGCAACATTCCGTTGACGTGCTTGATGGCAGCAGCAGCAGACTCGTCGGTCTCATAGTGCACAAAGCCATAGCCCTTGGAGCTGCCGTGCTCATCTTGGGCGACCTTGCAGCTCAGAATATTGCCGAAAGCGGCAAAGGTGTCGTGCAGAGCCTTGTTGTCGATCGCGGCATCCAAGTTCTTGATGAAGATGTTGCCCTGACCACTCTTGCGCAGATTGGGGTCGCGCTGAGACCACATGATACGGCAAGGGCGGCCTTTGATCTGGGTGTAGTTGAGCTCCTCGAGAGCGCGCTCACCGTCAGAAGTAGTGTTGTAGTTGACATAAGCATAGCCAAGCGATCTACGGGTGACAGCATCACGGCAAACACGGATGGAAGCGACAGAACCGATCTGGGAGAAGAGCTCGAAGAGCATAGCCTCGGTGACGGAGGGTTCGAGCTCGCCGACGTACAGAGAGGCAGAGGCGGCGGGGTGAGGGTTCTGCGCCGAGCTGGGAGTAGGGCCAGCGGTGTCGGCCTCGTCGCCGTGGGCGCCGGAAGCGACGTTTGTGTCAATGGCGGCGGGCTTCGCATCGCTACCGTTGAGAGAGGTGTTGCCGAGATCGGCGGCGAGCTGATCAACAGCGCCGGAAGCAGTAGCAGCAGACATGTTGAAGGGAATGGTTAACTGGGCTGGCTTTGTATGCTTGGTTAGTACTAGAAGGGAATGGCGGGATACGGCAAGAGTGAGGATATTGACAGGTCGGGTGGGAGCATGCAAATCTCAGAGCAGTCTGATCGATCAAGCTTTCGGGGTACAAATGTGCAGTCAGCAGGGCAGGCAATGAAAAGACGTACCGAACTACTGGAGTAGATTGAATGAGTCGTGGTCTCGAGATCGGGGACGGATCAAGAGGCAATGAAGTCTGACGAACAAAGGCTGCGGTCGGGACTTCAAAGAGAGATCAAGGCTACTCGGAGGACCCAAGTAGATGCCTGTTAATCTGGGAATTGGGAGAGGACAGAGATGCGTCGCAGGCTGGGTCGAGCAGAATCTTGTCCAAAGGGCCGCAACGACAGAGAGGGGTCTGTGGTGCGTTGGTGTCGGCGTGAGGAGAGGTGAGTATGAGGATGGGCGGATGAGGAGGAGGGTATGGGTTTTTTCTGGTTTTCCGAGTTTTTTTGTGGTTTAGTTTGGGAGTATTTGGCGAGAACAGAAATGAAGCATGAACTGTACAGAACGTGCCTTAAGACTGATTCTCTTTTTTGGGGTGTTTTATGGGCGACGAGCTGGCGGATAAAGTTGTCAAGTCGTTGGAGAAAGGAAGAGGGAGACGCAGGAGGGTCCGCTGTCCTTGCAGATATAGAAATTTTGTGTTTTCCCAAATTTCTGACCACGGTTCGCTAGTCTCGTAGCGTACCAGGTAGATCAATCAGCTTATCGCCCCGTCCAGCTGCCAGCGATAATGCGCAGCGGAGTGCCCGAGTGCTGCCGGTCTGGCAGTGGCCATGTTGTGGAGCTGGCCATCTGCCAAAAGTCAATCAAACTCAGTGCACAGACTACATAGATAGATCAAAACAACGGGAAAGGGCGGGGTACGATTGGAGATCGCTGACTGCCTGAGGTGAGGTGCAGAATGTGCCATCGCGCCTGCTTCAAGGCTTGCGCCTGGGGAACAGCCAAGTCTGCAAGTCAGTCGTCCCATGCTTGTTCCATTTAGGTAGTTGCGCCTGGAACAACCAGTTCTGCTCGATATTTATGCACATTATCATTCCAGGCACTTGGGTACCTTGCATTATCTGTTTAAGGGCTCTGGCAACAGAGAGTTGATGGAGTTCATGCTTTTAAACCTGGTCAATTCGAGACCTAATAGGTAGGTACTAATCTTGGGCTGTATGCCGAAACAACCTCTGAATTCTTGAATGCTTCTGTGGTATCTTGTAGAAACCTCACAAGCTCAAAGAAGCCTTTCAAGGAGGTACGACTTCCAATCTCACAAACCGAAGCTTTTCACACCGTACTTCCAACATGAAGATAGTGGCAGATAGGTAGACCGTTGTGACTGTGGATATCAATGTGGCTGGCAGGTGCACAGACAACCTCATGGATGGTGGACACTGACAACTTGAAGAAAGGTCAATCAATATAGCATCCGGCTGGTCAGCTATATACAGTCATGAATTGATGTGCTTCCAAGGTTTTCACACAAGTTGATTGTCTCCAGATCACCGTAGAACAATCTGTTGCATACGTTGACCTCACATTGACATTTGATTTATAGCCATAGCTACATACCTACTTCAAGTTGGTATGCACCTTACATTCAAGACCTGGAGTCTCCAGCTTCATTGTACGTACCTGGAATATGATGTAACCTATGTAGATGTGTGGCTAGGTTGGTGCTTGCTTGGTGCTTCTTGTACTGTAGATAGGCCAGTCTACGGCCAAAGGACCTAGCACACAAAAACCAACCAGTGAATCCGCTACTTGTGCTTTGTGATGCCTTCGTTCATAAATTAATCCTTTTGCTCAGTGACCATAATACTCCTTGGTATGAGATGGAGGCATCACCGACCTACCTGCGTGCCTATACCTTAGGTGGACTCTGTTGTGTCAAGGGTGTCTAATCACCTCGACTCGGAGATATCGCTGTTAATGCACGACACCCCACAGAGCCGACACGCTAGCACACTATGGCGTTCCGTGGTCCCACATAGCCCTGCCGGCCTGCCCGCAACCCCTGCAGCATGTGCTAATCAGTGCTCCAGCCGGTGCGGACCTCCAGGGCTCTCAGTGCGCACCTTGAAGTCGTACAGTAAGGTACCTAGGTACATGGACTTGCAGCCCCTCGGCCTCTCGAAGGCGACAGAAAGCACATCAGTACCGTCTCTGAAAGCACACCTGTGCTCAAGCGTCATCCGATAGGTTTGAGGGAGCTCTCAGCTCGCAAATGCGCAAAGCTGACGGAGCGCAAAACCTCACCGCGACATTTCTAAGCCTCGGGCCACCTCACAAGAGTCAGTCCACCGACCACCTGTTGGCCAGCTCCAGCTTCGATCGTCTTCGACTATTCCCTGACCATTACGTCAACACCAGCAGCACGCTCAACCCCCAGCACAATACATCGTCAGATGCCACTCTGACCGATGTCGCCTCGTGACAGACCTGACCTGCACCTCCTGCAATAACGGCTTCCCGTCTTACCTTCCACCCTTGTACGAGCCGACCGATCCGACATCCCGAGTTTGACCTACGCCGCGAAACACATCCCGAGAGTGCGGAGGCATCATGTTCCCAACCTTTAGTGGCACCTCGAGGCGACCTCGTAATGTCAACCTCAGTGGGCAGCGCAACACAAGCCCCTGGGCCAGCTCGGGGGGATTAACTGCAAACTCTGGTTCCAATAAGACCATAGCCCAAGCACAAGCCGACCGCGAGAAGAGGCAACGAGAGCGTGATGAGCTTGCCGCCGCCAAACTCCTCCAGCGCGTGTGGAGGGGCCATCGAGAACGCCGGCATGTCAAGTCGAGATATCGCCAAGAGTATGACGATATATGCCAGCAGCCGCCATCGAGTAACGTACACAACCGGGTGGTAAACTTGCTCCCTCTCATGCTAGCACTTTTCGACCCAACCAAAGCCGAAGATCAGCAGCGTCTGAATATCTTCGTTCGAGATCTGCTGAGCTCGGGCCCAACTTCCACCAAAGTTGACATATTCGACCCCAGTGCCTGGGACAGACTTGCACGTCTACTCGTAGGGGCCCTAGAGAGGTGAGATTCATGCCGAGGTAGTCGAAGTCTTGATGGATAAAGTCGCTGACACAGTATCGACAGGCGCCCGATAAGTTCCTCCCACACCGTTCTCAGTCTCTTAGTCGATATCATCAAATCAAGACCAGCATCTATTGCTCCTCTCCTCGACAGGTACTACAGGCTCCTCGCAAGGTGCTACGAGGAAAATGGCAGTGTCAGCCTGACGACAGACCAGCAGGAGGTCCTCTCTGAAGCTTCTGCAGCGCCACTGGTGCAAAATGCGTCACATGGTATGTCGAAAACTCTGATCTTCACTGTAGTATTGGCTTACTCATGGCTACCTTCCTTGACCTTATGTCAACCATTACAATGCCCATCTCGAGAAAGTGTGCTGATACCTGCCAGGACGTTCTGGTCTACAGGCATACCAGGCCTTCGCATATGCCTTTCTGACATCCTCAAAACTGGTGTTCCTTAAACAGAATCCCTCGCGAATCGCACGTCATCTAGATATGCAGGTCTTGTCTCAAAGCATTGCCGACGCCTTCTCGGCCCAAGACCAAATCAGTCGTGTGCCTAAGGAAGGCTTGCTGTGGCTTTTGTCCCATTTTATCGCCTTGAACAGAGCAATCCCAACGTCCCGGGGGTCCAAGTACCTCGAAGCACTCTATCTCCAGCTCTCCCTCCTCGCTGTTGACATCCGGACACGATCGAATGCCCCTGAAGAGCTCAACGATGAGGACAGCTACGAAGAAGACGAAGACACCACTATCCAAGACTTTATCCCGCTGCCGGAATATGTGTCCAATCAGCTGGACTTCCTAGTTAACGAAGATGGCATTGCCGAGTTACTTAGCAGGTTCACCGCGTAAGCAACCTTCATTTTTGCTTTGTATCCGTGTCTGTGGCTAACAAGTAACAGCACACCTTCATCTACTACTCGTCCGTCTGACGATGCCAGCCTTCTCGCAGGATACACTCTGGTGCTATTAAGGTGTTTCCCGAGTCATGCCGATGATATTAAGATGCGTCTCTTCCAGGGCGACATCTCCACACTTGATGAGAGTGGCCTCACCACGGTGCCATCTGTCAAGTACTTCTGGAAGGCGGCGTCTAGAACCGGCGTTTTCACCAGTATAATGCAGCCCGCGGCTCAGCATAAGCCCACATCAGTCGTTGCACTCCTGAAAGGAGACCCAATACGCGATCTCGAGTGGCGTACAGTGCTGCTCTTCTTGGAGCTGTACAATTTCTCATTGAGAGTCACTGATGACGAAGATTTCTTACCTGCAGCAACCCAAATTCTTTCGCAGCAAAGTCCAGCAACAGTGCGTATTCGGTCAGGCAGCCTCGGCCTGACTGAGCTAAAGCACCTTGTGAACTTCCTCAAGCACCTCTCGTTCCCCCTTTATTATAACCTGGGCAATATCATGCTTCCGCCCTCGCAACAAGGTCGTCTTGGTACTCTCATGGGCGTCAACTCGACTAAACCTACCTCTCAGGAAGAAGAAGAACTCAACGGTCCTTCCACGTTTGCTGGCATAATTGGGATGGATGCTTTGGGATTGAGAGATGCAGCCACCGCTGCAATGCGGTCGCTATATGAGAGAGATTCTCGGCGAGGCTTCCTTCCGAAGGGATTTTGGCTGATGACCTCCAAGTTCGACATGGACGGTTTCGTGTCGGCTGTCGTCCTCGAAGAGCAGCGGAAGGAAGAATTGGCCAGCGAAGATGATGGGTCTCACAATGCCGGGGCAGATGGGATGGACTCTTTCAACACATTTACGGGGCATCGGCTCTCGCGTGCAGCGCAGATTGAGAGACACCGTCACTTACGTAAGCTTCAACGGGAGCAGCTGCTTGCCCAGGTTGGACCGAAGCTCGAGATTCTACGGAATATGCCATTTGTTATCCCGTTCGAAGTCCGAGTCCGGATTTTCAGGCAATTTGTCTTCCTGGACAAGTCCAAGCGGCGAGGGGGTCATGTTGATCCCGATCGTTGGCGGCTCTCAATACTATCAAACGACCCTGAAGCTGGTGCGTTTGGTGGTTTTGGTGGCCCCGTGAATGGTCCAGCTGGTAGGGCCAGAGACATTCTCGGGCGACACACTGCTAGAGTTAAGCGGGGGGAGGTCTTCAACGATGCATTTGACCAGTTCTACAGTCTCGGAGACGGACTCAAAGAGCCAATCCAGATCACTTTTGTGGACCAATTTGACCAAGCAGAGGCTGGTATCGATGGTGGGGGTGTCACGAAAGAGTTTTTGACTAGTGTCACAAGTGAAGCGTTCATGCCTGGTCCAGACGGCCACAAGCTTTTCGTCACTAACGCCCAAAACCTCCTTTACCCAAATCCAACAGCATTCGACGATCGCGCCGAGCTCTTACGCGCTTGTGGATTTACAGAAGGCGGTTTCGAGTGGAAGCATAGCATGGGAAATCTGGCACAACGTTACGAATTCCTCGGTCGAATAGTCGGGAAGTGCATGTACGAAGGGATCCTCATCGACATCGCCTTCGCCAGTTTCTTCCTTCTAAAGTGGTCTTCAGGACAGAGCACATATTATCGTGCAAATCTGAACGACCTGCGCGACCTTGACCCAGAGCTCTACCAAGGATTGATCAGCCTCAAGAACTACTCTGGAGATGTCGCGGACCTTGCCCTCGACTTCACCATAACCGACCAGGTAACTACACCTACTGGGGAGGTTCGCACAATCACCCGTCCGCTCAGGAAAAACGGAGAGAACACCCCCGTCACGAATTCGGACCGCCCTCTCTACATATCTTACGTTGCACATCACCGACTTGTGGCTCAGCCTGGGCGACAGACCAAAGCCTTTCTCCGCGGTCTGGGTTCCATCATAAACCCGGCATGGCTCTCCATGTTCAACCAATCGGAACTCCAGCGTTTGGTGGGTGGTGATAGCTCCGAGATTGATGTTGAAGACCTGAGGAACAACACAGCATACTCCGGTTTGTACGCCATTGGCGACGATGGGACGGAGCATCGCACAATCCAGCTGTTCTGGGAGGTGATGAGAGAGCTGAAAGACTCGGAGCGCAGAGACGTGCTCAAGTACGTCACGTCTACTCCAAGAGCGCCGCTTCTGGGCTTCTCACAACTGAGTCCCCAGTTCAGCATCAGGGACGGTGGTACAGATGAGGAGCGATTGCCCAGCACGAGTACATGCGTAAATCTGCTTAAGTTGCCCAGGTACACGTCAGCGGAGACCTTGAGGAGCAAACTACTATATGCTGTACAGTCGGGGGCGGGCTTTGACCTAAGCTAGCCATGGAGCAGCTGTGCAAAAGCCGGCGTAGGCCAAGTCCTTTACGTCGCGTCGCACACAGAGTTGATCTATGTCATGGAGCAACGCCGACTCACCAAGCCTCCGCACAGTTCACGGGTACGCCAAAAAAAAAAAAAAAAAAAAACACATCACCGATGTCCATAGAACTGTACGCGGTTAGGCAAAGGGACGCAGGGAGCTCGAACCATCATGACCTCGTCAGCTCACACGGCCAGTACACTGCTACCTACCTACTCTGATCTTCGCTTGGGTCTACGAAGACCAGCCAGTGAAATTTCAATCCAGCCCATTGTGGGTTTTACATTTTCACAACACCGACTGCGCTTCTTATCAGGGCTCCGTTTGAGCGGCTGGTTAACGAGAAATTCTTTCGTGCTAGCGTTACGGAGTATGGTTGAGACCCAGCCCTCAGGAGAATAGCAGGTGGACTGGACTGGACAAGCAGTGTCTACCAAAACCAGCCCCTACCCAATCCAAAGGGGTAATGACACTGATTGCTTGAGGTTGACTTGGACCGCGGCCTTCATATAGAATTTGGATCTTAGCAGAAAGCAAGCGAGTCGTACTTCAGAGCGGGACGCGGCGAAGGCAGGCAGTCTCTGGACAGGAGACTCTCATCGGGGAAACTGAGGATATTCCACCCGACCACTTCGTCTTTCACGTAGCTGACAATAATGAAGAAAGAATCAATGATATGTTTTGCAATGCCATAGTTACCTGTTTACGTGCATGCCTTTCACGACACCTGTGGATGGTCTATTCTCTCCCATACTCACTCAACTGATGAGTCATATGACCTAACACACCACAACCACCACCCCCAAGTGGAGGCTTCGAATTTAGAGAAGAAAAAGAAAGGAGGAATAGGTAATACTCATGATTCACCACTACACAGTAACTGATTGCGCTCAGCCGAAGCCCGGGATTGAACCGGGGCCTTCAGAAGATTCCCTCAAAATCTGACGTCCTCATCACTAGACTACTCCGGCAGTTTCTCCTTGTCAAGCTCTCCTGTTCTACTCGATATTTTGATTCAGGCCTTTGGTGGGAGCTAACCCTATAGACTGTGCTGGTTCTGGGTGCCCCTGAACGCCCCTGGGCGGTATTCGGCGTCTGCTTCCACCGCTGTCAACTGCGTGGTGAGATGTCGTGGGCCTGTGTGGCTTTCCCCAATGTGTGTGTGTGTGTGGTCTGGTGTTAATGATCTCATGCTTGTCTTTGCCAGTCCTGGGTTTTAATGCGACCTGGGGCGTTGTCCAGGGATGCCCCCTTGTATGGGTGGCGTGTTGTGGTGGAAGCTGTGGATGTAATGCAGCACACGTGCAGGCAAATGATAGGTCTAGAAGACTAGTGAGTATGGTATCGTCTACACAACCTACCGATGAAGGGACCAGTGTGTGGAAGACGATCATCGGATCTTTAAAGACGACCTTGGCGACGCCGTTTAGACACTGTCGGTACCTGTGCCATACCAGAAGTAGTTCGGGCATTCGAGGTACAAGATGGGTATGGAACGAATGGGATAACCGTCAAACGTTGGAAATGCGGATGCTCTTCTAGGCCATAGAGAAATATGGGGTTGTGTTTTGTTTCCCAAGACGCAATGTAGGCTGGTTTCGGCATGGCCTGCACTTGTGGTCGAGTCCTGGTGCCAATCAAGAGCGTGGTCACGCTCCAAAGCGTACAGGCGAGAGTATTGTGCGCCCAGCTGCATAGTTCAAGTACAACAGGCATCCCACCTCACTGACGCGTCCGGCACGGCCCTCCCGGCGTCTGGGCTTCGCATTACATCTGGAAGAAAGCCACTGTTAGGCACACGCCACGGCAGTTCACACTTATCGCCCTTCTTTAACTCCATTGCTAGGAAATTGTCTGTGATGGATTGTTCTGACATTTAACCATGCATCTCATTACAAGTCAGTCCCGTATCTCAACCTCACCCAAACCCAAACCCTCCTCAATCGGATCTAGACATCATCGCTTATCTTGTCGCAAAGGTTCTTCTGCGTGATATCCGAGTCCCGGCACGAGATCCCGCGCTTCTCGGACGTACAGCCGCTACTAAAGACGCCGTCCTTGTACAGCTGTACGCCAGACCCGCAGCCCCTGAATTGGTAGGGCCCGTCGTGGTCGTCGACGTAGAAGTTGATATTGCAGGGGCTGGCGTTGCCCTTGTCGATCTCGACGAATTGCATGCAGATGCTTGTGGTGTTGTTGGTCCTGCGATGGTTACCCTAGGTGGTTAGGGTTGCTGGCTGAATTGTTCAAAAGTTGTAGTGGGTGATGAGATTGGGAGGGGGAAGGGGAAGGGGCCGGGCTCTGAATGAGATGAGAACGTACCAGCCGATGTTGGATTCGGAGCCGTCATACCCTATGCGGGAACCGAGGTAGACGGCCGTGGCGTTGGCTGAGGTTGCCAAAACGAAGACAACTGCTGCGAACGATGACTTCTTCATCTGGACTTATGGTTGCGTGAAATCGTTATTGGCTTGATATAGGTGTTTCACTGGTACGGCTCGAGAGCTCCGTAATACAAATTGACTGGCTCGAGTGTTTCTGACTTTGTGAAGGAAGTGGAGGACTTCGATCCTTCAGATGGGATGCTGCCTGTTCATATACACAAACTTATGCTACCAGCTCTGCATAGGTCTATCCACAAGGTGACACGGCGTTTCTGATCTCTGGCAGTAATAGACTGATCTCGCTCCTTATCTCGAGTACTACATGACACATTATATGGCCCGTTCGAGCCATCAATGGTGCGATGTTTGCCTGTATTGATTGATTGATTGTATTTATCGTGGGTGTAGTCCCTCAACAGGGCAACCACGCCTCCCAGAGCCATTGCATCGCAAGGTTGTAGAGGTGTCAGTCTAGATACATTCAGATCCGCGCACGAGCCTATCCTCGCTGTAGCGGTACCAATCTGGAGTGTCCAAATGGTTTTAGTCAATACCCAAGCACGATTCTGTCAGAAAAACCTCCTGTCCAGTGACAAAGCGACCCAGTGAACCTCAGTCCTCTGGCGTACATATCGTTCCAGTAGCCGTTCGATATATGTCGCATTGGTGGGTGAAGTAGGTGTTTGTTATCTACTGGCGAGGGAAACCACAAGGGGAAAAACCTTGCAGGAGTGGGTGTTGTGGAGACAAGCTGTTTGGCTATCGGGCTCTGCGATAAGGGGCCTCTCTATTGTCGTGTGCTGGTTGCACAAGCCGGGTCAGAAGGGGGCCATAGCAGGATTCGAACCACTTGTTCTCGTCGCCCACCGCACAAACGAGAACACAACCAGGCGCATTTGACCATTGCGCCATACGGCCCGATGTTTGCCTGTAGCCCCGTCGTACCGAACACAGACCTCGTGGGAGTCAAGCTTCCTCTCGACACGTGAACATTTTGAGTTACGCTACACGACCAGGAAAGATAACGAATTGTCCGACGCCAACGAGACTGCCATACGTAATCATGATGTCCTCTCTCGAGCTGGAGGCACCAATCCAGGTAGTTCAGTAGCTAACACAGGCTGAAGCGTACACGGTGATAGACAATAGCTCGCCTTTGATTTGTTGCGTAACAGGCGAGACATGAACGACGTGTGCGAGATCCCTAGTCTAGATCTTGGAGGAATCATCGTTTTGATGCATCAAATTTGCTACACAGGTCTTCGTGCAATCCACTCTGCCTGTTTCGAGACCATGTCGACGTTCTTAGTGGTCAAAATACGGTAAAAAGCTTCCGTTGTGCTTTCCTGTATACCAGACAAGGTGTTGGAGGTCTCTATAGAAAATGGGTTTATAGCAGTAGTACTTGATGAACAGCACTGAGGGGCCCCTGATATAGAGAATTGCTATTTCCAGGGTACCCCACTTTACAGCCCCTTTTAATGTAAGTATGCAATCAACCATCACGTTTATTAAGAAATTACATACTAATAGATGAGAGTGGCAAGGTGGAAGGTGGCATGTATTGATCATGGTCTACTGTCTAGATGAATGGACTATTTGTATGTGAAATGGGTGGCACGTGCCCGCGAACTGGGACGCCTGCCCATAAATAGCCTCGTCTCTCTAATTAAATTGTTGGAAATACACTACATACATCACGTACTGTGAGCGCGCCGTACACGAGATGTTACTATCACGAAAGATGCTGCCACGAGAGATGCTGCCACGAGAGATGCTGCCACGAGAGATGCTGCCACGAGAGATGCTGCCACGAGAGATGCTGCCACGAGAGATGCTGCCACGAGAGATGCTGCCACGAGAGTTAACTCTGCCACCGCGAGTTGGGATGCTGCCACCGCGAGAGATAATGTTGCCGCAAAAGTTGTTGCCTTCTTATGTTTTTATAAGTCGCTATAGCAATGCTTTTAATGCCGTGCCTCCGCGAAAAGTGCCATGCCTCCGCGAGAAATACTGCTTCTAAGAGGCGAAAGATACTACTTCCACGAGAAGAGAGATGCTGCCACCGCGAGAAAGACCTCCATAAGTTATTGCCGGCAGCTAGCAGCTGGCAGGTGGTTAACGGTAGCGGCTGCACCTATCAAACATAATGATCTGCCAGCTGCAAAGCGGGGTACTCTGGAAATCGAATACTCTGGAAATAGCAATTCTCCTGATATACCATGGCAGGGTCCTCCTTCAGCCGCTCATGAGATACGGTGACTTTAGGAATACAGTATGCTGAATTATTCTGGAGAATATAAGCCTACTTTGTTTGGCCTCGTGGAAGTCATCTTGCAAGGGTTTGGATATAGCAGCTTCTACAATTCAGGCTTCTTACCAGTTATAACCCTACTGCTTTCCTGACTCAGCCTCAACTCGCAAGTGATTAGGGTACGCGACCTGAGTGTGAGATGGCGTTAATCTCATTCTCAGCCGCCGCTGAAAGTCTTCGCCATCTCGAACATGAACGGGCAGGAACTTCACAGTGCACATCTCCCACCGCTTATCATAAGCGGCGTCGGTCTTTTGGAATATTGCATCGATGAGCGTTTATTAAGCCAGACTCTTTAACTAAGCGCTTCAAGCGATGGTGGAGGAGGAGGGTCTTGGGCGATGGACTGCACGGGGAAGCCCTACACGGACCCCAGCCTGCGCGCACAACTGGCTGCATAGTCTGCTACGGCGGCGAGTACTTCTTTTACCATCTAGAAAAGTCTGCCCTGGAAAACAAGTGTGTATGCTGTCGAATTATCTACGAGGGCCTGAAGTCTTGCGTGCCACTACGTGATCTGTCTGTAGCACGGGTCCGGATTGAGAATCGTTACGGAATTTGCGTGTCCGTGAGAATAGCGATGGCGGCGCCCCCGACGCCTATGAGTTCTACCGCCATGAAGGTATGTACCTGCTGCCCACCCTCTACCACCCTCTACCGCCTTCTACTACCCTCTGTGAGCCCTGACAGTTGTGGTTTAGGTGATGCTGCGGCGTCGGTCTGGCCAGGAATACTAACCAGAAGCTCCATTTCCGGGAACACAGAGTCCAGAGCGGCATTTCGATGGATGGCTGCGCGCTTGGAGACCTGTCTCAAAGACCACGTATCTTGCTCTCGGAATTCTGAAGCAAATTTGCCTACGCGAGTCCTCGATATACGCGATGTTAGGGGCGATCTCGACGCACGCGCAGTCCGCCTCATAGAGAAGAAGGGTTATACCGCGCAGTATGCCTGTCTTAGCCACTGCTGGGGGGAATCACAGTTGATCCGGACAACACTCGCTACAATCGAAAAGCACAAAAACGGTATACCATGGAACGCTCTTTCTAAGACTTTCTAAGACGCGATTACAATTGCTTTTAAGCTGGGTATTCCATACATATGAATCGACTTATTTTGTATAGTTCAAGACGACCCAGAATACTGGAAACGCGAGTCGCAAGAGATGTACAAGGTGTACGCGAACTGTGTTCTTACCATCGCGGCTACCAAGTCTGCCGGCGGCGATGGCGGATGCTTTGCTGTCGCAGACTATGCATATCGCGGTCATTTGGTATTAGATGAGCATGACGGCGGGCTAATTAAATTTTATTGTCGCAAGAGGGTTGATGACTACAAGCCCTACCAGCTGACCATGGGCATAGAGTCGCCGCATCCGCTGCTAATACGCGCTTGGGTCATCCAAGAACGGCTTCTCGCCCCGCGGATCCTGCATTTCGGCCCAAAAGAGATGTTCTGGGAGTGTCCTAGCGGAGTTGACTGCGAATGCGATCAAGGAGGAGGAGACGTTTGTGAAGGGAGAGCATCACAAGGCTCAGAACGACCATATCCCAGCATCGTATGCCTCCCACAGCGCGACCATGGGGGTCCTCGGCATGTACTGGCGCGATCTGGTCATACATTACAGCCGACTGAACCTCACACACGATTCGGACAGGCTGGCTGCTCTACATGGCATACAGACCCTACTCAAAGAACGACGCAGCGACCGCTACCTCTCTGGTCTGTGGAGTGGTTCGCTGGTGCGCGACATGCTGTGGTGGGTCTACTGGACGAAACCGACGACCAAGACCAAGCGTGGGCTGTTTCCGAGCTGGTCCTGGGCGTCTGTGAGGTCTCCTGTAGAGTATGAGGATATGGTCGATGGACCTGGTTATATCAAAGTTACGTTTCTTGAGGAGACCGAGTCAACCCTGGCTATGATGGGTCAACTGTTGCATGTAAGGATGCGCTATGTACCTCATGGCATACCCATGCCCAATGAGTTAACACTGAGTCATCCACGCCGGGATCGCCGCGAAGTCTCGATGAGATACACTTTGGAGTGTCTGGCCCCGGCTTTTCAAGGCCACGCTTTCCTATCTGACCCTGACTACATACCTGAGGACATGGTGGATGAGGACGACGGAAGCCATATCGTCCATGGGCAGGAGCTGTCCTGTCTCTAACTCTTTGAGTCGCAGGCTGGACAGCAGTATTGCCTCGTGCTCAACAGGCTTGAGGCCGACAACGACGTATATGAGCGGATCGGACTGGCGAAACTACACAGTAAGGATGGGTTCTTCTATCCTAGCAGGCCTTTGTCAAGGTTGAACTTGGTGTAGAGAGGGGCGAAGTACTATCTATAGCAGCGCCATATGTTAGGTACTAGCACGAATGTGTTGAATGAGAGCCGGAGATAGACACCGGAAGATCTCCAGTGGGGCAGAGACGCACAGGGCATCTGACCCACCAAGAAGACAGATGATCAATCTCTGCACGCAGAGCAGAACAATCAATAGCATCAATCAATATCCGTGTATTCAACAACGATCAATAGAATCCATCAACATCGAGGTATTCAACACCATACTTCACAAGATCTGTTGGTTAAATCACACCTAAAAAGGCGAAAAAGTTGATTATAATATAAAGTCTTCTTATTTACACCTTACTAAGATCCCTTATTTGCACCTTACCTTAATTATTTAACTAATAACTATTTATTAAGAAGCTAATTACTAAGACTCTTATTATTATTATTAGGCCAGCCTTTAAAAGTATAATTAAGTCTTTTTAAAAATATTAATAACGCCACGATTTTACCAGCTAATTAAACAATAGATATCGCCCCGCTTAAATCGTTCTTTCCTTTATAATTCTTTTATTCTCACGTATATTTTATTAGAACTTAAATTATTTAAACCGTAATACCATAATATATATATGTTTTAATTTATTTTTATTCTTATTATTGTCGTCGTTGGAAACGTTAATTATGAGTAGTAATTATAGGCTGTGCGAGGTGTTATATCGTTATAACTACGTTACGTGCTACTTTTTAAATAACACTTTAAAACTCGGCTAGCAGAGCCGCGAAAGCAGCGTCGCCTAGCGCTAGCTAGGTATAGCTAGACCAACCAGTTAGACGTAAGCCCACACGCAAAATGCGCAAAGCGCGTTGAAAAGCTACGAAATAGCTGGTAATTTAAAATTATATGACATTTATATATAAACGCCGATCGTAATAGCTATCTAGTTTAACTACCGTAAATAATTAATTATAATAAACATAGTAATTTAAAATTAAATAGCATTTTATACGAAACTCGATCGTAGTAACAATCTACTTTAAAAAGCCTCCTTTTTGATTAGACGCAACCGATAAAAATTAATATAATAGCTGAAAATTATATAATATCACTATATAAAACCCGATCGTAATAGCTATATAATTCGGTTAAGCTGTTTATTTAACTGCGATTAACGTATTTAATTAAAACGGACATAATAATCTGAAACTAAATAGCATCTCTATATAAAACCTAATCGTAATAGCTAGCAAGTAGCTAACTAAGGTAAGGTGCAAATAAGGAATTTCATGCAAATAGGAAGACTTATAATATAAACTAATTGAGACAAGGGACTCGAGTCGTGAAAATATCCCCCCATTTCTCCTGTGGGCTGAGGGTGGAAGAATCTGCAGTGGGAAAAGCATTGATATGGCGGTGACTATTCTGTCAGTGACTCGCTGCTATTCGTTACTTTAGGTACTTCCCGTCCATGTTGCAGAGACCTAGACGACAAGTAAATGGCAAGCTCGCAGCCCGCGTTCGCCCTAGGTCTTGTTCGTAAGGTTACCAAAGAACATCTGGACATCCTGCACCCAGAGCTCCGGCTGGCTGAGAGCCGGGAAATGGCCGCCGCCCTCGTGGGTGGAGAGATAAACGAGGTTCACAAGGCGCTCCAACCAATCTCGGGGCTAATCAATGTCGAGTGCCAGTGCTGCAGGTAACGAGAAGAAACAAGAGGTGGGATGGATGAGACGTACAACGTCGTAGAAATACTGGATGTCTTTGAAGTCCCCGTTCGGGAAGCCCCATTGCGTAGCGCCCGTGGGGACTTTGGTGATGGGGAGGTTCTCGCCGTCCTAGCACGCGATTATAAGTTATCTGTGAGTAAAAAAGTCGATCGGAACAGCGGTGGAGTCCAAGGCTTTCGTTTGCATCTTACCTTTAACGCCTCCTTATATGCCCTCAGTTTCCCCCACGTGCCCTGTATGAACAGCATCATGGCGCTCGTGATGACCTCGTCGAGGCTGTACGCGTACCCGTCGCCGACGATGTGCATGAGTTCCCAGACCCAGCCCGCAAAACCGACCGGCGTATCCGTCAGGGCCTGGCCGAGGGCCAGCGGCAGTTGCGCATGGACCGTCGCGTAGCCAAAGTGGTTCGATTTCCAGGCCCGCAGCGCCGTTATGTACCGCGTCTCCTGCTCGGTGGTCTGGTTCTGCGCCAGCCGCTCGAGGTCGGTCGCGTTGGGCGGGATGATCCAGAAGTCGGAGAGATGTCCGATTATGCTGTCGGGCACGAGGTCGGTAAGAAAGAGGCCGACGTACCACCCTAGGTCCGTGCTGATGACGCCGTATGAGGAGTACCAGAGCTGCCGCATCAGCTGGTCGAAGGCGGCGCCCATCTGGCGCGCGCCGAGGCCTGAGTACATGGGCGCGGGACTGAAGCCGAAACCCGGTAGGTCCGGCGCGACGACGTGGAAGGCCTGCGCCGCTGTGTCCGTCGGTGCTACGAGCGGGCCGATGACTTTGGACCACTCGAGGTGCGTCGACGGCCACCCGTGCAGGAGAAGCAGCGGGATGGCGTCTTCGGCGGCCGAGCGCTCGTGGACGAAGTGGAGCGGTATCGGGTGTTCGTAGTGGGCGCCACTCGGGATGGTGACGGCGTAGTGGGACAGATTGTTGTTGATTTCGTCCTGGGTTTGAAACCACTCGTATTCTTCGGCCCAGAACCCTGCCAGGGCCGTCATGTTCTCCCTGGGAGGGCCCTCGAGCCACCCCGCGTTGCTCTCGGCAGCATCGAGGAGGTCAATGGACGGCATGTACCGTCTGGCCTTCTGCAGTGTTTCTTCGATGAATGCCGGATCGACTGAGGCGACGAATGGGACTGGCGAGGTTGCGCTTGACGGGAAAGCGAAGTTCAGAGGATTGGCAGCAGCAAGGGGGATCGCGGCGAGGAGTACACTCCTCAACGTCCACGACGCCGTTGTGTTTCTTTGAGACAGCATATCCACAAACAGCAATACCATAGGAAGAAGTCAAGATAGTTAGATGGTTAAAGGGCGACTATCGTGTTTGCGGCTATCCTTCTTTTCACGGTGAGATGGTGAGATCATGTCCTTTATACCTAGAACGCTTGATCCCGCACTCATTCTTTCGTCCACCGTCATTACGGTCGACTAACTTACTGGTACGAGATCGAAGATATGCTGACGAAGAAGAGTTCGTTGCTCATATGGCGACATTATTTCGTCCGCCGTCACTGCGGTCGACTGTTGGTCTGGAGTCTTTGCGTTGCTTGACTCCGGTCTTAAGCAATGCCGTTATCTCCCAACTCCCTGGTCAAGCGGGGGACCAACAGTTGTACGTCTATGAGTAATCGAGTATGCCCTTCTCGTATATTATCTGCCCATGTCTAGCGCTAGATACTAGCAATGCTTCTCAGCATGCCCAGGGGGACAAGGTAAGCCCAAGGCGCAGCCATCAAATGTTTGTCAGCAGTACAATCTCACCAAACTTACAAATCAATAAGGATAAATCGGAGTGAATGAGAGAGCCTTCCAACCTTGGAAACCATTTGGCGAAATGGCCAATCGGATGTGTATTACGGATGACTCGTACACGAAGCAAAGCCTCCAGGAGAGGCCCCCCTTTCCACCAAGTGAGATACCATTGAACTGCTTCGGGGCTATGTACATCCGAAACAAGTTATCCCGCACCTGCTACCCCGGATAGAATGTCAGTCAAGAATGGTCGCTTGCTCCAAACGTTTATATAAATTGATATGATAGACGCCTGGCTATGGACGATAAACAGACGTGACAAGATCACAATTTCTCTTCTTCTTCTCTATGACGTTTGAGGTCCCGAAGATTATCTCAATCCATTTGCCAATCACTATCCGTAAAGCCACAATCAAATCTGTCGTCAGTTAGTAATCATCACCCCAACAGGGGATTGCCTTGACCTGCCCTTGTTCCCCAACTACAGCCTTCGTGTACTTCTCCAGCTCTTCCAGCTGCTCGACGCAGCCAGTCAAGCTCTCGTTGTACGAATAGCTGTAGATCTGCGCCCACTTCTTGTCCTCGACCTTTTCTTCCGCGCTGAGCTTCCCACTGTCGGCAAGAAGTTCATTCTCCAATTCTCTCATTTTATCCATGAGTCGCTTCCTGGTAGCCGCTGCGCTCGCAAGGTATTTCTGGAAATCAATCTGATGAGCCTAGTATGTAACGCATGATTTGAGCGTACTTACAGGAACTTTTCTGTTGGCGCGTAATGCTCCTGACAAGACGTACAGATTCGTCAATATCGTCGCGATGGCGTCTCTACGGTGGCCTAAGAGATCCGCAGCTGCCTCGGCATTGTCTCGGATGAAGTGCGGATGGTAGAATAGAGACGATTGCCGAACAGTGACGATGTATTCGAAGAAACGCTCGCAGGAGTTGATCAGTGCTGAGTAGGGTACAGGATCGAAAGGTGCCCGCAGCCGGATCTCGTGGCGGGTAAGACCCTGTACGCAGGTTAGCGCCTTATCTTCAATCCAGGACACCTCTGAGCTGACCATGAGTTGCCGTAATCTGACGAAACCTTCCCGTAGCCGTCCCTCAAGTACCTCCGACGCCTCGATGTCTTCCTTCGTTGGTTCCTGTCCGTCATAGTAAATATACCTTGACACAATGCCTGGGAAGTATGTAAGTAACTGCCACCTTTGACCACCTCAAGCGACTTACTCCTGTAAATGATACTACAGTAGAACAGCATAGATGCGGTGGCCTTGCGAAGATCGTGGCGAGCAACGAATGGCCATATGATCCAATTGACGATGATAGAAGCTGTTACACCGACGACAATCGCTGCTCCCCGAGTTGCAGCGATGGTTGCTGGTGACGGTTGGCCCTCAGCAGTGACTTCTGATAAAGACACGACCGTGAATGAGATGCAGCCCACAATTCCCGATCTCTATAAAACGGTCAGAAACAGTAAATGCATGCGTGATCATGCTTTGCTTACCGGATGTGTGCTTTGCGTGAATCTGTAAATCATAGGGAGCATGAACACTGCAGCAAACACAGCTATAACATAGGGGTTCCCATTGCCGGCGGCATAGGATAGTCCACCCCAGAGAGCCCCCAAAACACCACACAACGCTCTGGTGAATAAGTCCTGGACATTTCCACCAGTCCTGCAGATATTAGATTCGATCGATGAGTTTCACAAGCGAGCCTTACCGAGGGCCCATGATCATCCAAGCCATCACAACAGCCCACCACACCTCATAGCGATCCCACCACCAATCGCTTCCACTAAGCCATGCCGGTACAGCAAGCAAGGAGGTGATCGCAGCTGTCTTGAGACCAAATCGCGTCTCAAAGCCTTGGAACCTATGCGAGATAGCCCAGAATTTTTGTCGTATACGGCTCTTCTTCGTGTCGGGATCGTCTTCAAGCTCTTTAGCGGTCATTGTGGCAAATGACGTGTCGTGATTCCCACTTGCAACTCCATCCTTCTGCGGCAGGGGGTGAAAATCGAGAGCCTTGATTTTCTGGATGAGTTCCGCTATGTCGCTGAAACTTCTGAAGTAAGAGCCTGCCGTGACACCGCCTCTGTCGTGTCGAACCTGGGCGTTCGATCGATGAAGGGCCTTCCAGAAAGGATAGTTCGGCAGGTGAAACTTCGGATATTCCGGCCGCCTCTGTTGCATGTGGTTGACCTTCACCAGGAGCGCCTCAATTGATGTAGCGGCTTGATGAATCGGTCGGCAGAATGCGAAAGTCTTGACGACTTCTGGGAAATCTGAATATGTGGGTGGCAACTTATCGCTTGCTAACACGCTGTCCTGGCAGGTGCTGAACTCGATGATGCGCTGTCGCAACTTGACCAAGGAGCCTGGCACATCATTTGACACATCGTCCGATGGGCCGAGATACTGGCGGTGGCCACACATTTCCTGCGTGTATGTTAACATGTCGTTCTTCGACCCCTAAGAACATATATCGTCAAGATGTGGAAGACAACAGAAAGACCACTCATATCTTAGGGACCAGAGCTGGGATCTGGGAAAGTGCTATTCATTTACGTACCATCAAGACTGCATCGCAACTCTGCAAAGCAGCTTTCATTGCGAGCAGAAGATCCTCGGTGGGCTCCGCCAAGTTGCTGATGACAAATTTCAATAACTCCTCTTCCACGGCATTTTTGGGTGTAGATCTTTTAGCATCCATATCAACAACGAACCCATCAATACCAGAACTGTTGTGACCAGCCGGGTCCATTGGGGCGCTTGCCACGGGGTCAAATAACTTAGTCTCGGTTTTCAGGCTGAGGAGAGCGCGGATGACAGCTTGTATCAGGTTACGGAGCTCCTTTACGTCTTTGGGATCAAACAGCGTGATGGAGAAGTCGATCACAAAATCTCTATAAGCCTGAGACATACCAACAAACGCCTGGGTCAGACTTCGGCGTCTTTGCGTGCTATCCGGGGTGGTTGATTCGAGGCCAGTCTAGCACAGTCAACGATGCGTCAAAGGAGATTATAGAGAGAGGAACACACCAGCATCACACCAAACGTTTGGTGTAGTGCAACTGCCAAGGGGCGTGCACCGGCATCTGGAGCCACCATGCAGCATATGAATAGGGAGATGGCTTGCCCTAGGAGCCACGGGATCCCGTATTCGAGGAGTTTAGACCACGAAACCTGACTACCAGAAACCTCTGCTAAGCAGGTGTAGGAGATGGCGATCCCAGCGCAGATGATGAGTTGATAAGTGCGAATGTAATAAGAGCGAAGACAGGCGATAACAAAGATGTATAAGAAGAGGAAGGTTGCCAGGACACCGCCATAGCCAACGCGTGCGGTAGCAGTGACAGTAGAGACCCATAGGCCAAAGGAGCCCCATGCCAACCCGGTAGCACTACCGACTATAGTGAGAATGGTCCCATCCACCTGGGCTCCCAATGTCCGGCCCGGGTGATTTATAATGGCGGAGATTACCATGATATAGCTGTGCCGACCAAGCCTTGCTCGGACAAGAGGAACGAGACAGAGGACGTATGCTATGAAGAACCCAAGGAAAGACTTGGCAAGCTTGATGCCAGCGCGGGTGGTAGTGACCCGACGTATGACACCCTTGACCTCGTGCCACTGCTTGGGTAGGAAGTTGCTCAGAGAAAGCGGGTCTTGCTTGCGAAGGGCGTAAGGCAGAGTGGTCTCGGCCTGTGCCATGAGGTCCTGGGCATCGACATCTTCAGGCGGTAGGAAGATGGCGTCGAAGAAGCTGTCTCGTAGCTCATTGACACCATATGTATTGTCGATGAAGTACTGCTCGCCCGATGTCAAGGACGGCGGAGCATCGTGGAGGCGCTGTCCACCCGACTGGGTACGGGTGTCAAATATCCTGTCCAAAGAACCTACCGACGTGTCTCGAGCATTTTGCCTTGTGGTAGGTGTACGTCGGCGTAGAAGGCGGGAAATGCCCCTTTCCTCAAGTTGAACCCCATCAGACGTTGGATCATTCGCGGTAAGACCGGGGGAGGTATCTTCAGAGGTAGCCATGTTGCTGTCCTCATTCAAAACCCGCAGTGCTTTGGTAGAACGGAGCGGTCTTCCACCAGGAAGCGCAACCTGTAATGCAATCAGTTGGGCCTCAATACTCACACACCCACCCACCACCTGCCCAAGGCCCCGAGACGGTCCCCGACAAGCACGGTCTATAGCACGGTGCAGTCCTCGTGAAACGAGAAGTTGCGGCAATTCCGACGCGCATATGAATCCGTTACCGAATCGCGTATATCATAGATGCAGTAAGCTGGTATAGCAGCGAAGCTGGGGACAGCATACCCAGCGATACGGTAGTACCCAGAGCGCAGTACGGAGTGCAGCCAGGAGGAAGGATGGAAGCGACGTACACTGAAGCTGATAGACCAGGTGAAGTCGAAATCGTCGCGTGTAGATTACAGTACAGTGTCTCTGTATAAGGCACTGTATTTAGCACTGTCCAGCAGGACGACATTGAACTCAGGTGGTCGTCGACAAGTTACGGAGGTACCTGCGTGCTGAACCCCGAGTGTGCTGATTGGTTAGCCACAGCTGTGGGCCACATCGATTACCCCGCCAGCACATTTGTTATTCGGGTGGGGCCTCATCTTCCAGCGACTGCCCCTCCAGCCCTCCAGCCCAACAGCCCAACAGCTGTCGAAACTCCAGGTCGTCACCTCACTTTCGCCCGATCAACATTCCAGAGAAAGAAAGAAGAAACCCTTCTCCATACTCCAGTCCATTTCCACCTCCACCTCCACTGCCGACACTCTCGAGCCACGTACGCGCTCGTCAAGACCCTCAAGATGGGTAAGTCCCATCATTGACGGCCGTGTTCCTCCAGCGTGCTAACAGCTGCAGCCATCCCCTCCGACCACATCATCGGTACGCATGCCTCCCGTCGCAAGCTTTCGCAACTCCGCTGACACGCCACCCTCAGCGAACTTCGTGCAGCCTTACTACACCAAGTTCGCGGCCGACCGAGCGGGATTCGTGAATGAATACTACGTATGCGCACCCGAATCCAGCCCATGGTCCGGGGGAACGTTACTGATCGCAGTGAGAATGTAGCGCACAGACTCCACCTTCACCTTCGAGTCCAACACGGCCCAAGGAGTAGATGCTATTCGGGCGCAGTGGTCGGTACGGCGAATACCAATGTCAACGCCCGGGAAAAGCAATACTGATACCGCGCCCAGGTCGAGCACCTGCAAACCGCCAAGCTACAGATCACCACAGTGAACGCTCAGCAGTCCGTTGATGGCTCAATCATCGTTCTCGTCACTGGCCTGATGCAGGTTCGTACATCACTCTACCTCGAAAAAGCATCTGGGATGCTAACAGGCTGGTTCAGTTGACCGAAACTGACGCACCGATGAACTTCGCCCATTCGATGCTTCTGAAGACCGACGCCGAGCAGAAGCCGTACTGCTTCAACGATATGTTCAAGCTCGTATACGGCTAGATACGGGCGTAGCGTAACGTATGTGGTGGAGACTGATGGTCTATTGGATCATAAGGAATCTCGACGATAGATGCTGAAGTGATTCAAGTGTCATAAAGGAAGAGTTACGCTGCAATGATGGAACATGTTGTTAGAAATGACTTCCGAGAAGGGTTACTTCGCGGGACTGAGACCGCTGGTCTCCATCTTTCCAGACTATGCGAACATAATGCAGCAGTCTATATAAGAAGGCTTTCTTTCCGTTCCAGGACATGTTCGCCTGCACCGCACGCGCCAAGCTGACTGTGACATCGATCACGGCTCTACTCGCCTGCTGTGGACTCTTCATGGGAACTTTCTGCAGAGCTATCACGGTGCTAGCAAATACTAAGTGACGACAACCCTCATGGCCTTTTACAGACCGATCTAGGCAAACTTGTACGAAAAGCCAGTAGCACACAGACATGCGTTCGGCCCTCGTCACAAGCCTGGCAGTCCTCACCTCGGGGATCGAGGCCATCAACTTCCCCCTCGGAGTCCGTGGTGCTCACCGAAGCAGGCATTGGCAGCTTATCCGGCATCGCCTTCGACAACAAGTCCGCAATCAGCCCCAGAGACATCCGCCGACGGTACCGCGGCAGCGCCGGCTGGCCCGCCGAAGAATGGTCCAGCCTGAACAGGTCTCTCCACGGCGCGCTCCTCAAGCCCGTCCCGCCGGCAGCAGTTTGCTACGACTGACCCTACAAGAACGAGGCGCGGTGCGATTTCCTCTTGCGCAATGCGAGCTCCTCCCGCTTCTACATTGACGACCCGCTCACGGTATAGTCGACCTGGGGCCAAGGGCGGTACGTACCACGTGACGGCGCAGTTGGCCGGGATGAACTGCACGCAGGCCGGAAGTCCGCTGTGTGCCGTTGACGTCACGAAGGTGAGGCACATACAAGTTGGTGTCAATTTTGCTCGGAATATGAATTTGCGCTTGGTTGTTAAGTGACCAACCCCTATCTTCTTTTAATCCGCGGAAACATCCGTCCGCCGTTCAGGGGTAATGACCGTGGCTGAGATAACAGTCACCGAGCAGTCTATAAGCAGCCAATTGCTGCTTATGCCAGCAATGTCTTAGACACAATGATTACCCCGGAGTATCTTTGCTCTGGTGGGCTTCGGTTAACACGCTTCTTTCAGGAACACAGGTCATGACTCCGTCTGTCGCTCAGCAGGTTTTGGTGCGCTCAGCATCTGGACACACTGGCTACAGGACTTTGATTGCATGCCGCAGTATAGCATCAGCGATTACAATGGCATGGCCGCTCGAGTCGGATCTGTTCGATTATACGACCTTGCGGGCGTCGCGCCTCGGACGTTGTGGGAGGCTCATGCCAGGTTTAATTCACACAGTAAGCAATTCTTTGGCTTTATGTTGCCCTTTCTTTCCATTGACTGTGACCTCTGGGAATTGCCATTCTATTTGGGGTAAAGGGAGAGATCATGTTCTGCAGTCATAACAAGGCTCGGTTTTTGGTCATGACCCCTCGATATCAAGGAGCTCTGGCACTGCCGTCGACTAACTCAGTGGACGATTGGCGAGCCGTCACCCCAGGGGCTGGCTCATACTTCAACGCTTGCGATATCGAGGAGCCCAGATGGCAGCATGCGTTCTTCGGCACCAACTATGAGAGGCTCTTGGCAATCAAGCGGGAGACCGGCCCCTGGGGCGTCTTTTATGCTCCGACGATGGTGTGTAGCGCGGATTGGGTCATCGCGATCTCGGAGGGTGAGGGTTTTCCGGCGCAGAATTGGCGTCTGTGCTCTTCTTCTATGATGTATGCTACTTCGCCTTGATGTTGGGTGAGGGAGCTGTTGGTTTTGGTCAGACTATGGCATTGCAGCAGCCGATGTGCTGAATGGATCTGTAAACGAAGAGGCGGATGCTTGCCTATTAGATGTTACTATAATGATCACGGGTCACAACTTATCCTACTGCGAATCGTATTGACCTGACGAAGGTGCCTTGAGCCCAGTCCTTTCCTGTAGCCCCTGACCAAAGAAATAGCGTTGACTACGAGCCTTTTCCCACTGACCTAGGGTCTAATTAAAGTAGGTAAGCTTTTTCGAATTTAGATTCCATCAGTGAAACTATAAGAGGCGCCCCACGAGAGCTTTATTCTTGGGATACCCTACTAAGGTTTGTGATATCCGCGCGGCACCTATTCACATGCTTTCCTTTCTGGCTTGACGTCTCTGTTACTGTACCATGTCAAACCTTCATCCCTCCTTAAATCGCCAAATGTACAGAAGCTACACACATTAGCTTATGCTGTTATCCCGCCACAGAGTGTATCGGAAACCATCACGAGATATACCACAGTATCTTAATTACCTCAGCCGGCTGCTTGCTGATGATCTGATAGAAGATTGATAAAGTGGAGAGTGTGACAATCAGGCCTGCAGCTGCGCTGATCAGGGCTGATGGGTTGAAATATCTAGATTCAACGATATCTAAGGAAGAAGAGGCAATGTCGGAAGAGAAAGGGGAAGCTCGGGATATATATGTACATAAATATATGGAGGTATCATGTAATACCGTAACAGAGAGGAGAAAACACCCTATGTCGGATATTCACGTGAGTAGCACCCATTACCAGTGTCCTTGTACCGTAGCTAGAGGCTACCTTTGCATGTTTTCGTCGTTGTCTCAAGGGCCCCTAGAGGCCAGACTATTCGAAAGACCAGTGTGACGAGCCGTCTAACCTATAAGGCTAAAGGGTTCTATAGGGTTTATGTTCTGAGGTAAGTTAACACAAAGGACGATAAAGGCTTCTGTCAACTAAAAGACACTCAGATGCTGGGGCTTGGTCTGGATCCGGGGGATCACTGAATAGTTGAGTCGTCAGGAGATTTCTCCCACCTTAGGGTTGGCTAGGATGCTTAGATTAATCACTGAGGTAGAGACTGTCTATCTGTCTAGCTAAGAAATGTCCATCCTTATATATCCAGTCTCTTCTTTATTGATGAGGTGGATATCTGGGATCGTTGGCTATCCTAGTGATCCCAGATATCATGGATAGCTGGCTATCCCAGCGATCCTGGATATCGTGGATAGCTGGCTGTCCCAGCTATCCCCTGGTCACGTGACTCGTGTCGCAGTATCCTTCTTCCGTGCGTTGTGCTAATCGTTCATTTTCTGCCAATGAACCCTGGCCTGTCCGCGGGCCTCCTCTCCTGTGTGGTCTTGTTGGTTCGTAACAGCCAGGTCAATAGTTATTGATTTTCCAATCGAGCGGCTGCCGAGTTTCCTTGAAATTTGCAAGTCGTCGACCCATACGCAAATACATCAACTGTCGACGTGGGAAATTTCCCCCTCTGCCAACACATCCTAGTTGAAACCAGGCGTTGCTGGTGGCACTTCCTGCGCTCAGGTCGAGCAACTCGTCCTGGCTGGTACCAGGGACCAAATCCGGAGGGTAGTGTCCAGTACGACCCTTGCCTTGAAGCGAACCTTGTCAAACAGAGCGTGGGGGCTTTTGGATGGGTGAAAACGTATATTCTGGTGTAATCCGTGTTCTTGTTGTATCTCTGCAAAAATCCTTCTGTGGGCTAAGTGGCCCAAAAATGCCCTATTGGCCTTGTTGGTGCACTGCCACCTCCCTGAACGCCACGGTGGCTTGCGTGCCATTCAACAAACCTTGATAACGATGATGACGGAGAGGATTTCACGAATAAAGAAGTTCATGTGTCAGCGACGTGGTCGTCTCGTCGGAACCTGGGCATCTCACCATCATCGGATGAGACTACTGGGAATGGGACCGGCGATCTTCCTGCTGGCTGAGTTGTTACTACATGAGATGACGAGGATAGTCTGCTTTGCTCCTGGGCTTTGTTGCTGCCGTCCGGGCGGTACCAACAAGGGGGCCTTTTGTAGTTAGACCCATCATAGTCGTCAGATGTATAAGTAAACTGAATATTGCTGGTAATCGTGAATATTCCATACTGGTGTTACCTACCTTTCTAGAAAATTTGGAGAGATGATCTATGCTTCATGTTCCATTTCGAGGACGCCAAGCCGGATCTGGTCTTACTGTGTCGAGTAGGAACGCCAATATATTCAACTTGTCTTCTTTGGAAACTAACTAAGGTAACACACTGTACCTACTAGAAGTGACCCAGGTGTCTACGAGGGATTGCCTTATCCTTACCTCCTAGGTAGGTTGCTTGCTGAAAATGTAAAGGGGGCACGGGGTATGCCAATGTGGCTTTGTGTGGCTTTGTGTGGCTTGGCTGCTTGGGGTATGTGGCCCCACATGGCACAGAATGGGCAGCGAGGCTCCAAAAGACATCTGGCCTTTGATTGGCCGGGGGACGCGGCGGTGGAGACAGGGCCTTCGCAGCAGCCGTGGTCCGTGGACCCGTGAGCTCTCCCCAGTGGGAGTCAGGCAGTCTGGCAGTTCAGGTCGCTTCGAACTCTGATTCAACCCGCTCCTCCACCTCCAGTCTGCATTGAAGGCAACACAACCCAACTCACTCATCCCCATCCATCTTCCAACCCGCCAACCCGCCAACCCGCACGACATTGAAGCGCAGCCGCCCTTTGGCCATTCCCTGTCCAACCCGACTTCTGTCTGTGCACTACGACCGACCCTTGTATAATAACACCATCTGATTCTGTCAGCCTCTCCCGCCCGCCTGCCTCGCAGCTCGTAGCTCGCAGCTCACAGCTCGCCCCGAACCCACGATCGACGACGCATACACGACATCGCGACCCGCCGCCTCAACACAGGTCAGGCTCATGATCCCAGCGCCTTACGAGCTTCTGAGCCTGCCGCCAACTCCCGGTCTTCACAGCCATCCTTCCGAAATAGCGTGTGTGGCATCGACAGCGCTGCGTGGTTCTGCGAGGGGCTCTAGGGGCAGAGCATAGCACCTCTTCTTCCCCATCTCCCCATCTCCCCATCTCCCCATCTCCTTCTCTCCTCCTTCTCCCTCCCCCCGATCCCGAGACCACCACCCTCATGGTCCCCCCGCCGCCTCCGTCCCATTCAAGATCTGGAAACTTCTCGCCTGTCCCTGCACATAGTCTGCAGACAGGCTTCACACATTCCCCCCATCCATCACACGCTGGCCCTCTGAGTGCTGGCGCAAGCCCGAGTGCGAGCAGCCCGACCACGGGTAACACCAACTCCCTCACCAAGATCGTCGTCGCCCAGGTTTACCTTCTGTTGAGCACAATCAAGGAGGACAAGGACCGCGCCAAGTTCGAGTTGCAGATCGACCAGCTGAAGAAGGTATGTCTCCATCCCGCTGCCAGCTAACATATCCTCTTTCTCTTTTCTTCCGCCTCACTTCTCGCCCGAAATCCTGCTTCTGACGCTGCCAACCCCATCTCTAGCTTCTCGATGACCACGGCATGGAAGTCTTCTCCAAATATTTCACCCGGCTGGTGGCCGGGAATGCCGCCCAAATATTTCCCAGCCTCAGTCGGTCGACCGCTAACCCGGGCAACTACTCGCTCCTCGTTGGCGAGATGTCCAAGATTTCCCACGACCTCGACCAAGCTGCCAAGATAGCCGAGTCCATCGAGACCGCAAACGAGGACATATTCCGCGATTTCGATCTCTCCACCTTCATGGAACATTTCAAACTTGATGCTCTGGAGAAGACAATATTGGCATTGGCGTTCAAGTTTGGATCCCGTTCGGATCTGAAGACAAAAGGTACCGCTTGCTTCCATTTTCCAGCTTCAGTCTCCGAAGAAGATTAACTGACTGACCACTCGATTACTACAGCCGACGCTATTCTTTCCACCAATTTTCCTACCTTCGTGAACATCGTCTCGCGCCCGGATTTTGGTGATCACTCGGACCTGACCCCGGCTTTCATCGCAGCCATTGTCGACCGATATATTCAGGGCCATCCCCCCAACTTCAACTCGGCCGCTAAGCACGAACTCAGTCAAAAGGTCCAGTCGCGCTGGTCACAACCAGATCAAGCCCCCCCAATGGAGGTGCTGGCTGCTCTGGACCTGATACGAGTGCTGGGTGAGAAGCCACCGAATGCGTTGGCGCTCTATATCCAGCGAACAGGGGCAGACTTCACGCGTGACGAAGACACTTGTTTGGGTTACCTGCAGAACCGGCCGGGTAACATCCAACTGAGTGAAGAGCAAGTTTCTGCCGCCCTGACCTACACGACTGTCAGCACCACTTACCGGCACAACCCATCTGTATTGGTTGCTGCCCTTCGGCGCGTTCTGCCTTCGACCTTCAACTGGGAGGATGTAGTAGCATACTTCGATCAGCGGGACGTGCGCGTGTCTTCTGAACAGTTTCTGCGACTATACAGTGCACTGCTGCCAGTCGCGCAAGCCCACGACGATCAATCACCAAACTTTGACATACAGTGTCTGTGGGGTGGCTCGCGTTGGGAAAACGCGGAGACGCAGCTGTCTTTCATCTGCGCGTTCGCATCTCTAACGCCGGACGAACTCGACGCCAGTACCATTCCCGGCCTCCGACCAACCTTCACCCTTGACGAGTATGCCCAGTCGCACGCAGAAGTTCGTGAACGAGCTGCTGTCGCTGTCAAGCACCCCCTCGTCTCTGGGCCTGCCCTATCAGCCATATTCCATGTTGCTCTGCATTCGTTGCACGCGTCGCAAAGCGCTGAAGCCAAGCGACTGTTCCAGCAGGTCGTCGTTCCGAACCTCGATATTTTCATCGTCTCAGCCTTTGGGGTTCCTAAGCCATGGCCCCAAATGGCCACCGATACACTGATATCGCTATTTGGCAACTTCCTGCATCGCCGTTCCGAACACCACGACTTCGTTCTGGACAGCTTGTGGAGGAAGGACAGAGCCTGGGTCGTTACCAGACTCATCGAGGCACATGGCCAGAAGCCTACGGACCTGACAGTGATATTTGAACATGTCATCAAACACGACTGGTTGGATGAGCTAGTCTACTCACCCAGCGGATTTGGCTACGACCTGGCTGCTCTGGCACATGCTGAAGGTCGGCTTGACCTATCCGATTGGGCCCGCAACAATGCTGAGAGAAGCCCGTCGATCGCGCAATCTTTGCTGCAGTTTCTGCTGATAAAAGCAAACCAAGAGGTTCAACTGCAGAAGGCCAAGGCTGGAGAAGTGCAACCAGTACCGATACCAAGCACTGCGCTCCACCTCAAAACAGTCGTTGCCATGCTCCAGATTCTCGAGGACTTCCTGCCAAGGGGCCCTGTCCCACAGCTCATCATGGCTCAGCGTGCGTGTATCACCGCCTACCCGCGACTTATCAATTATGGAGAAGGCTATGACGATATCATCGATGCCAACGGAAAAGAAGGCCACGCACTCTCACCCGGCGCCGTTGCTAAGATGGAGGAACACTATAAGAAGATGTATGGCAATGATACTGAGGTCAAGGTCATCGTACAAAAGCTCCAGGACTACAAACAATCCCGAGATCCCTTGGAGCAGGACATCTTCGCCTGTATGATCCATGGACTTTTCGAAGAATATCCGCATTTCATTGATTACCCACTCGAAGCCTTGGCTACTACGGCTGTCTTGTTCGGCGGTATCATCTCTCGTAAGCTCGTTTCTGAGCTTCCACTCAAGGTTGGACTCGGCATGATCCTGGAAGCCGTTAGAGACTACAGCCACAAGGATCCCATGTATAAGTTCGGACTCCAAGCTCTCATGCAGTTACTCTTACGCTTTCGCGAGTGGCCAGGATTTTGTAAGCAACTCCTGCAAGTCCAAGGCTTGCGTGACACGGATCCGTGGATGAAGGCAGAAGAGGTCGTCCGCGAAGACCAGGAGGGAAGGGTGCGTGCTCAGAACGGTAATGGACCAGCCAACCATGTGGAGACTGAGGCATTGCTGAGCGTGGCTGTTGATGGCTCCGAGGTACATGCGCCGTCCTTTGCACCGTTCTCAGCAATTACTATCGACCCTCCAAGGCCCGGCGTTAGTTTCGAGGAGCCTGTTGTCGATATCCAAGATCGGATCCAGTTCGGGCTGAACAACCTAACCTCGACCTCTCTCCAGTCCACGTTCGCAGATTTGTACGGGCTTTTGGACGACCGTCATCAGCAGTGGTTTGCCAGTCATCTTGTTGAAGAACGAGCCAAGATGCAACCCAACTACCATCAGGTGTACCTGGACCTTGTTAGGCTTTTCCAGCATCAGGGTTTGTGGTCCGAAGTATTGAGGCAAACATACATCAGTGTCGCTCGTATGCTCAACGCCGAGAGTACCATGCAGAGTTCTACCGACAGGACACACCTCAAATACCTCGGGGGCTGGCTCGGACTGCTGACGATAGCCCGGGATCAACCTATCAAACACAAGAACATTGCATTCAAGCAGCTTCTCATTGAGGCGCATGACACCAAGAGACTAGTTGTTGTGGTGCCCTTTGTCTGCAAGGTTCTTATTCAGGCTGCCAGGTCAACAATCTTCCGTCCACCAAACCCGTGGTTGATGGATATTATTCATCTTCTCATTGAACTTTACCACCACGCCGACTTGAAGCTCAACCAGAAGTTCGAAATCGAGGTCTTATGCAAGGACCTTAGCCTTGATCACAAGAGTATCGAACCTTCCAAGGAGCTTCAGGACCGTGAGCCATTCGAGGATTTGAGCGAGGTGCCGATGCCGCCAGTGGAGCAGTTCGATGATCTCTCGCTGAACGGCCTGGGAAGCGTTGTGGCTCCTGGTCTGTCACCACATCCAATTCCTGTCTCGGTTCCGGAAGTCAGTCCCATGTTGTCGATCCCACCGACTAACGAGATGGTTGTGAGTACTGCCCGTCTACATGACATGGTCCGTAGCGCGGTGACCAAGGCTTTGCACGATATCATCCAGCCGGTCGTTGAGAGATCCGTTACTATCGCAGCCATAAGTACGCATCAGATGATAACTAAGGATTTTGCCACCGAGCCTGATGAGAACAAGCTACGCATGGCAGCCGTAAACATGGTTAAAGCAACAGCTGGTAGTCTGGCCCAGGTTACTAGCAAGGAGCCTCTGCGAGCAAACATCACCAACTATCTACGGGCCGCAGCGAATGACCTGCCCCAGGGTCTGCCCGAAGGCACGATCATCATGTGTGTCAATTCAAATCTTGACCTGGCGTGCAGCATCATCGAAAAGCAAGCCGAAGAGCGCGCGTTGCCCGAGATTGAGGAGATCATATCGAACGAATACGAGAAGCGACGTCGTCATCGTGTGCAGCGGCCGAACGAGCCCTACGTCGACTCCAGCCTGAGTCGATGGGCCATGACCATCCCCCACCCTTACAAGCTTTCTCCTAGCATGACAGGCTTGAATGCGGAACAGATGGCCATTTACGACGACTTTGCAAGGCAGCCACGGAGTACCACCCAAGCCGTTGGTACGCATGCGCCTTCGGCCTCGGATGCCACAAGGAACATTGCCAACGAGGTTCTGCAAGATCAATACAGCTCCGTGCCGAACATTCCAACGCCCAACGAGACGCCCGCTCTTCCTCATATAAATACGCAGCTGTCGTATTCCCACGCGCAAGCCGGGATGACTAATGGCCGCCCGTCAGCCCAACCTGGCCAGATTGATGTTCGTGTGGTCACAGAGAGAATCTCAAAGCTACTGGAACAGCTCAAACACACGGCTGACAGCTCCAGCGAAGAGCACTTCGTTGATCTTCCGAAGCCACATGATATCCTGGATGTCGTCGACGCCTTCACCCAGCTCATCATCAAATTCTCGTCGCAGAACACAGAGGACCTTGCTGGGTACGCTGCCGACAAAATATGCAGCCTCCTGTTCAGCCGTCACAGCCACAACACCCTCTTCCTCGAGAGTCTCGTCCACATTCTCGCGCTTATACTGAAGATCTCGGCTAGTTCTGGCACTGCAATGCATGATCGTGTACAGGTCAGGTTCTACCGAGAGCCTCCCCAGAACATTCTCTACATCCCTCTGATCTCTGCGCTGCTTCCGACAGATCTCCTAGACTTGCAAAACGTCGACCGAGTCCTGGCAAAGGTCTTGGCAGAGAGGGACGAAGAATATCTGGAATTTTTTGAGCAACTACTGGACTTGACGATATTCAATGGTCGCCCTGTTGCTTTATTCACAGACTACGTGCAGAGTCTCCAAATTGCTTGGGAATGGATCAACCAAGAGCCAAGTCTTGAGGTAGGTCAGAGACTAAGAAACAAATTTCTTCGTTCTGGCCTGCCGAAGCCGCAGAGTCGAGGCTCAGAGGTTGACAGTGAACGTCAAGAGCAGTTCGACTACGTATTTGACGAGTGGGTGCGCTTATACGGCAACCCCAACGCGTCTGACAAGGCACAGATGGCGTTCGTGAAGCAGGTGCGGAGCAAAGGCGTTATCAAGGGCAAAGACGACTTCCTAGTCTTCTTACGGAGGGCCATCGATGTGTCAATCCTCCACTATGACCAGATCATACTTCAAGGGGGTAGTAGCAGCGAGTGTCTCGTTCCCGTGGATTCGATTATCAAGCTGGTGACCATCTTCGCCCAGGAAAGCGCGGCTGAGTTTGATGACCCGAAGGCTGGGCTTCTCCCTATTCTGGAGGCGGTCATGGCACTTTTCGCTGTGCTCCTCAATCACCACCATGTCACCAGGGGCGAACACTTCAATCAGCCCATCTTTTTCCGCCTCTTCTCAATGCTGATGCACAGTGCTGATAGGATGTTTGTGGAGGGACTGGAGTCCTGCCGAGAGGACTATCTGATGCGCCTAGCGGAAATTCTACTTCCCCTCGGACCGGAACGCTACCCAGGCTTCTCTTTCAGCTGGCTCAATCTCATATCGCACAGACAGTTCCTGCCAAGCTTACTGATGCTCGAATCAAAGCGCGGCTGGCCGCAATACACCAAGATCGTTCAGTCTGTCATGAGACATCTCTGCGAGCTCATGAAGGTAGTCGAGGTAGCAACTGTCACCAAGGATTGGTACCGGGGGGCCATGAAGCTCCTGGTGGTCTTGTCCCACGACTATCCTGATTACGTGGCGGCGAATGCCATACAGATTTGCGGCAGCATTGCGCCTCATTGCAAGCAGTTGAGAAACATTGTTCTCCACTGCAGCCCCCGATCCGAGGCCGAAGAAGCCCTTTCGCAGGTGCCGCAATCTGGCGTTGCTAGTCAACGCCAAGTGTTCTCGTCCCTCAGAGAAGCAGGCATGATGGAAGTCCTCGAGCAGCTGATGCAAGATGGCCCCTCGGAAGACGCCATTGCTCACCTCACGCATGCCATCAATAGGAGAGATGCAGATGCGACCACGTTTGGCGGTGTGCGGCTCACTGTCGATCCGCAGCTCATTGACGACATTGTCGCCTTTATTGGTCATCATGCGGTGTCGAGGCGGCGGCAGGAAATGAACTTGTTCATGCCCGGGTCCACCGACGTAGCCACGCTGTCACTTCTGGTGCATGAACTGTCGCCCGAGAGCCGTTACTTCCTGCTGTTCAGCATTGTGGACCGACTTCGATGGCCTGGTGCTCTGACGGAATACTTCACGCTAGTGATCCTTGACATCTTTGGGCAGGATATCAACGACCCTGAGGAAGCGGATATTCGGCAACAGATTGTTCGCATTCTGCTGGAGCGATTTGCGGGCTTCTGGCCGCAGCCATGGGGCCTCGTGTCGATCATCGTGGAGCTGACCAAGAACGAAAAGTACATGTTCTTTGAGCAGCCGTTCATCAAAGCGGACCGCGACGTAGGTTTGGCTTTTCTGTCCCAGACAGACGTCAAACTGACCGTCTAAACAGATCGGTGAGCAGTTCATGACTATTCCCCGGCAGGGGCAGTAATGACGTTCGGCCATGTTGAGGCGGCATTGCAGTTTCAGCCTCGGTTGAGGCTCCACCTTCTCCTTCACACTCTTAATGAACTCGGTGGCGAGAGGGTTCATGATTAAGGACTCGGATGTTACACGCATGAGGTCTGTATTGATTGGCGAGGGGCGATACCATTCCGGCGCTAAAACAGCGGCATATGACTGCTTGGTGAAGGGAAGCATTCTACGGCGTTTAGGGGAGATGATTACACTTGTATGTTTGTACAGCGGGTGTGTGAGTTGAAGGCCGCTTGGTCAAGGGTCGTCCTCGCACATCCCGGCGTATGTATCAATATATAGAGGCTGGTGGGCACAAGCTAGCCCTTCTATTTGTATTGCCAGTGTAACGTGACCAAAGACCCGCCTTTAGATGGAGGCTGCGTGTATCAATTATCACTCATCTTTCCTCACGAACGCTTCTGTACCGACTGAGCCCGTACGGGCGTGTAGTATATATGTGTCTTTGCCATGGCATGGCATGTCGTTCGAAAAAATGGGCCTACCTTTTCGGCGAAACTACTGTGACCGCCAAGCAAGCATCACCAAAAATGCTGGGCCTGCCGCATTCCCAAGTGGAACCATCCAAGAAGACTCAGCCCGGTTTCTTCATCGGCTCCCTTACGCATATTTCTCGAACCCCACCCCCGCCCATTCTCTGTACAGCTGCACAGCTGCAGTAATAAGACCTGTCTGTACCCATTTTGTCAGATACGAGCGCACCATTTGGGCCATGCACTGACCATGTCACGTGGAGGACAGCGCACTAGACTGCGACCAGCCACCAGGGCAAAACTAGTACTGAAAACTCGTACACAGATAGACAATGCTCATCACAACATCATAATACACTCATCAATTGACCCTTGTATTCAACACATTTCATGGCCCCCTCATCCCTGCCGTACCACGAGCCCCCGCTCACGTACACCCTCGTGCTCGCCTCCTTCCTGCTGGCCCTCAATATGGTCAACGCCGTCCTCGACCGCGCGCTGTACTGCGGGCTCGTGGGGCAGGTGCTGGTCGGCACGGCGTGGGGCGCGCCGGGCGCGCGCTGGCTCTCTTCTGACGCTGGCGCTGGGGTGCAGGAGGCCGTCGTCGGGCTAGGGTATCTGGGCTTGGTGCTTGTTGTTTTTGAGGGCGGGCTCGCTACGGATGTGCGGAGGCTGTGGAAGGATCTGGGGCTCGCGGTGGGCGTCGCGGGGACGGGGGTGGTGATGCCGATGGGGTTTAGTTTTGTTTTGGGGAAGTTGGGGGGCGCGAGTGGGTTGCAGGTTCGTGGTTATGCTAACTCTTCTCGTTGGTCTCGTCTTGGTTTAGTTGGTGTTGGTGAACTTGCTGACTCGCGAGTGTCCGTTCCTTAGTCCTTCGCTGCCGGCGCAGCGCTGTGCTCCACGAGTCTGGGCACGACGTTCACGGTGCTCAGCACGAGCGGGCTTTCCGCCACGCGGCTCGGCAGCGTGCTGAGCACGGCGGCTATGATGGATGATGTCGTCGGTCTGGTCATGGTGCAGATCATCAGCAGTCTTGGGGAGGGCGCTGGGAGTGGTGGTGCGGAGGAGATCGCGCCTACGACGGTCGTTAGGCCTGTCTTTGTATCGCTTGCGTTTGCGGTTGCAGTTCCGGTGGTGTGCCGGTTCTTGCTTCGGCCGGGCTTGCGGGTGCTTGATCGTAAGAGAGGGAAGGATGGCGGGAAGGGTGGAAAGGGGGAGGCGAGGGTCTGGCGGGTTTTCAGGATGAAAGAGGCGGCTTTCGTGGTGCAGACGCTCCTGCTGATCGCGCTTGTGGTCGCCGCGAGCTATGCGGGCGTGTCGGTGCTGCTGGCGGCTTATATCGCTGGCGTCCTGGTGAGTTGGTGGGATGCGCAGCGTGGTGGTGACGATGAAAAGCCTGCGAGCGCTTGTGTTCCTGGGCAAGAGGTCACGTCTGCGAGTGGAGATCGAGAGACTCGACTCCCTGAAGATGCTGTTACTCCTGAAACTCCCGGCTCGGCAACAGCGACAGCGCAACCCGTATCCAAGATCTCGCGGTATACTGGGCACGAGATATATGAGCTCTACTATTCGCAGGCTGAGAATCGCGTTCTCAAGCCTTTCTTCTTTGTGGGTTGCCCATCCCCGCAGATATAAGATCAAGGAGGACTAGATACACTAATACGTCAAAGGCATCCATTGGATTCTCCATCCCGGTATCCAAGATGTTCTCCGGGGAGGTCATCTGGCGTGGCATGATTTACACGGTGCTCATGATGGTCGGCAAGCTTCTTTGCGGGTTGTGGCTTGTACGGCTCCCGGTGTCTATGGGCAGCCTGGGAAAGGTGTTCCGCTCATTCGTCGCGTCTCGGTATCACGAAATCTCCTCTAGGATTCGGCCTCGGAGCTCCAAGTCGAAGCCAAAGCCGGCGGCTGCTCATGGTCACGGTCTTGCTTCTCAACCTGGCGCAGCCTCGCCCGAAGCCACGGAGATGAGCTCAACGCAGACAACCGACGCAACAGCGCCGCCGGACCCAACGGCAGAAGGAGAACGGCACGCACCGAAGCTGCCTGCCAAGCCCGTCTCCCTCTACCCGTCTGCGATCATGGCCTTCGCCATGGTAGCCCGCGGTGAGATCGGGTTTCTGATCTCTTCTGTGGCCGAGAGTAAGGGCATATTCCGCAGAGCAGACGAAAGCGAGTCGGACGCTTCAGAGCTTTTTTTGATTGTGACTTGGGCCATATTCCTCTGCACGATCGTAGGCCCGCTGTGTGTTGGACTGTTGGTTAAGAGGGTCAAGAAGCTTGAGAAGGCTAGTGTTGGCCCGAGGGGGGCTCGGAATGTCCTTGGGGCTTGGGGTGTTCAGTAGCATCGACGACCAGTTCTGGGGGCCCGTCGTACCGCACACGCTCAGGAAGGCCTGCGCGCTGTTTGCATTTCTTCGGTCGACAACCGCGCTTTCACCGAAGAAAACCCATTGCTTGCAAGCCTGACGGATACATGCGCGAGTGTGATGCGGGTTGCTAGGTAAGGTTGCTTCCCATTAAGGTATCGCGGTCGTGTCGCACAGCATCTTCTGACATACAGGACTGCGGCCCGATCCCCCAAGGCGCGCCCAGTCGAGATCTCGCGGCCCTACCCAGATGTTTGCTCCTCAATCTGTTCCGGTGATCCGGTGTTGGGTCGGTATACTTAATTCCCATCGGTCCAGCCTCGAGTAGCGTTGGCCACACTATTGAGTGAGCCTGTTACAAAAGTCGCTCATACATATTCTAGGTAGCAGTATCGCAACTTCAAGGATATCGCACGGAGTAGAGCTCATCTTCTGGTGCCTGTGTTCATTCTTCGGTACGATGTGACAAGACTGGCTGTCAGATAGCCGATTTCCGGACTCGTCTCCGGGTTGAACCTCCGGCTTGGGTCGAAGTACAATCACATACCACCGCTACATGCCTCGCCGCGCCGTTGCATACAAAGCGGTTTGTCAGATGTGACTAGTAATCCACAGGGTTACATCGGCAGTCCTGCACTCCCTCCCCGCATCCCAAAGCTTGTCGTCGCGGGGAAGCTCCCCCAATGGCAAGGCCGAGATACATCTACCGTTGCAGCAGTCACATCAGCTTCCTCCGCCTGCCCCGTAGGCATCCCTGCGTTCCCACGCATTTGGCCTTACGAGCTGGTCAGGGCTTCACCATGCGGGCCATGCAGCCAGATTGGATCCTTCCTGGGGTCGATGACACTACGAGATCCTGTGGAACACAGGGATCTTCTATGCAGTTGGTAGTCCAGACGTGGCAGAGCCTCAGAAACGGTATGTGAGCCCGGCAGAGTGGACGGTGATCTCGATATGTATGGTCCGTAAGATGATGAGATCCGGGCCGCCTTCTGCCTCCTGCTGTCAGACGGCTTCGCTCTCGGCTCGAGGTTCACCAATCAGCTCACACCCTTGATCCAACTGCATACACCACGTAAAGTACTCTCATATCCGCCCAATCTAAGATTCTACTGGGCTGGCATCCTAGTACTTGGCGTCGGATATAGGGCTGCATCCAACAAAGACGGTGAAGGGCATGTGTTATTGGCGGTTTGGAGCCTAAGGTACCTACGTAAACCCCCGGTCACCCTGTAGGGTGTACCCCCTACCCACCCCCACCATTCCTTCACACGAACAATCTCTGTCTACATTCACCGCAAGTCACGAACCTTTTTCCGAATTATCTCTTCCACATCCTGCGGTCTTTCTTCCGCCAACATGGCTTCCACCGAGAAGGAGCAGCCCGTCACGGACCCCGTCCAAGCCGTGGACAGCAGCTCCCAGGACGAAGGCATCCACGAATACCGAGAAGCTAAGGGCTACGAGGTCGACGTTGAGGATGCCGCCGCCGCCGGCGGCGCAGTCAAGCTCGCAAAGGATGGCCGGACTCGCCTAATTCCACGGCCTAGTGACGACCCTGCCGATCCGCTGAACTGGAGTCAACGAAAGAAGAACATCATCTTGGCGGTTGTCGCATTTTGCGCGCTTCTGCCTGACTATGGCTCGGCGACTGGTGCGGTTACTCTGCTTCCACAGGCTGCGTGAGTACCTTTCATGGCTGTCCAACACTCTCTTATTATATGAAGAGTCGCTGATATTTGATATAGGCAATGGAACATGACCGAAGATGAGGTGAATGCCTCGCAGGTCGGCAACGTGTTCATGCTGGGAGCTGGAGGTATCTTCGGTAAGGTCAACCCGAAGAGGCGATTGCAGACCCTTGCAGCTGGCATTGATGCTGACAAGGGTGTAGTTGTGGCCTTCAGTGCCTTTTTCGGCCGACTGCCGGTCATGTTCTACTTCCTCGTCGTCGCCCTCCCTACCGCAGCCTGGTGTGCTGCCGCAACAAACTTCGAGTCGTTCGAGACAGCTCGCATCCTCAACGGCTTCTTCTCGACGGTGTCGCAAGTCAACGGATTGATCATCATCCAGGACATGTTCTTCTTTCACGAGCGCGCACGGAAGATCAACATCTGGGCGTGTGTATTCCTGGTCACTTAATCACAAAGCCTCAGACTGATCATGATCTTAGGTCTTTCTTCGTTATCAGCCCGTATCTTGGCCCGCTGCTCGCAGCTTTCCAGATTGCCACCAAGCCATGGCCGACTCCATTCTGGGTCTATACTGCTGAGACGGCCCTCGGCCTCGCTCTTACAATTCTGTTAGTTGAGGAGACGTTCTATGATCGCAGAATTCCCCAGGCGGAGCAACCTGACAGCGGCACGCGCGTTACACGACTCCTGGGAGTGGCCCAGTGGAAGTCGCGACACCTACGGAACACGATCAGCCAGGCTTGCATGCGTCCACTTCTCGCCCTCACCAAGCCCGTGGTCTTGATCTCGTGCTGCTACTACTTCCTGGTAAGTTCCCGTACCTCACCATGTACTGTCACAACGCACTCACACCATCACAGACATTCGCATGGGTCGTCGGCATCAACACGACGCTCTCGATCTTCCTAGCGCCCCTCTACGGCTTCGGACCCAAGCAGATCGGCTTCTTCTACTTCACGCCCGTCGTCGCGGTGATCCTAGGCGAGACCGCCGGCCACTGGCTGCACGACATGCTAGCAAAGCAGTACATCCGCGCGCACAACGGGCGCTTCGAGCCCGAGGCTCGGCTGCGAGCCATCGCCGTCGCGCTGCCCTTCATGGTGGTCGGGCTCGTTCTCCTGGGCCAGTGTCTCGAGAACGGCTGGCACTACATGGCCACGTCGGTGTCGTGGGGCCTGTACACGTTCGGCATCATGATCACCACTGTCGCCGTCTCGTCGTATAACCTCGACTGCTACCCTGAGGCTTCGGGCGAGGTCTCGGCCTGGGTCAATAACTCGCGGACGCTCGGAGGGTTTGTGGTTAGTTATTTTCAGGTCCGCTGGGCCGAGGCTTCGGGCACGAGGGTCAGCTTTGGTATTCAGGCGGCGGTGTGCGCGGCGGCGTTCCTGCTGATTGTGCTGCTTATGGTCAAGGGGAAGGCGATGAGGATTTGGTCGGGGCCGCTGCGGTTTGCTACTACGTGAGTGGGGAGAGGATTGGGTCGGCCAAGTTGTGGGCCGTTGCTTCTATTAGAGTAGCTAAAGCGCTGTGGCTTCTGCATGTGTGTTTCAGCCTTCTGTAGTATCGGGACAATATTGACCGCAATAGTAGAAGTTCTTGCGGGTCTTTCTTCTCGTTGTCTCCACGGGCCTCCCCTGTGAACCCATAAGCATTGAGAGCAGGTAAATCAAAAAGTAGCATCGACGTATTTCACCAGAGGAGACCACACTACACCAGTCCAGGCAACCCGAAGCACGAGGACTCGGCCGTCACTGGAGACACTCGGGATCGTCACGCCTGGAGTTTGATTCGGTAGACTTTATCGAAGACCATCCATCCGTATCAAGACAGGTTCTCAGAAGGGAACAACGAGATGGGAAAGCTCGATTTCGACGCCACAGCTGCTCCGGATTGCGGGGTGAGGGTTTGGGGATGTGAAGGATGAAGCCGGTCCCGGTTTCTCAGACGCCTTCAGATGGTGCCTGGAGGGATATCGCTACGAGGCGCCGGAAAGATTGAGGCAGAAATTGTTGGTGAAGGTTGTCTAGCCGTTGGAGAGCCGCTACCTTGCTCGGGGGACGTGGAATGCGTCTACGCGGGAAGGAACCCGGGAATGTTCGTGAAGACGTATTCTGTTATGACCATTTGGTTGGCCGTCGTCCCCATTCATGCTACGAATAGGAGGTAGGCTCGAGGTCTGAAAATTTTGCCAATACAGCTACTTATTCATCACAAGTCCCCGTTTGTGGACCTCGAACGTTGGGTTTGAACAATCTACCATTGTGGAATGTGCATAATAACATAAGCAGGTACAGTGGGGTGACAAAAAAACCGCACACCCCACCCAATTAATATAGTGACCACAATTGACCACCCTACTTCGCGATGTCACGACTATCGTAATTCTGTGTTACATCCTTAGAAAATTGGGCATTATGTACATGAAGATGTAGTTTATTTTTTGAGATTTTTTATTACTTGGTATACCACCCCTTTGCTTTGATGATCCCCGCGATCCGTTTCGGCATCGAATCTATCAGCCTATTAATCATGGCAACTTTTAACCTCTTTCTACGCCCTCTCTGCGGCATCTGTTAAACGATCCATTGAGTCAGCGTTAACCGGCAGCTCTCTAAGCTCAGGATTATCTTTACAGATTTTCTGTTTAAGCCACGCCCAGAGATTTTTGATGGGGTTGAGATCAGGGGAGTAAGGAGGCCACTCCAGCACAAGGAACCCGAACTCTTGGAGCCACTCCTTCAGCAACTTTGAGGTGTGAATTAGTGCGTTATCCTGCATGAACGTCACACCTGGTTCTATAACCTTAGGAAGCTCTTCCTGGAGGATTTCCTTATAAATTCGAGCTGTCATGCCGCCGCGTTTGGCCTCGGGGTGTGACGGCCTACACAGACCTTTCCAAATGACAAGTGGATACTTCCTAATAGGGGAAGGATCTGACCAGAGGATCCCCTTAAAGGGGCAACCTCCCACTGTACCTATCTCTCTCTCTCTTCCTTTCCTCTCTAGTCTTGATATTCTCGTCAATAGAGTAATAGCTGCTTGCTGCCGGCCATGTCCCAGCTCCTCAGTACGCTCGCCGTGACACGGGGTCCCCTGAACAGATGCCTAACTCGCTCCTCACGCCGTGGCGAATACCACCCCAAAATATCTGCGAATGACGCGACCTCTTGTGACGGGGCTGTACGTACTTTACTGCTATCACAGAGAGCCTGATTTGAAGGAAATCGGTCAGTTATTGCGCTCGAAATTGCGCTCGTAATCGCACTTCGCGTGAAGGAGGACGGAAAAGGAGGTCTCAAGGGCTCCGAACCTTTGGGCCTGAACACCCACCCCTTGCGCTGACCTTGCCCACGCTCCACAGTCGCCTCGTCAATGAATAAAACACTCCTTCAGAAAGAAATCGGCTTGTCCTCATGCTTCTGAGCCCATTTTAATCGTTTATTCGTGTGATCTTGGGTCAGAAACAGGCATATTGCGGCTTCGTGGTGTCCGATGCCCTCCCGGATCATATGGCGACCGATAGTTCGCGGTGACTCCTTCAGATTGAATTTTCGCTTCAATCCAAGGAGAGAGATGAACAGATTGGCCTTAACTTCACGTAATAACGCCATTTTCTTAATCCCAGATAAGTATTGTGGTCGTCCACGGCCCTTAGGAGACACGCCGTAGTCCTGAGCGGTGAAGCACTTCTTGATGCCGTGACACGTCGCTGTATCCACTCCCTCAACAAGCTCCACCTGCTTGGACGTTTGGCCTCTAATTAGCCTCCCATAAATCCGATTGCGCTGACAAGATGTTGTATGAACTCTTGATTTTTTTGGAGTTTTTTGGAGTACTCGAGGCATGATTGAAGTTGTGGTGTTAGTCGAGGGATAAAGGTGAGAACGCAAAGAAACGCGGGGAATTGGGTGGGGTGTGCGGTATTTGTGCCGACCCACTGTACATAAAAGTGAGCCATCGAGCTTGGTGTGTCCAGCGGTACATGAGTGACCCTCCGCTGGGTGTTTGACGCAAGCAAACTTCTTCTGGCAGTGTTGTGAGCGAGGTCAGCACCCTACCTACGCCTAACTAGGTGTCAAGACTCGATCAGCTGGATTGCTCAACTGAGCTAGCTTAAGTCATTTTGACAAGGCAGACACGTCCCATTTACTGCTTGAGGAAAGGGGGCGCGATCATGAGGTTCAAAGACCTGATTGGCCTCCATGCAGGTAGGTACGAGCGTGCCTGTCCATATGACCAATGCGTGCGCATTGTGACTGTGACAGCAAACAACATGACAGACGGGCCCAGCATCTTCCCACTGTGTTGTCACTGATCACAAAAGCTTCGAACATCCTACCTTCCCTCGAATCCACCCCCCCCCATCCGCAGTCAACTTCACCACCACCGGTTAACCGACGTACATCTTCTTCCACGGAGCCCTTTTGCCTACACACAAAAGCGACAGACACCTTGATCGTCGCCCCCTCCTCTGTTCGCGACAGCAACATCCTGGACATCCTCGCTTACCAGAACCCCAACCAACTTATGTGATTGACGGGAACTATGGCGACTCCGAGCAGCAGCAAGGTCGCCGTCGAGGGCAAGGGCGGCCTCAAGATGAAGATCATCGGCGAGGGCCGCACCGTGCCGGGCCCCATCGCCGCAGACCCGGACCATCCTGCGCTGTGCTATCAGTGCTGCAAGCGGTAAGTTCATTCCTCACCTGCGAGTTGCAAACCAAGACCCCAAGGCTCCTGCGCGCTGATTTTTGGCGACCTTTCTTGGTGTTGTTTGGGTGTTGTTTAGGATACGACGCTGACGCTAAAGACGGGATGTTGTAGGGTCCCCCTCTCGATGCTGGTCCGCGATCGCACGAGAGCCTGCGGCGAGAAGGAGTGCGCTCGCGCGCGGGAGGCGAGACTGGAGTTCATTCCCGTACGTTTGACGACCTATTTCTCATGGCTGGCCTGAGCCTGTACACCGATTACAACTATCCATCTGCGAATCGCTACCTACCCACCCTATCCTCTCTATATGTACCCACTCCACTCCACTCCATCACCCCCCTTTTCCCTACTCGGTCCTGTCCACCCCACCCCCATCCAACCTAACTTCCTTTACATCCCACTCTTCCTCCTCCAGATTAAATTTCGCTGACTCCCACGACTCGACGAATGCAGATGCCCAGCAACGCAGTCAACCCCTGCGACGAGTTCCAGACCAAGCTGGACTGGTGGATCGACATGATGGACTCCAACGTGGACCGGGACTTTGCTCGCCGGGGACGCGGCGTCGTTGAGTTTGTGCGCGAGAAAATCCCCGTGCCGCCCCAGACGCGCCCGGCGCGGCGGGCGCGGTGAGGGGTGGTTGTGGGTTTCTTCCGGGCTCGGGGAGCGAGGACATCGGGAGCTATTGTGGTGTGGTGGGTGGTGTAAGGGAGCGAAGAAAGGGAGTTTCGGCTATACGGACGCGGGATGGGATTAGGATCAAGATCTCAAAAGAGACCGGCCGTACGGGCCCAAGGTCAGGTACTATTCGCAGATACGCCGCTCGTGGAGGCAGACAGAGCTTCGCGGCTTGGTGGGCTTGCTTTTGTTTCTGCGGCATATATTATTCGCTTGTTCGATACTCTCCATATCTAATGAGCCCAGCGACAATTCCTCGATCTCCTGACCTGATTTGAGAAACACTGGAGAGGGTGTCTAGGTATCAAGACAGTACGCGAATCCTTATGCTTGGAACTTGGCCGGTGGCAGCGTCACTACCAAATCAAGCCGATTTGCTTGATTTAACGGCTTGTTTGGATTGATTTGACTCAAATCGAGGTTCTGGTCTGGATCAATAAGCTCCAGCATCAACCTCTGTGCGCCGTAATACTGCTGTATCCAGTTCTCATCCAGCTCCTCCAGAGCTACCCCGGCCACGAACGAGACGGGTGTTGACAGAATCCTATAACGCGACGGTAGGCCGACAATTAGCAGAGAGCAAACACACACCAGTGGGACCTACCAATTCAAGATGTGGCCCTCATCGTCAGATGAATCAAGCAGGTTACTGAGGAGCCGTGTCCCCGAAGCTTTCTGCATGGGAGACAATCTGGGGAGCCCGGAGCCGAGGAGGTATTCCTTGGCCAGCCTACGCAGCATTTCACTCTGGTGAGCTGGCGAGAACAAGCTGTAGGCGCGCCATAACCCTGATAGCATGTGCTCCTGGCCGATGTACACTTCGGGCCGAGCATGGACGGCAGTTGCCCTCCTGACCAAGAATTCATGAATAAGTCGGGCATCATTCAACAATACCACATTCTGTGTTCCTACCTTGAGGCCGGTCATGGGGTCATAATCCTTGGTCCATTCGTGCACCTTGACGAAACTGTAGGTTTTCGGTATCTGGTGGAATTTGCCATAGCCCAGGCGTGTAGGGGGGCCAGGGGGGAAGTTTGCTGGACGCCGCGTCGTGAGGAGCCATCGGACAACCCGGTAGAAGAGAGGTGGTAGAGTTACAGCTAGTATTGAGATAATGATGAATGCGGAGGAAGCCATTATAGTTACTGGTTTGCGAGTGTGGTGATAGAAGCAGGATCGACACCTGAGGCGAGTCGTTACGCAGGTCGCACACAGCTAGCGAGCGGCCAGCTGAAGCACGGCATATTATTCTTCTTTGGATCCCTTTCAGTGGGGCTCTAGTATCAGTTATACAAGGGAATATATTCGATGCTAAGATGGTATGCTTCTGGGCCAGGAGTGATGATTAGTCGGGGAAGGTCAAGCGGAGGACCGTTCCATCATGGCAAACCATCAACTGTCCGATCCTACTGCAGCGTGATCAAGCCCAAATGTGTAATCGCGTTGGTCCACACCGATATTACAGAAGATACCGAGGGCTCTTACATGGGTGCGCACGGGGTGGACTTATTCGACGTCGGCCTTCGTACTCTTTGGATTGTCCGATGCCGAATTTGCCAGCTAAACCCGGAGTCTAGGCCTTGGTTAAGGCATAATTGCCCCGAAACGACGAACAACGGACCCGACGAACCTTGCATCCTTCGCTTGGTGAAAGGGCGGGGTTTGTTTTTGTTACTATATTCGTTAATACTAGACCATCGCTTTAAAGTTCTCTGAGGGTCGGTGGTATTGGCTCTTCTTGATCCGAGAAGGACGAATCGCCTGAATATGCCTATCATGACTATCAACTTTTACTACCTGCCGCCCTTGGCTCTACTGATAGCCATTGCCGGTGTATGTGCCAGCACTCTTCAACCACACCAACACATGCAAAGCTGACCAGTACATAGTCGGCTCACGTGGTGTTGCGTGGTCCTCTAGCCAAGCTACCAGGTCCATGGTACACAGCTTGGACAGATGTCGTCCTTCTGTACAAGCAGGCCACAGGGAAGAAGGTCACATACGTGGAGAACCTCCACAGGCGATATGGTAAGTTATCCGTGACCAACACCTCTACGGTGCCGAACCTCTACTGATTCCTGAAGGACCTGTGGTCCGCATCACTCCCCGTGAGACCAGTCTCCGGGACCCCAGAGTCACGCGGAAGATCTACAGCGTGAAGGGCGAGTTTCCCAAGTCCGAGTTCTACGACCGAGTCGCTTCGGGGCTGGTCAGCGTGTTCAGCACGCGTGACATTGATGTCCACAGACGCTTCCGCAGGCTTCTATCCTCGGGAATTTCGGAGTCGAGCCTGCTCACGCATCTTCCTGTTATCGAGGGCAAGGTAGACATGGCCATTCGGAGAATGGGCGAGGAGATGCAACGACGCGAGGTCGCCGTAAGCACCCCTTCTGCACTGCCTGACCAGTCCAGCAGCTGATCGAACCGCAGGATGTATTCCATTGGTTTCTATCCATGGGCACCGACATCATAGGTGAACTGAGTTTCGGCCAGAGCTTTGAGATGCTCGAGACGGGTGAGGTAAGAATGGTACACAATGGCGAACGAGACGCCTGCTTAGAACCCTGCACAGGAAAGCCAGTATATACGGGACTTGAAAACTCTTGCCAAGTTCAGCGGGATCCGCGCGACATTCCCGTTCCTGATCAAACTGGGGCATCATGTCAACATCCCATTCATCAAAGACGCCATTGAGAACCGTCGTCGCACAGTTGAGTACGCCGAGCAGTCCATTGCACGACACTATCGAATCGTGGAGGAGCAGGGAAAAGAAGCCAAGCCGACACTGCTCTCCAAGCTGTACAAGGCAGGCGACGACGGCATGGCTTTCCACGAGATTCGAGCCAATGCTACGGCATATATCGTTGCTGGATCAGACACCGCCGTAAGCACCCCGTCTCGATCGCCGGTTCTGACACCGGGCGTCTAAGACCACCACAGGCAAACACGCTGACCTACCTGGTCTGGATGGTGTGCAAGCACGCCGAAGTCAAGGCAAAACTGGTCCAGGAGCTCCAGCAGCTCCCCGCGAGCTACGGCTACCACGATGTGAAGTCCCTCCCCTACCTGAACCTAGTTATCGACGAGACTCTGCGCCTCTACTCGGCAGCGCCCGCCGGGCTCCCTCGCGACGTGCCTGCAGGAGGTGCGGAATTTCTTGGTTACTACATCCCCGCCGGCTACACGGTCAGCACCGGCGCTTACAGCATGCACCGCAACCCAGCAGTCTTCCCAGACCCGGAGAGGTTCGAGCCCTCGCGATGGGCGGACCCCACCCGGGACATGAAGGACTCGTTCGTGCCGTTTGGAGGGGGTAGTCGGAGTAAGCTTCCGCCATCATCCTGGGGGCGTGAGTCGGCACTGACCTGGCTGCAGTATGTCTAGGTATCCATCTCGCCCGCATGGAGCTACGTCTCGCCGCAGCCCGCTTCTTCAAGACCTTTCCAAACGCTCGGGTATCGACGGCGGAAGGGTTTTGTGATGAGGACATGGAGCCGGAGATGTTCTTCTTGCTGTCGCCAAAGTCGAAGCGCTGTTTGGTTGAGGTGTCTTAACCAGCAGAGGGCCAGCATGGCACGCCCCTTTCCTAGGCTAAGGGTAGTGTTGCCGGCTTGCTTTATTATTTTGATGTATATCTGTTTGCCATGATTAGACTACGCATCATCTTGTTAGCCTGTCTCCTTTAACTTGTATTATCGCATATATATATTCGCGCTTTTTAAGGAGTTCTTATTATTCGCTATATGTACGGGTAAGTATATTATTTCGACATCTTACTTGATATTTCAGTTTTAATAGCTTTAAGCCGAAACGTAGCATTTACTAATAAGCCTTAAAAGTGGTGTTTTAAGTTTTACGTACTTATCAGGTGAAATCCTTTTGCCACGCCATGCCATCAGTATTAAGATGTCCGTCGCCGCCCGCGCTGCCCATTAAAGTGTCGAAGAAAGCCATGTCCACCCCCTGGAATGTCCAATCGTCGGCACCGGCGGTCATTCCGGGGAGGAGAGGATCGAAGAACGCATTTTGGGCAAGTGGCTGCATGGTATCGGCGCTGATGCTGGGGAGCAGTCCGTGCTGGCTGTAAGCTTCTGCAGGCCCCAAGGGTGCCGCCGGGCTGGCGCTTGGAGGCTGCTGGCAGTGTGCTGAGCCGTCTCCGTCGGTCGCCTCCTTGATAACCAAGTCGGTCGTGGCTGTCGTGGCTGGAAGTTGCTTCGGTGCAAAGAGTAGTGCCTCGGGAGGGGCGTGTGAGGGCCTGGGCATCTCTCTTGATATTGTGCCCTCACGCGCGATCTTGATGATCCCAAAGTAAGGGACATTGACACAAACGACGCCACGCCCTTCATTTTCGCTGTTGGGCGCCGCTTCGACCCCATGGGCCTGGGCAGTGACGGCTTCAGCGGGCCCTGTGTGACCATCGGCCGCTTCGGCGTCGATGGCCAGTAGACGGCGCAGCAGGTCGTCGCTCTCCGCGCTGAACACGTCATCGCCCAAATTACTGACCTCTTGCATACTTTCCTGGACCTGCTCCATCATGGCGCGGTCGCTGAGGTATTTATGGGCCAGAAGGTTGCCTGTCTGCGAGGACGGGCGACGGCTATCCAGGTGAGCGAGGAGGAGGGTCATGGAGGCCATGAGGGCGACGAAGTCCGAGGTGCGGCAGTTAAAGGCTATGCGGTGGAAGCTCCGCAGCACGACAAAACGCGACAGGATTTCCCGCGATGCGTTTACGCAGGCGATTCTGGAGTGTTCATGGTTGTGTTGGTCGGACGATCGGAGCATGTAAGGCAGATGGAGCTGGTTCAATATATTGTAGTGAGACATCTGCGTGATGAGTTGCTTGAGGTCCCAGAAGAGGGCCTCATCATCATTTGCATTGTTGCCCAGGTTCGGCGTGAGCCACCACTTGCTGGGAAGACTCCTGGCGGCTTTCTGGAGTTCCGTGTCGAGCTCTCGGGTGAGAACAAAGTCATGGGATGTTGCGCCCGACTGGTTGCGCTCTAGCAGGCGAGCAGCGATGATGCAGTGTACTCGCTCGAGGCGTGCGCAGAGTGTCACCTGCACCCTAAGCAATGCCATGCTGCGATCGCTGGAGCCCTGTGGGAGGCCCAATATAAGACTCAGATAGCGGTCGTAGTGAACGATACGGAACCACATGAAACTGGGGTCAGCTTTCGATTGGGGGTCAAGCATTTGATACCGCAGCCGATCTCCTGATAGATGGAATCCCATCAGTTGTGCCAGATGCTGTGCTCTACGCCCTGCTGCCCAGCTCAGGCGCAGGCTGCCGCCGTTGGCGTGGTACATGCTCTCTAACATGACGCATTCTAAGCCTTCGATGCTTCCAAGAAGCCGGTCTTGAGTCGTTACAAGGCTGATGGCGGTGTCTGCTAGTCGTTCCAGCAACTCTTGTGGGGGCTCCGACAGGCCTCTCAAATCCTCGTCTAGGGTCGGGTGGAACTGCTGCTGTAGTATATGGACTAGCTGAAGCATGTGTTTCGCGATCAAGACAGGGTGAGCATTCTGCCCAGGTCTGACCAGTATGTCCTCGGGCGATGTCAGACCATCTTGGTCGAGTGTCTTGGATGGCACAGTCAGAATTTCGTTGAACATGTAGAAACTGCGGTGACTGGCTCTGCATATCACGTCCGTGTCCTCAGAGGAGGGCAGGGCGTCATGCAAGATTCGGGACAGTCTCGCATGCTTCGCTGGACCAGCCAGTACAACATTCGGGAGCCTGCCAGTGCGCGCGTCGCGGGTGGCTCTGCTTTGATCATGACCGGTCCGATCATTCTCTACACTTGATGCCCGGGCTGAAGAGACGGCTGGAGCGTTTCCGCGAGAACGCGCTCCCCGTGGCGAATCCGGTACGGTGGACGCTGGCATGGGAATGCCGTGGTCATGCCTCCCACCAGCATCAAGACTACTCGAGGCCCAGTCAGAGACTGCGTCGTCACTACCAAATCTCCTGCTCAGATTTTCCATCTGCGCCTCCAGCCTCACTAGGTGATCACCCATCTGACGCGCACCGTCTGGCGGCGCCGAGAAGTCGTCGGGAAACTCCTGGCTGACACATGGCGTACCGCGGCGCTGACAGCCTAGGCAGGTGGCGGCATGGTCTGTCGACGTCGATATCTGCGAGTCAAAGATGCATCTCTCCTTGCGTCTTTTGCAGGCCCAGCAGCTGTGCGTGCCATTCCGGGTCTTCTTCCGTTTGGCGTCTGGGCCGGGTGTGCCGGGTGTGCCGGGTGTGCCACGACCGTCGGCGTCGGCGTCGGTACCAGCCGCGGCAGGGCGCATGGCAGGCATTGGACCGGCTGTAAGTTACTCGGCAGCGTTCAATGAAACCATACAGCAGTTTCGTGCTCCATGACACGGCGGCGGGCGGTGTGGAGGAATGGAAGTACAGGATACGGCTTGTGGCAGTACCTACACAGAAGAAGAATGACGGCGGAATGAGCTTCGGCGCACTTCAGCTTTATTCCTCCACCGGGTCTCGGGAGTACTTACCCTTGTTACCGATTAGAGGTAGGAATGTGAGATGGTGGCTTAGTAAGGAGTTCAAGATCTCCGCCGGCCGACGGAATTGGAATGGGCAGCAAGGGGCATGTAAAGACACCTTCTCCTAAATACTCGCCAGGCCTTTCTTCCGCCGGCCGCAGATTTAATTACCAAGCAATGTACCTCCAGCCCTGCAGTCGATGCATTCCCTTCAATGGCAAGTCATCCGGCCGGCGGTGCAAATAGCTCTCTCCCTTTGAAATTTGCGCCAGGCGTAGCAAACCAGGTGCTCGTCTTCCACCGGTTGCCCGGCGGAAGCGTCTGCAATGTTGCTCTGTCACAGCAGTGACTATCTCCAGGTGATGCCAGCTACTCTCTACTCATCTGCCAGCTACCTTTGCTCTTCTGGTCCGAATCGCGTCTTCTGTTCGGCATATAACCTAGGACCCCTGGCCTCATGCCACAATAACCTGCAACTTGACTTTCGGTACCTCCCTCCATCCACCTCAGACCTGCAGCTTCCAGGCCCAACCTAGACATCAGTTCACGACAGCTACAACAGACAACCAGACAGAGCCCAGGCTGTGCCTACAGCAACATGGCGACCCTAGAAGCTGGCAATGCCAGCCCGTTGGACGTGGCCAGTCACGAAGACCCCATCGCCTAAGAGAAGCCCCACAATGCCGTCGCAGCGGACAGCAACGGGCCCATTGAGTACGCGAAGGGCTTCAAGCTGGCTATGATGATGGTCACCATCAACCTCAGCACCCTGATCGCATCTCTAGATCTTGTTAGTTTGCCACGTTTGTTCCCTCTTGCCGCGTTTCCCCCCCTGATTCTCCGACTCCTCATCCACAAGCAGCATTGACTGACTGATGACGCGCTCTCGGCCTAACACAACTCCAGGGTATCCTCGCCACGGCCATCCCGGCCATCACGGACGAGTTCCACGTGCTCAACCAGGTCGGCTGGTACAGCGGCGCCTGCTTCATCCTCGTCGGCGCCACCTCTGCCATGTGGGGCAAGATGTTCACGTACCTCTCGGCGCAATGGGTCTTCATGTCCTCGCTGTTCATATACCTCATCGGAAGCATTGTCGCCGCCGCGGCACCCAGCAGCGAGGCCTTGATCGCCGGTCGAGCTATCCAGGGCGTCGGGTGTTCAGGTATGTTTTATTCCCTTGGATTTCTGCACTTGAGCACCTACCTCCCACTATTCCTGCCAGTCGCCCCTAAGTGCTGGTCCGTCCGTCTCATACTGCCATGGTCGGTGGCTGATATTGGTCGTCCTTCACAAGGCACGCTCGCCGGCTCCGTCATCATCATCAACTTCGCCGCCGATCCGAGGCAGAGACCCCTGCTCATCGGCACATGGTTCGGCGTGTTCATGCTGGCGACCATTCTCGGGCCCTTGCTCGGCGGCGTCTTCACCGACGAGGTCACCTGGCGGTGGTGCTTCTGGATCAACCTGCCGATAGGGGGTCTCGCGCTCGTCATGCAGTTCTTCTTCCTGCGCATGCCCAGGCACGTCAAGCCCGTCCCGGGCAGTTGGAAGGAGATCTTGCTGCATCTTGATTTCCCGGGTTTCGCCCTGGTGCTCACCTCGCTTGCGTGCTACACTTTGGCCTTGCAATGGGGTGGCTTGACGAAACCATGGAGGTATGTACCTGTATGGCTGTATCCTTTACGTTATAATAACCCGTGCTGACTATCGTTTCTAGTAAGTCTCAAGTGGCGCCGGTTCACTCCTTATGATTAACTGGCTGCTGCATTTTTTTGGCTGTCAGAGTGCTGACCTGTCTCAGGTGACAGATCCGTTATTGCGACGCTCGTACTATTTGCCCTCTTGACAATCGGGTTCTTCGTCTGTGAGTGGATTCAGGGCCGGCAAGCCATGATCCCGCTCGACCTATTCAAGCCGCGCAAGTTATGGTCGCAGACTCTGTTTGCTTGGTTGTGAGTACACCACCACTCAGTTCCTCTCCTGTCTTGGCTCCAATGTGGCTGACACACACGTCCCTGTTACAAGGTACAACTGCCCGAGCTTCCAGATCCTGTTCTTCCTCCCCATATACTTCCAGTCCGTGAAGGGCACTTCCGCTATCACCAGTGGAGTCTACCAGCTTCCATATGTGGTGTTCTTCGCTTTGGGCTCATTGACCAGCGGTGCCGTCATTGGAGCGACACGCCGCGTGCAGCCTGTGGAGCTAGCCGGCGCGTTGATTGCCACCCTCGGCGCCGCTTTGGTTTACCAGTTGGATACCGACTCGTCGAAGGCCTGGTACATCGGCGCGCAGGTTCCTCTCGGCTTTGGTCTGGGCCTCGGAAGCCAAGTCCCCGTCACTGCGCTGCAGGGGTTCTCGAGGCCTGAACTCGCCGGCGTTATGACCGGTGGCCTATTTGGTAAGGTCACACAAGTCGATAGATAGATGCTGGCACTCGGCTAACGTTGAAATCCAGTGTGCCAAACCATCAGCGGCGGTCACTTCACGACGGCAGCCAACTCGATTCTGGACAACCTCTTGCTGAAAGACATCATGCGCTCGGCGCCCCAAATCGACGCGCAGCAAGTCCTCGCTACTGGCGCGTCGGAAATCCGCAAGGTATTCAAGGGTGACGATCTGACAGCTGTGATCAACGCCTACATGACCGGTATCAAGGGCATCTTTGCCTTCATCTTGGCCAGCGCGGCGTTCACCGTCGTCTTGGCTCTCGTCATCCCCTTCGACAAGCTTCCTAGCCACGACGACAAGAAGACGGAAGAGACCACGACTGGCGAGGAGGGGAAGGAGACGGTGGCTGCTTGATTGCTGTCGTCCTACCTCAGACAGTTGATGGTCCGGCCACTGTTCCTAGGTGGCGTTCTTGCATCAGTGTGCCTGCACTCCTATTTAGGCCGCGCTGTGCATTGGGAAGTGTTCGATGTAATATAATGCCAAGAAAGGCTACTTAAGAGATCGTCGAGTCTAGCCCTCCGGACCAGCTGGCTGAACTTGCCTGGGCAGACGACACTGTCAATTTTGGCGACCGTAAGACTAGACTCCATCAGCCTCAAGCGACTGGCTGGTAGCTCTTTTCTGCTTTCATTTTGCTCAGTGGATGTATCATTGTGATAAGGCACTGGGCCGGGGTAGTAGTAAGGGGTCCGAATGAGATGGACTAGATTAAAAGAGCGACATATTCATTGCAGGGGCGCCTCCAAGGTCCGATCCGAGCTGGTCCACGTCAAGTCATTGTCCGTGATCAAAAAAATCATATCATGCAATACCGGGTATCAAAGTCAAGTCTCTTTCCGCCGTAACGCCAGAATATCAGACAACTTCAGGCGGCCCTTGGCTCCCCAACCAGACGGTCCGCTCTCCACCTCCGGCCGCACCGATGTGTACCAGGTCCAGGCACGGCGGTCAAGGTCGGCAGTGCTTAGGTGATCGGCCCAACTGTCATACACCAGTCTGATGGCGCCGAGTAGCGTGGCGACGTTCTCTTCTTTCTCAGCTTCGAGGGCCTTCGCCGTCTTTCTCTTCGGTATCGTCTTAGCAGACTTCGACACGCTGCCCTTGCGGGGCGTGGCTGTGTCATCTTCCTGTTTTGTGCCCTCGCCGGCTGCGGAGCCGGCCTCTTCCTTCTCAGGTACTTCTGCCCTTGTGGCGAAGCTCTTGAAGAGGTAGGCTCTGGCTGCTTCGGGTCTGTGGATGGGCATGCCAACAACACCCGCCTCATACGATCTACTAGACGCAGAGCCGGCAGCGCCGGTCTTGTTTTTCATAGCCTCGAGATCCAGGCCCCAAACGGCTTCCCCGCTCAGAGAGGCCTGATCTCCTGTTACCCGCAGGCGTTCTGCCAATGCTTCCTTCAGGCAGTTCCGCATGATCCGCCAGCGATCGGGACCTAGCATGATACCGCCGTACCACCGCGTCATCACTACCAAGGTATCGACGGCGTTAGTCTCTCGCATATTCTTCAGTAGGACATCACCACATCCGCTCTCGCCATCGTCGAACGACTCCTCCTTGATCGTAGTCGCGTTGAACAGGTTTGTCGGCACTTTGACCCGGTACGCCCATGCATTGTGAGTCGCCGTTTGCAGAGATGGATTTGCTGCCAGCAGGGACTGTATTGTCGATTGGCGTTTAGACGGTTCAGTCAAGCTGGTCGCACGAACGACAAATGTTGACTGCTTCAGGGTGACAGGTTGACTGACGGACCACGACCTTGACGCCTGACTTGCGGGAGCCTGGTTACCTTCTCTGCTCTGGCTGACACCCGTCTCGGTAGCGCTCGATGCCACACTTGCTGTGCCTCCACTATCGCCTGCCACAGCTTTGTCACCCCCAACTTCTTCGTCCCCCTTCCAATCGTAGCCGCCTCTCTTGAGCACCGTCACCTCTCGTCCCATGACCCTGACTCTGGGCTGTCCGTGTCCCCAGCCTTCGTCGTCGGCGCTGGGCCCCTGCTCCAAGCCTATAGAAACAGCCTTGCTTCTCGAGTTGGCGCTGACGACTGCCTGCGCCAGGCTCAGCCGGCTCGAGGGTGGTTGTTCAGGCATCGTGTATCGCATAAGCTCCACGGCGAAGGCTAGTACCAGTGGTGCTCGGTTGGTCAGGAGTATCGTCTCGGCGATTGCTTGCTCGTCCGTGTCAACAGGTAGCTCCAGCGAGGCTTCAAACTCATGGGGCGCGACAGGTTCGGGGCCATCAAGGAGCCCGCTGGAGAGTTTCGAGCGTTTCGCAGCGTTTGTGAGGTCGGTACCGGCCCGTTTTCCGGTTGATGATGCTGCAGGATTCTTCAACCGAGCTTTGCAGGCGCTGTGGAGGGATCTGGCAGCTTTGGCGTCTTTGATGGCGGCCTCAACATCGACTAGGGGACCTTCAGCGATCTGCTGTATGCTAGACAGATGAGACAGTCAGATGACATTTGTGCTCTCCTTTCTCCCTTGCCCGTGATAATAGAGCCCAAGTAGTCCTCTGCCGGTCCGAGACATACCTGCGAAGGTTACCGGCCTGCAAAGCCTTGACACGTAGCATGGCATCTTTGATAGGCACCTTCATGCCCAGCGTCATGAGGCGGATCAGCTCCTGGAGATCCTGTTGAGAGGCCATGACGGGTATCGAGCCTGGTCCCGGTCGGGTGTCTGTCTGGTGTTAAGTTCTTCGTATCACGACGGTTGTGTGCACGTTGCGCCGTCGCGTCCGAAGACGACTGACCGCGTCGAGGCCTAGAGCTGCAGACTTGAGGTGCGTCATTCGGGGTAGATGGAAGGAAGCTTGGGCCTCAAAATCCCAAACCCCGCAGCGATGCAGGGGCACCGCTTGGGCCGGGATGAGGCTGGAATTCCCCGGTAGTAGCGACAGTTTGATGTATCGATTTCAACTGTGCACTTCCCAGAATCTGGTAAACACTGTGTTGAGCAGATCTGCCACCTGCAGCCCCAAATCTCGGAACCGCCGTCCAAAGAGAAAAAGGGACCTCATTTTTGCGAGATCTGCAAGCTGTCCTGCGTCACCGGCTCCATCTCAGACGAACACCACTCCCCGACAACGTCACTGACTCAGGTGTTTGCGCGACCCGACTCGGAAGTTGCAGTCGCACATCCACCAGGGCCTGTCGGAAGCCGATCACCGCCGCCTTTGGGTGTGACCCCATTGAAGCTTCGTAGTGCCGTAGCATGGGCTGTCTTGATGCTAGCTGGGAGCTGTGACTGAACACTTCAGCTCGCCATTGGATGAGACGAATGCCGCTTGGATCACGACTACGGAGGAACTACTTTGGCCTGTCAGCAACTGCTGGTACCTAGGTAGCTGCGTCAGGGGGCACCACGATGCATTCCATCAGTATGCAGCGCAGCCTCGCGAGGACGGCCATGCGCCGGCGGTGTCGGATGAGTGGTGATGGCCTCAGATGGACCGAAGGCGCATGCAGACGCCATGCCTCCTCACAACCACCACCGCCCCGTCAGAAAGCGGCAGCAAAACCGCTCCCCTTCAAGCCCACCAAGCCCGCGCCTGCCGTGCCCCAGCAGCAACCCCAAGCCAAAGCCGGCACATCAGGGGCCAACAGCAGCAACAAGAGCAAAAAGCAGCCCGTCGCCGAGCTCGTGCGCGGCTCCCGCTGGATCGGCCTGCTCGGCTTCGGCGGCGCGACCCTCTGCCTGGGCGCCTTCAGCGCGAGCCTGGCCATGCACTGGCGGGAGGAGCCCGCCCCGTGCCACCCGCTGGGCTGCGAGCCCGAGGCGCCGACGGGACGGCCGGCGATCGAGAGCCCCTACGAGTTCGACCTGCACCTCGACAAGTCGGAGTGGCGGCTCGGCGTCACGAAGCTGCGGCGGCGTGTCGCGAGCGAGGCGAGGGGTCACGTGCTCGAGGTCGCCGTCGGCACGGGGCGCAATCTGGAATTCTACGACTGGGGAGTCGTAACGGAGTCTTTGATGTCCGCCGAGGAGCGGGAGGAGAGGAAGAAGAAGAGAACGAGCTTGCTGACGACGAAGAAGGGTCTCGAAGAGGAGAGGCAGAACGCCGTGCTCAGCTACACGGGCCTCGACATCTCGCCGTCTATGCTGGATATTGCGCTCACGCGGATGCGCCAGGTGGTGCCGCACCTCGCGGACCGCATCCCCAAGAAGCCGTCTTTCGCCGCACTCGCGTCCTCCCCTGAAGCAGCAGCAACATCATCAGACAAAAACCCCGTATTCTCCCTCGTCGACAACAAGATCCGCATCCTCCAATCCGACGCGCAGACCGCCCTACCCGCTCCCCCATCCCCCACTACAACCACCACAACCGCCACCACCACCCCCAAAAAATACGACACAATCCTCCAAACCTTCGGCCTCTGCAGCGTCCACGACCCAGTGACCCTACTAACGCACATGGCGTCATCCCTCCAGCCCACCACAGGCCGCATAATCCTGCTCGAGCACGGCCGCAGCGACTGGGAGTTCCTCCTGCCGCTCGTCAACGGGCTGCTGGACCGCAGCGCGCGGGGGCACTTCGCGCGCTTCGGGTGCTGGTGGAACCGCGACATCGAGGCCATCGTGCGCGAGGCCGCGGCGCGACACCCCGGGCTCGAGGTCATGCGCGTCGAGCGGCCCGGGTGGGCGACGGCCGGCACGCATGTGCTGGTCGAGATGCGGGTAAGGGAGTTGAGCGCGGCTGAGAGGGCCAAGGTCGCGGCGGAGGCGGAGACGGGGGCGCAGGGCAAGGCGGATGGAGGAAGGGGGTGGTGGGCTTCGATCTGGTCGCCGTCGGCCGAGACGGGGACGGGGACGAAACTGGATGAGCCTAAGAAGGACTGAGGTGAAGAAGAGTGTCTTTCTGGCTGTTCGCCGCTCAATCTGTATAATATATTGGAATTGGGTGTGTATGAAGGCAAGAATACTCCGAAACGTAGATGAGTGGCATCAGTGTATACATAATATTGTATGAATAAAGTAGTTCCACCTCAGACACTACCTCAATCAAGCAAGCCACTTCTCGCCTTGGTGAACGAAGAAGTATATCGATGAAGTCGTTTTACTCAAGTTCAGTATGATGGATATTACAGGCCAAAGTAGGTAGTCATGATTTTGATTGGGGATTTCTTTTTGTATTCTCAAGTGAATCATATGCGCGCCTTTTCCAGCCGCCTGCCTTTTTGCCCATCAGAGAGGAAATTGTAGCACTCCGGTATGTAGGTAGCCTTGCGCCTCACGCTTTTAAACTCAGCCCTTCTTGCATCTACATGTACAAATTTGTTCTGAGGCAGGATCAACACGTATGTTCCTCTTTCTCGTTTCCTCTTCTTCCCAGTCTATGGTCTTTGGACCTCTAGATCTCTTGGGGTCCATGCATAATCCACCCGAAGCAGGCCCCATCATTGGTCTCCATTTATAGGACCACAATGGCGCTTTGCATGGAGACCCGTCCACTTGCAGCTGCATCGCAAGCGCTTGCTTCCCCAAAAATATTCGTACAACTCCTCTAGGTAGCAACCGATAGATGCGCGACAAACATCCATGAGCAGCTGCCGCCGAGCAAGATAGACCGCCAATGTCAGATGAGATGAAATGCAGGGAAAACAAGCGCTTCCATCCGAAACCAAATGCGCCGGTCAATCCGCTCGCCCCAACTCCTTTTATCGAGGGCCGACCTCGTCGTGCCTCTCCCATCGTACACGAACTCCCCAAACAACAAGTGCGTAGATCTTCGACCCATGTGCGAATGAATGCCCATTAAGGCGTCTAAAAGCCGTTAAGTAAGCCATCAAGCTCGTCCAGCTCAACTGTCTCGGGGCTTTTGTCCCAGTCGAGCATGGCGTCCAGCTTGGACCAGTTCTCTGCCTCAGCGTCTCTCTTGGCAGGGATCATCAAGCTTGGGCGCATGGCCGGGCTGGTCATGAAGGCTATGCGCGGCAGTAAACTCGGTGCCAGGGTCCTATGAGGTTCGCCAAAGAGCTGCTCATTTTGCATACCGTCGTCAATCACGACCTGGTCTGCCGGGGTAGCAGAGAGCAGCTCCCCACTGGCTTTGCGTTTTTGCAGTCCATCCGCCGTTTGCGTGAACTCCTTCTCGTCCTTCTCCAAAGGGGGTTCTTCTCCTCTATGATTGCGCGACATGCTGTGAAGCGCCCGCTGCCGTCCGGAAACCGAGCCCATGGGTGTGCCCGGCATGGGGATGTCCTCCTCCATACCATCGAATTCCGGCGACGAGAGGTCGACCTCTGGGGAAAGGCTGAGTTCCCTTCTTCGGTCGCCGTCGGCGTCTTCGGATGTGGAAGCTGAGCTCGATAGCTCAGGTGTAATGATGGCGCTGCGTTGGGCGGACAGGGGATCAGGCATCGGTAGATGGGGACAAGTCGTGAGGTAGAAGTAGGTGCGCCTCGGGTGTACCGTCTCGAGCTCCTTTGCCAGGGGGCAAGGGGCCAGGGCGGACCAACCTGACCGCTTCAGGTACGTAGCAAGTCGAGACGAGATGATGGCGCAAGGGTTCGCAGACCTTGGGGCTTTAGTCAGTAGCGTTTGCGTAGAGGTGTTCGTTTGCGACACTTACTGTTGAACTATTTTGACGTTGTTCATGAGCACAGAGGCGAGCTCCTTGACCAAATGGGGTCGATTCCGAGTCTGCTGCAGTCGCACAATAACAGCCTCGACGATGTCGTCGTTGATTCCTTCCAAGTCGACAGGCTTGACCTCGGGCGCATCGTGGGCCTCGGACTCGTCCATCTCGATGGAAACCTGAAGACGTGGCGAGGGTGGCGGTGTTTGGTCGAACTTGACGGGGGCTGCGGCAGACTTGGATTTGGAGCCGGACACGGAGGTGAGGGAGCCAGAGGACGCGGAGTGGTTGTGCGAACGCTTCAACTTCTTATTAGGATGCGGCGAGCTCTCTGACGAAGATCTAGAAGCGGCCATGTTGCTGTTTGTCGAGGCTCGGTGGACTGGGATGCGGATTCCGAGAGATGGGAGAGAGAGCGATTTGCGACGAGTGTTGTACGGCATGATGGCGGAACAGGGTGAGGAGCGTATTATCACAAGAGACGAGGATAGTTCAGTATCTTATAACCGACGCTTGCATGAATCAGGGAGGACGGGGCGTCGTGGTTCCAGCACACGAATAGAGTTGGGACGGGGGGAGATATGATGCAAGTGAGTAGGTAGTTAAGGTAGTTCTATCAGGGGGGAGGGTATGTTTGGTATGTAGATTAGGGATAGAGGTACATAGATGGATGATCGATCGGGTCGGTCGGGTCGTCAGGTTGGGATGGATGGACGGACGGCTTGCCAGGGAGAATAGAGAAAGGCGGTGTCGATGCGACAAGGGCGACGACGATGATGGCGTTGTCGTTGCCACGACGAATTGGAAGTGAGGGAAAATAATAAGGGGTGAGTGGTATCGGGAGGCGAGCAGAGACGGGAGGCTTGAACGCTGGATGATGGCCTTGAGAGGAATGTCCCCAGTGATCGCTCACACCTCATCTGCACCTGGGGGATGGCAAGCTCACCTCCCCTGCCCAGTGTGTCAATGTCAGTGAGCCAACGGAGCAAAAAAGAAAAAAATCCGCTGGAGGGTGGAGCAGGCAGCGACGTTTAGGTACCTAGCTCGTGACATGAGGTGACATCGCCGAGTCTGCTACGCGGTCTGGACTTGCGCAAATCTGTGAGGAAACTTATGGGAACACAGGCCAGTCCGGACCAGCGCTTTCAATCGGCCATGTATATTCTTGGAAGCCTGCAGGTAGATGGGAAATGCGCCAGGGGTAGCCCCTGCCGCTTGATTGCCCCGGCTGGGAGGCAGCAGCCAATGGGGGTCGCCTCTTCTCCAGCGCCCGTTCGTTGCCATTGACATCAGCGAGAAGGGGGCCTGGAGGAGCGTCTGGGAGAAGGCTGTCTTCCCATGTTTGTTTTTTAAGGGTCTTGTCCGTGCTCTCGGGCGTTCTCTCTCTCTCGTTGACTCTCTGCCCGTGGTTACCATTACGCACAGCTTGCCACTAGCTGCCTGTCTAGAGGGCCGACACGAGCGCCGTCGCCGAGGCTTCGACATTGCCGGCCATATCCACCTGCACACTCCGAGGCGCAAGCATGCTTCCATTGTTTACCCCAAGGTCTTCATCCAGCATCCAGGCTGCCAAGCGGGAAAACGAACGAGAAAGCGACGAGAAAAATAAAAGGCGGTAAGCTATGCAGGCAAGGCATTGCGCATGTAGGATGGCCCCAAAACAGGCCCAAAAACAGGTAAAGCAGGTGCAGCATCCTGCGGTGGTGGGTGCATGGGACGGCTGGGAAGCTGGGGTGGCAGGGTGGTCGGATCCAACAAATGCATTCCATGTCCAAGTCATTGTGATTGGTGCGCCCTTGGTCTCGGCACCCAAAAAGGGAGTGCCTCTTGGAGACCCGTTTCGAGCCAGGGGTGGGAGGTAACAGCAGTTGCAGGCGAGTTGCAGACTGCCGATACCCAGGGAAGTCGCCGTTCCACTGACGAGGCAGAGAAGGCAGAAGGCAGAAGGCAGAAGGCAGAAGGCAGAAGGCAGAGAGATAGAGGCGTTGGACGTTCACTTGAACAAGCATGGCCTGGTCGGCGGTTCAGCAACTTCAGCTTCGAGAAACCTCGAATGACAGACGGGGCGAAGAAAAGAAGAAGAAAAAGAAGCAAAAAATAAATTAGTCGGTGGGGATTTCGTCTGTGCGTGCGGAGTAGATGACGAGCAGGGGTGGCCTGTGTGTGGATGTCTCATTATAGTATAGTTCGCGCGGAATAATTGTAAATCGAGACTTGTCACTTGACCGTTACCCGAACTCCTGCTGTCTCTGATGATGGTGGCTGCTATCGTCGACTTGCAGCGGGTCGGTGCAGCTACCTTTGTCATGTTGTCTTGAAATAGTAATACTGTTGTTTGCTGTATTGGCGGCCGTGCCCTTGCGCAAACGAGGACGTCCCTCGTGAATAGGGGGGTGCGTGATACATCATACTAGCACAGCAGTATGACTGCATATATCGAACCTCCATGATTTGATCTGCACAGGTCGATATGCGGGAGTCGCATTCTGACGACAACGACGGGTACCGAGCTTATTATTTATTACTGGATTGAAGGTTGGTACGCAGCCGGAAGATTGCCGCATTACCGTCAAAAGGGGACTGTCTGTGACTCTGTCTTAGTAAGACTAGCCCTCGGCATACGTTTTGGTGTCGCACGCGAGAAACTTCCTCTTCCCCAACCTGCGCATCGTCTCATTGGCCTGGCTCTCTCTGACTTGCATACTTCCCCATGCATGATCGCGTTCATCAGGGAGTCATCACTCCTCATTACACCTTCACTGTTCAGGCAGGTATACCACTTCGAGATCTTGTCTACCATCTGAGTTCTGACAGCCTCGAGCCGAAGCGCAACGTCTGACTCTAAGCCTTGGGAGAGGTATCTTGAGTTCTGAGTTCTGAGTTCTGAGTTCTGACCCGTCGAACCATCTTTCATCCTTCGCTCCCGTCTGCGTCCGAGCCCTGACTCCTGACAGTCAACTCTCTCTTTCGATTGGTCTCACAACCCACGAGCCATGACACCCTAATGGCACCATGGCCACACACCACAAGTCCCAAGGATCTGACTCGCTGCTGCCATGCATCGGGCCCGGTGCTTTGACGTCTTCGGGCGTTTGGAGGACAATTTAGCCATCGTGAGCCGCCAGCCAACCAGATGCCGCCTGTATTCCCCCATTCGGAAACCGACTGCACGCAAGCGGGATGACATGAGCGCAAACTGCTGGTGGTCAAACATATCAGACTGTGCGACCAGAGACATCCGGTGGCTGTGAAGGTGAAGGCTACTTATCTGGTCGACGCTCACAGTGCCAACACACGCCGGCCAAGGATGGGATTCCAGACCAACAAGTCCAAACACATGGCTTGAGCTGCGCGGCTGGCAACATTGACTCCCGCTACTGCACTCCAGATGCCACGGCGACGCTACACCACGTGGGCAGAAGTTCAAACTCCATGTTGCACTGCACCAGTGTCTCCATCTCACGTGGGCTGATAGTGATGGGTCTTGAGTATCGCCAGTCGCAAACCACGACTTGCGCCGCCATCGCTCGACTTTCTTTGATATTGAAGCGCCGACAACTCAACCGACCGCAGCATTCATATCATCGCGCCCCGGTCAGACGTCTGCTGTGATCAGTCGCTGCCAGCCATGCCAATCGCCACGTCATCATTGGTCCACGCCAGCTTCAACTGATCCGGCCCGTCGCGGATGGGTGGTTGCTTAGTATAGTATACCGGACAAGCCGATCGCGCGTCTAGAGGTGCTAGTCCGGCGTCCGTCCTATCTACTAGTATTAGACCGAGTCATGAACGCCCGCTACCCGTCAGCTTTCGGACGCGGCGTCATGTTCCCGTTGGGTCGCGTCTCTTTGGCGTTGAGCCGCCAGCCATATTACCGCCGGCTGGGCACGACGGTAGGGATGGAGTCTGAGAAACACAATACAACACATGTACTGTGTTGAATTGTGTTATATTGTACTTTTCGATATTAACACGTGTGATTCCTGGTAGTGACGTAGTAAAGGGTACTTGGTAGTACCACGGACCACCAGAAATCCGGCTTAGAAATTTCCGTGGCCGGGGAAAAGCCGGAATTACCCTCAGCCGGGGCTCCGGAGGCTATTCCGAAGGTTATTCCGGCCCATTAACACAACACGATACAACACGTGTTGTATGCGTGTGTTGTGTTATATTGTACTTTTGGATAAAACACGGTGTTTTTCCACCCCTACACGACGGCGATCAGGCACGGACACTTCCGTCCTTCGCGGGCAAGGTTGATGGGTCAGACTCACCATTTTAGCCGTGTCCTCAGCTCGCGGTTGCAGGCGGTGCAGCCAGACCTGATATCGACGTCGCGGCGAGTGCTGAATATCGCGCGATCAGGTTTGTTCTCCAGTCTTGCTAGACACAGTCATAGATGTATCGTATTATGATCGAGTCGAGAGACAACAGCAGAAGCCGGTGAGTATAGAAGCGGCACAGAGGGCCAATCGCGTATCTCCTGCACCCGACTGTAGCCTGGTACAATCTGCAATGGCCCGCAACGACCTGTCTTCTACCTAGAAGAGGTTGCGCGGGACGAGTCACTGCGGCCGGCTTTGGTGGTATGTTGATGCTCCTAACCCCACGCATCGTGTGAAAATCACCCGACTCGGGGCTCTTCCTGAGCATGCCACAGGGGCAAAATCGGTACGTTCGCTTTGCAACTGGGAATAGACACGCTGCACGCCCAGAGATATGTGTCCTATTCCAGACGACAGCAGCTTTCGGCAGTTCGCTTTGGACTCATCAAGCCCGCCATTCTTCGTCGTCAGCGCCAGCCACGAGAACTGCAGTTAGGTACATCTCGCAGGACGGCCTGGCGCACCAGTTGCTGCCGAAAAGTCGATAGTGGCGCCTTCCCTTTAACCATGATGGCCGCTGGGACAACTGTTCCGATTCCACCTGCATCATCGACGGCGACCAGGACCCGGGGTCGTAATCACGGACAACTGCCTTTACGGCGCTGGTCCGCTCCAGTCATAAGATAAGCAGAGAGAGCACTCCTCATTGCCTCAGTCATGTCAATGATGCTGCTACCTATGTAGCTATGAGCAGGGCTGATGAAGGAGACGTAAGGATCGGTGTATACTATGATATTGACCATGTTTCAGGTATGGCATTTCGCGGAATTGTATTGCAAAAACGACGTCCTCGACCGCGAACGTCACGGGACTCCGCGGATTGAAAATTCAAGGGACCATGTGTGTACGGCCACACTGAGCGCCTACACACGGCTAGACCCAGCCAGCCCCTTTCCGCCTTTACCAGCCGCAGCAAGCACCCGCGCACACGAAAGAAAACCCGCCGTCGCCGTTTTGCCGTTGCAATTGTCCTTCTACAGGTAGTCGCTATTTAAGTCTTTAAATGTCGATTTCTTTTAAAGAGACGGCGCCTCCGAAATAAGCACAAATCCCTTGCTTCATTGGCCTCGTAACACATGAGCCATAAGCAGTGGTAGAAGCTCTGACTCGCGCGACTACACTTTGGCGCGCCAATACTATCATTCGTACCTAGAGTCCTCGGATTCCTCAGATGCGCGCCCCCTTGGCTCTGGCCCAGCACCAAGTCCTTGCTGAGGCCTGGACTGCGGCGCATCAGCACTTAACACGTTTTCCTGCCAGCTCGAACGACCCTCCTCAACATCCTCGCCATCTTTCGACTGTTTCTTGGGCGTGCCCCAGACGAGGTCCTCGTACAGTGACGGCTTATCCACCTTGCGGCGCAAAAGGTAATGGCCAACGAACCAAGGCACGTACTTCGTCACTTGGTGCTTGATGAAGACGGTTTTTCGGACTGCGAAGACCAGGTCGAGGTCCTCTAGTGACCGGCGCTTGGTCTCTTCGACGAGCAGCAGGACCAGGATGAAGGCCAGGAAGTTCAGCCCCGAGAAGATTCCAAATGTGCCGCCGTCTTTGAGGGCTGCGTAGATGCTGCGAAGCATGTGAGTTTCCTCCTCAATGTTGTCTCCAGTTGTTTGGTAATTGCTTAAACACTCACCTGGGAAATGAAATTGAGAGAATGCCGGCAAAGAGGAGGTTCACGGCAATGGCGAATGCGCAGCCCTGAGATGATGATCAGCACTGCAAATAGTGCAGTTTGTGCCCTCAGAGTACTTACAATTTCTCGGTGGGATAAGGGGAAGCTACCGTCGTGTTAGTACGTGTTGGTGCCATGCTTTGCGAGTAATTCCACTCACCTTTCGGACGCCAGTGTGAATGGGATAGGCCCTATGCCTAGTTAGTCTTCAACTGCCAAAGGAGCACATTGTAGTTATGGTATCTTACCCATTCCTGGTGAGTATGCAGCAGCGAACACTATATCCTTCATTAGCTAGACGAGTGGGACTTACTACCGGGAAGCCATGACTTACAGAACACGAAAAGAGCAATGATTCCGCCTCTGATTTGAGGGTCGCCTAACAGACTCGACAAAGCAGCCGCGGCCACTACAAGATACAGTCGGCGATTTGGCAAGTTATAGGGCGTCTGACTGCGTTTCCGGGGGGGGGGGTACAATTGCCAACAATAAGAGACAAGCTCCCATGGCATGATTGAAAGACAAAGGTGAAGCTGGTCTGGGATTTTGCTCACTGAAGAGACACATTGCGGGCAGTGTCAAAACGAGCCACTTGCGACGACCGAGTGTGTCAATGGTCCTGATGGCGGGCAGGCCGAATACGAAGTTGACCGCACCTGCATGCATGAGCTCTCCGTTCACCAGTAAGGGTCTCCAACTTCAACCTACCGTAGCCCAAACTGTATAGCATCGGGTGAAGAGCGTCGTTCTTCTGCAAGACCCCATTGAACAAAGGCCCTGGATCATCGTAAGCCAAATAACGGGTGGGGTTTGTGCATGTAACTTACCTGAGTAGAAGGCAAAGATGTTGACTATCGAGACATTAGTATCGCACGAGGGCTGCGGCGTGAGCTTCAGCTCGTAAAGGCAAAGCTGCAAGGAAAAGGACGTACTGCCACATTACTGTTGAGCTAAGCCGACGATGGAGCTGCTTATGAGAGCATTTCTCAGACGCCTTTCGGTAAATAGCTGTCTGTACCGGGATACGTATAATCTCATATGAGCGAGGAGCCCTCGAGGGACATAGTCTCCCTGATTCGCAAAGTCAAATTCGCCAGTGTATTCTTGCTGGACAGACTTATAGACAAGATATATGTCTCGAAGTGCTTGGAGCTGTAGGAGTCAGTTCAAGTGCCTTGCCCGCCTAGGTAGAATTCAAATCCCGTTGCCCAGGATTTCGTTACTTACTTCCGTCTTGCGCAGTTTCAGTAGAACATGGTAGGCTTTCGACGGGTTGAAGCTCCTACTTCTTCGGCGCATATAGTAACGAGGACTCTCGGGACAGAACCAGAGTCCCACAAGGAGGAAGATACATGGGACCATCGGCGCGCCCAGTATCAGTTGCAGGCTCAGTTTATGGTTATTTGCGGTATAAAAGATGAGATTGAAGGCGAACCCCATCATGATACCAAAAGCAACCCTGCCAGTGTCAGTCAGGACCTCTACCCGTCATGCAGCAGAGGGTTTGTACTCACCATAGCTGCCAAGCCAGGATAGAACTGCCTCGCCAGTATCCGATTGCCGTTTCCGAGGCCAAGATAGGCGTACTCACGGCCTTCACACCCATACCTATCGACAGCCAGCCTCGATTTCGTAACATGAGATTGCGCCAACTCCGAAATAGCCGAAGAACCCTGAAAGATAGGGCGAAGCTTACCGACCCCGTTGAAAAAGCGGACAATGAACAGCTTGTACCACTTGTCGCACCATACCGCACCGAGGGAACTCGCAAAGATGAGACAAGCGGCCACAGCCATTGCACCCCGTCGTCCGACTCGGTCATTGATGGGCAAGGAAACCCAGCAGCCCACGAACGCAGCGAATAAATACGGCGACGCGTTGGCGGCTCCCAGTCTCCAGTCGTCCCCAGTAGGCCGACGAGGTGAGAAGTTCCTGTCATGCATGCCGGTGTGGGCTGCGGTCACATTGGGCAGACCGAACTCGCTGGCAAAGAGCGAGGCACCGTTGATCAACGACTGTACGAAGCCCTGCAGGAAAGCGGCAAGGGACACCGTGAGGATGACAGGTATCATATTTCGCTGTGAGAACAGCTCATCCCTTTCCGCCTTCAGAGCTGATTTTTCCTCCGGCGTCAGCTGGACGGGCAGGTTGAGTCCGGCGGTGGGGTCCTCGGAGCGAGCGACGTCGTCGTACGAGCGGACGTCTTTGGCAACGCGTGCTGCTCTCAGCAGCTTCTCCGAACCAACTGATGGCAGGCATATCTGCGAAAAGTGGCGGACGTCTCTTTCCAGCTCCTCGTCCGTAAGGTGGGCTAGAAGAGGTCAACGTGATTCCGACGGGGTTTGGAGTGTCTGACGCATCGCACCTAAGGGGTTCTCAATGACTGCTCGAGCATTGTTTCGTCTTCTGTGAACCTGGATACTGTACGGATCATTGCTCGTCGGCACGCTAGACAGTTCGATGGTCTCGATGGATCTACTTTGAGCCAGGTTGGATGTTGGAATAGCCAGCGACTGGCCGAAGGAGGATGCGCGCCGTTGTGCCATGCTCGCTGATCTTGCGGAATCTGAACCACAATGATCGAGGACACTTCAGGTGGGGAAAGGCCCGATTGAAGGTATAGCCGGGGACAATGATTATGGAGAGGAATAATTAAAATACCAAGCCCCAAACTCGCCCAGGCAACGAAGGACTCGAGGCTCCGTTGAATACATCTGTGGCGATCGGGCACACAGGCCCAAGCGAGCCGGTGAGAGCCCAAGGGCTTTCTACACTTCTTTGTGACACAATGACCGCATGTCTGGGAGTCGATCGCCTGTGCTCCAAATGATACTTGTGAATTGTGGCTTGTTGGACAGCAGGAGCTGATAAGGCTATGCCTTGCGCTGGGCCTACAGAACTCTGGATGCCGGCAAACTCGCCATCCGGATTCCTAGTGCGGTTACGCAAGAGCAATTGAGAAGTGAGGGACGGCTCAGCCCTCTTCTCCTGGCATAGAAAGTCCACGAGCCATCTCCCCACGTGCCATCTTACCACAATGTTTCAACCAAGTTCGCGGGGTGGCACTCCAGAATATGCAGGCTTCGGCTGATCGAGGCGTGAAGTCAGCTACCCCAACCCAATCAAACAGGCCATGACATATTGCCTTACATGTGCGCCGTGTTGCCTGGCGCCACCAACAGGGTGCCAAAATCTGACCGTAAAATAGGTGTGATTGTTGGTGTGCTTGTCAGCGATGACATGATTGTGGTGGCTTTGCCTCAGATGACGAGGCAGCTCAACTACGAGCGTCATCTTTCCTTAGTCAAAGAGATCGAGTTTTCTTGTTTTGTGACCACAGGTGATTCAGATATGGATGATATGGTGGGACCAGAGGGCCAGTAATAAGTAAGATTAGTCAAAGAGATATAACCAGAGTCCTGCCTGGAGTGCCGGACTTGAAGCAAGAACTGCCAGGCGACGAAAGCTGTGACGACAGTAATGTGATGGATGTTCAGCTGCGGCCCCTCACTCTGGGAGGTAAGCTGGACGACACCCCCCTTACGCGATACCTGGAAAATGTGTAAACAGAAGTACGTCACACAGCGTCCACTCATGATTAAGTGCTCATGCCTGATGATCTAGCCAGACCGGTGTAATAGCATCTGGATGATCATTGCCTTACCCACCCTGAGCTCCTCGTATACCCCTATTCTGTACTCAGTTCGTCTGTCTCCTCTTAAGCCCAGCCCGTGTACCACAAAATACTTGTAAATTAATGTCTGACGCACTCCAACCCCAGAATCTTACCGACTACAATCACCAATACTCACTCGGAACGAACTGGTCCAAGTACGACATCGGCCACCGGTTGTGTGCTGGATATGATCTTGTGAGCGCTGCAATGGATCCACTCTCCATCATTGCAAGCGTCGTACAGATAACGCTTTTCGCTAAAGCGATCGTGAACGGGCTCGGTCGCTTCGTCGTACAGACCAAGGCGATACCCGACTCGATCCAAGAGGTATACGAAGAGGTCCAGAACCTGGAGCTGGCACTGAACGCGATCCGCGAGACATTGGACAAGCGGCCGCACCAACTATCGTTCGAACGAGGTCACCACGCAAACATCCATCGAATACTGGAGTCGTGCAGAAGCTCACTGGAAGCTTTGAACAACGAACTGCCGCAGCTGAAGGACTACACCAACCCGTTCCAGAAGGTGAAGCTCAGCCTCGAGAAGTCGCTCAAGGAGCAACGCATCAAGCAGATCACTCATCATATCAGCTCTTATACGACGGTCTTGCAACTGAGCCTAACAACACTCTCGCTCGGCATGCTATGGCGTACGCAGAAGTCCCAGGAGCAGATACAGGTAAAGTACCTTACCCCCTTCAATGACCGCTTACCGAGGTTGGGAGCATGCTTATGAGTTCCAAAATCTGGCTATGAGACCTTGCTCCTATGTCCAGACCCTGACACTACCACTGGACCGACCCCCTGAAAGCTATCCAACGGAATTAGCACTGACTCTTGATGGTGAACCAGTCCGAGATTCGCAAACTCACCAACGCCATCCGCTCGGCACCCCTGTTTTCAGGCTCAAGATTGTCTGCCACATCCATACTTCAAGCCGACCGACCCCCAACCTCTCCCACAGAGGACGAAAGCGAGGCTCTCGGCGGAGCGGTCGGCGAGACTGGCCTAAACCAGGAAATCCGCGACTGGCGTAGAAGTGCCGACGACGTCGCCACGGCGGTGTCTCTTGCCACGGCGGTGTCTCTCAATGACATAGACGTCGGCGGGCACCCACCAATACACCCGGACGCCTCCGTGAGTGCTGACGTGCTCCCGATCAACACCGACGTAGAAGACACCTTCGATCCGGAGCCCAATCATCCCGATGTACAAAGCCGCGAGATCCTCGAGTTCCAACTTGAGGCCAACCAGGACATCGTCCAACACCTAGTAAGATGCGGCATCTTTTCGAAGGCGTCGCAATTCCAGCGGAAGGGCATCGAGCTGCGGCAGCAGCTGAGCCACATTCGCATAGACAATGCCAACAATGATGTCGACGCAGATGGATTTGTTCTATTATCAAGCTCTTCGACCGCAAGTGAAGAGCTTATGGGAATGCGGGAGAAGCTTGCAGATATCCTATTAGACTGTGATGGCGCCGAGACAGATATCGAAAGGAAGGAGGTGCTGCAGACACTGCTACGGGAGGAAATCTCTGCACAGGCTGCGCGCGAAACCATCGAAGACATGGATAACGAATCCGACGATGCGGACCGCCGATGCCGGCTGTACCACAAGCTGGGTAGTCTCTATAAGGAGCAAGGCAACCTCCGACAGGCACGCACATTCCTCAGCCGTGCCTTCGAAGGCCGTAGGAAGGTAGACCCCATGCCGCAAGAGCTCATCAAGGAGTCGGCCGAGCTGCTGGTCGAGGTCCTGAAGCTGAGCCAGGCCTTCGACGAGGCGCGCGGGATCTGGGAGTGGATACGCAAGGAGATGCCACCACCACCACCGCCGCCGCCGTCAGCAGCAGCAGATTCATCACCATCGGCATCGCCCCCGCCCGCCTCGCCAGAGGGAGGACGGCGTCGTGCTTCCTCATCGACACCGCCGTCGTCGCCGGAGAACGTAGGCTTGGGCATCGACCTGACGAGCGCGTACCAGTGGTGCAAAGAGCACCACCTAGACGTCGACAGCCCGACCTTCTGCTTCGACGTCTGTGACGCCACAACGGGCATGACGCCCATGCACCGGGCGATCGAGCTCGGGAAGCTGGAGATACTGCGGTACATGCTTCCGCACGTTCCACACGTCGAGCAGCGGGACACGTCGGACTCGACGCCGTTGCACCTTGCCGCGTCGAGGCGCGACAAGTACATCACGGCGCTGCTCCTCGACTACAACGCTGCCGTCGATGTGCGGGACCGCAACGGCGCCTCCCCGCTGCACAGATGCCAGCACGCGTCCGGCGGCACCAAGGTGGCCGAGATGGTGCTGGGGCGCTGCCCCGAGATCGTGGACGGGCAGAACAACTTTTGCAAGACGGCGCTCTACATGGCGTGCGAGAAGGGCAACGCGAAGATGGTCGCGCTTCTGCTGGGGCGGACGGGGCGGGCGAGGCCGAACATCCCGGGACCGGGGAAGTGCACGCCGCTCGTGGCGGCCATCGACGTTGTGGCGCGGTCGGCGCGGAAGATCGCCATCGTGGAGCTGCTGCTGCGGCACGGGGCCGATCCGAGCATTGCCGATGCGGATGGCAGGACGGCGTTCATGGCGGCGAGTGATGCGGGCCTCGCCCGCGGAACCATCAGGCGGCTGTTGAATGAGGCGCCGGTGCGGAGGACAAGCGTCGTCAGTACGGCGAGCAGGACAAATACGACCAGATTAGGCCATAGTAGTAGTAGGGGTTCCCAATGAGGTGGACTAGGTCAGAAGAGCGATATATTCATTTCAGGGGTGCTTCCAAGGTCAGTCGCCGAAGCCATGTAATATTAGTTGTTAAACACCGACCGGATCTTGCCTGGCATTGTGCATTGTAATCGATAGCTGTCTTTTCGAATGAAAGCGATAGGAGGAAAAGGGACTCTAATGTACGCAGTCGTGCAGAGAATTGTCGTGCTTTACACAGGTATCCCATGAGATCGAGAACAAAACCATCTCAGCATTGAAGCCGTAGTAACAAGCAACCACAAGGATAATGACGATGATTGGCATAACCACCCAGGTTCAAGCGGTTAATGATCACCAGACCATTCCATGGTATCAAATCGCTGCTCGGTTCATTGTTATCATTCTCAGCTACCTGCCAGGCAAGACGCTTGCCAGTCCTCAAGGGGCGACAGTCATTTCTTCACATCTTCCAGCGCTTTCGCAATCAGACCGACCCTGTCAGCGAAGAGGAGGTCTACTCCGGCCTTCGCCTGCAACTAAATTCCAACATCTCGTGTCAATCGCAAGCCCAGAACGTTCAATAATCCACAGGTGAGTACATAACATACCTTAGCATTCTTGGGCTCATTGTTCGGCAACCCGTACGATCCACACTTCAGCCCAGCCGCCTGGACGACTTGAACGAGCCTGGGACACAGCAGCATCGGCTCGCAGGCAAACACCAGCCCCGCGAGCTTCCAGCGTCTGGCGAAGCGGACTGCCACCTGTACACTAGCGGCCATCTTGTTCAAGTCGGTCATTGGTAGCTTCCCGGCGTTCGTGATGAACATGACGGGGTAGGCTTGCTGCTTTAGGGCGAGGAGCATGCACACTTCTGGGGTGAAGGAGGAGAGTATTATGGGACGGGTGCCGCCGAACCGCTGGATCTTCGTCAGGGCCGTGTCGATGAAGGTGTTTAGCTCGATGGCGATCGGAGGAAGACCGGCATCGGCTGCTTCGTGTAGGCGTGGGTACTCTGGCTTGGTTAGGCTTCTGGGAGGAGAGAACGAGCAGGTCTCAGCGCTTACTTATCTCGATATTGAAACCTATATGCCCCGGCAACTTGATGAGTATCTCTTCCAGTGTGGTAAAAGAATCCTGTATGCATTCCCCACGTGCATTGGGTTTGAAACCCTTGCTTCTGAAATCCACGGTGTGCTTCATGCGGTCGTGAAGTTGGGCCAAGCTGACATCATCTCGAAGGTCAAGTGATCGAGCACGGCGTCGTGAGTGATCATTTTTGACTTCACCATTCGGACCTTCAAGTATCGACACAGCTGGTCCTCGTGGTGACTGCCTACTACCCGCAACAAGATACTGATCCAGAGTCATGTCATGGATAGGGAGATCAGTGCCGTACTCGCTTAAGCAAAAGTCGTGGTAGATGACGGCCTCTAAGTCTCTGGTGATTTGTACATCTGGAAACATTAGTTTAGAAGAGATAAGACGGGTATTAATATATATATTTACCAAACTACAAGGTCAGTTGAACGAATTATGAGTTTTGCATAGGGAAGTAGGCAATTAGCAGAAGAAATCGCAGCGGAACAAGTAGCCACGCAGTGCTACACGACCTTGTTGCCCCTGAAACAAATACTGGGATCTGGTGACCATCCCCATTGGTTCATTCGCTGCCAAGAGATGACTCACCTCAACGAAGGACGCTCCAAGCGGAGAGGAACGACTGTTTGATGTCAGTGTCAATCCCGACCGGATGCTCCGCATGAAAATACTTACCTGAATTGTGTTCTCTCCAATCTGGAGATAGTCCTGGCTCGCTGTGTTTTGCCCTAGGCCTTTTCTCGAGATCAGTTCCCGACAAGGTTGAAAGGAACACTCGTGAGGGCTACACTACTTACCTCTATGGCCTACAAGAATGGGGGCTGGTGTCTTTGGGCCTCCTTTGTCTTTGGATGTAGAGAGACCAGGGAACGGCTTTGCGATGACATAGGAGAACAGGATTGTCCCCATTGGCTGCATTGATCTTCTGTCCAGAACGACGACCACGTGCTCCCTGACCAAGCTTTGGCGATTTAGTCCTAGATGTGAGATACCACTCTCAAGGACAGCAATGCCACTTCCTAACAAGACTTCTTCTTGACAGCTTTCTGTATCCCTGCGAAAGATTCTGAACACAAGGTGCGCGTCGTCATTCTCCGGAATGGGGAACATGAGCTGCTCGTCGCTTTCATCGGCTAAGATGGGTAGATGAACTCGATGTGCCTCTTTTGTCGAACCCGGTGCGTGGATTTCTAAGGTGAGCCAGCTTCCAGTCGAAAAGCCTGAAGTAATGTCAGACCGGCAAAATGGTAAGTTAACAGCGACTGCTCTGCTGTCTACCCGAGTGCTACCCAGAGTAGCTAATATCGCTTTCTGACCAGTGTCAAGGCGGGCGATGGTGTAGTCGACGGGCATTAGTTTCCTCACGTCGGAGTCTTGTAGGCGAATACTGGGACTGGAGGTCTCGAAGAGACCGGCTGTAGCAATGTGGCCACGAAAGGTTGCAATCTCCTTAGCAGTCCAACCAAATGAATCAACAGCATCCTGACTCGCGCCAGCTTCTAGCAGAAGGGAGACCATCTCAGTATTCCCTTCGTGGGCGGCAACGAACGTTGGCGTCCAACCACGGATGGAGTCAGGAGTGTCCAGGCCTTGGCGTTGCTGCCCGGAGGGTACCCCCTGAAGGAGAAGTTTCACGTAATCAGCTCGCTCGAAAGAGGCCGCTACATGGAGCGCAGTCTCGCCATAGATTGATCGATGAAGGGGACTAGCGCCAATGGCTAAGAGCAAGCGTACAGACTCGGTCTGCTGACGCCTTATGGAGACTTGAAGGAGGTCTCCTAAGACGGCCCTCTCTTCAGGGCCCAGTGCATCTACTGGGCTTCATTCGGAGATTCCATCTCCAAGGGCAGATACGATCGGAAAATGGCCATTGGCAATCGCGTAGTGGAACGATGTCATTTCATCTTGGTCTGTCTTGAAGATTGTCCTGACTTCCAGGCCAAGCGGTAATCGGTGCAGGATGATCTGAGAGAACTCCAAGAAGCCATATTTGGCGCAATAGTGCAATAGATTGCGACCCAGAGCATCAGCCGTTAGCAGTATATCTGGCGATTGGATATGTCGAAGCATCAGTCGGAGGTATTAGATGAGTCAAGATACTCTCCTTGACTGCCTTCTTGCTGAGTTGCCACCGATCCCTCCCCTTCAAAGACTCTCAGGAAGAGGACAAGGCAGTCGAAGTCTACCCCAAGATCGCATCGGGGGAACAAGTCAGTCAGCAGCCAGCGGGTGATCCTATTTGCCTGATGTGATACGGAGTCGCGCAGTAATTGATGAGCAATACCATCTAGAGAGTAGCTGTTCGAGTGCGCTTGTAACTCAATGGCGGGTTGGAACGCCTCTGCAATGGAACTTGGCTCGTCATCGTGCAATGCTAGTTTCCAGTCTTCGAGAGAAACTCCAGGATGTATAGAACGCAATGTATCGGCATCGAGGCGGGGAAGTATCTGGCGAGGTTCATGGCTTTCGAGAGATATATTGATTGCAGTGACCAGGGTGCTCAACCTCCTGTGAGTTGCGGCACATGAATCATCCGGCACAACTCGTGAAAGAAGGCTCGTCGCCTTCTGGTAGACCTGGCGGTAAGAAGGATCACTCGAAAGCTCGAGTTTCTTTAGCTTGAGGGTCAATCTGCGCGCTGCCTCTTCATTGACCCTGCCGAACCATAGTAACTGGCCGTGATGCTGTCGCAACTCGTCATAATCGTGAAGGAGCAGTTGCAGGGTCTGATAGTCTATGTCTGCGATGTCCGCAGGTGTCAAAGGCCGCTGTGTCGGGGCGACTCGAGCGCAAACATCGGACTCTTGCCTCCCGAACCAGTCCAGTTTTCGCTGCTGGAAAGACTCTAGCTTGTTGACCTGCTTCTCTATGCTGCTTTCAATCTCTGCTTCCAGTCATAAACAAAGCCGTCCGAGGGGGAGAAGGGGGCCAGGACGGACCTTTGAGGTTGACATGGTAGTCGTCCCGCCCAGCATTGAGCTTGATGAGAGCTTTCAGCTCATTGTAGCTTATGTAGTACCGATGCCAGTCTGGGATCTGGTACCGGTAGAAGTCGGCACCGAACCTCATGGTAGAACGTGCGTGGGTGGTAGGCGACAGGATATTTGTAGAGGAATGAGCAATAGTCTGGTGGTTAGATGCAGCCGACAGCGCCTAGCATTGGAAGTGCTTAGCATGCATTCGAAGTTGTCGTATTGTTGAATGGCACGCAAGCCACCGTGGCGTCAGGGAGGTGGCAGTGCACTGAACAAGGGCTAGTGGGGCGTTTTGGGACCACTTAATACCAAACAGAGACTTCAGAACAACACAATCATCACCATATGAACCATCTACGCGCTGTTCAATACGCAACGCTCGACAGCTTGGGAACAGGTAAAGGAATGGGAATACTGACCTGCCTGACCTGCAGAAAGTTGAAAGGTGTACACTGATTGGACTTCTAACCAGGATGATTTGTTGGTGGCGAATAGCCGAGGGTGACACTGTGACAGGGCTTGCAGTGACTCGGCGACCTTGCAGCACAAATCGTGTAGCCAGTCACAGGAGACGGGCAGAGAGGTCGATCGATATCTCAGCCGCGACTCCAGCACAGCTGTTTGTCATCTATACCAACCCAACTACAACCTAGAGGCAGCGACACCAAGTACTCGCGATCGCCGAGGGTCGAGAGAGCGCCCTTGCTCGCGATGGATCCGCTTTCCGTGTCCGCCAGCATTATCGCTGTCGCAACATTGGCCGGTCAAGTCTGTACGGTCATTGCCGAGTTGCGGTCCATCTGCAAGAGCCTGCCGGGCAGGCTCCATGCTGTGAATAATGAGGTTGCTGATCTCGAACTCGTCCTCTCGCAGATGTCCTTGATCATAAGGAACCGATCTTGCCTAGCGGAATCCAATGCCTCCACAATCCCGCATCTCTTGCTACAAGCAAGGGCAAAGCTGAGTGAGATAGAGGCCATCGTCCGGCGGCTGACCGCCATCAATGCGAGTTCGAGGTACCCTCTCGCGGGCGCCAGCGCATGGCGAAAAGAGCAGGGCGCGTTGCAGATATTGCAAGGGGATCTTCGAACTATCAAATGCAGCTTGAATATCATGCTTGGTGCATCCAACTCGTATGGACTCGGGCCCTGATGAACAGTAGCGGAATTGCGCTGATCAAGAGCCAGGCAGGACATGATGAGAATTCGTTTGGATATTCAGACCATCTCGTCCGTCACGGCCAAGTCCTCCCAAGAGCAACTCGTGATTAGTGACAAGTTTCTGACCACTCTCGCCGGTGTTGACGATCGCATTGCCAGGGTTGAGGATATACTTCAAAAGCAGTCTGAACAGCTGCAGGCAAGCCAGCTTATTCAAGGCCAGTCGACCTACAGCGAGCCTGCAACCCAGGCTCCCCGTTTTCAACCTACAGGTCGCCATATACTAGCATCATCTGACAAGGAGGACGACTTCGGTGTCCGCGTGACTCCATACCTGGCTGGTTGCGCGTCCAGCTGTCGATGCTCGTGCCATTGTTCTCAAAAATCGTCGACCCCAAGCATCCTCAACGGCCTGATCGGTCGCCTATTCATCGGATATGCCGGACTGTCCATAATCAGCTCAAAGTGCGATCAAGATGAGTGTCGCGGTTCTAGATTTCGCCAAATCAGTATGGAATACTGGTTTCCAGCCACCTACTGGTCAAAAGTCGTCCGATTGCAGCTGCAATACCAGCCAGCTATTGGTCCCACCCTACATTTGGACACACTATGCCGAGTACCGGATTCAGCGCAATGTGTCGATTTCACTATAGACGGGAACATCGAGGGTCTGAAATATTTATTTCGAAATGGTCTCGCCTCCTCCCGGGATATTAGTACCTGGATACTCTCTTCTCCGGTGGGCATTGTACAGTAAACAGTATGCCACCTGTCAGTTCCTTGTCAAAGCAGGCGCGGACCCGAATTACAGGCCAATTGCTGCAAACGACAACAGTCCTCGTATGAAAGCCTGTCACTTCTTACTCGAAGGTGGTCTTGCCGATACTGCAGTCGATGCTCTTAGAGCCATTACCAAAGGCAGCGAGTACCTACGCGATTTCATCGACGACTCAAATTTCACGCAAGCCCATCGAATTGTACTTGGTTTATCGATGCAGAATCTCGAGAAGAGCCTTCTCCTTAGCCCTCAAGACGTCAATCAGCAGGATGCTATGGGGCGTACAGCTTTGGCCTGGGCCGCTGCCCGTGGGGACGCCCGTTCCGTCGTCACTCTATTGAGCACGGTGCGGACCCAAACATCACAGACGTACAACTTGCAGGTGCATTATCAAATGCGTCGGCCCAGGGTCATACTGCTTGCGTGCAGTTTCTCTTGGATGCTGGCGCGGATCCTGACCCGGTGGCTCCTGATGGTGTCAAGAGAGGCAGCCCGCTGAACGTTGCTGCAAGAAATGCCAAGGACCCCTTGCTGGTCAAGAAGCTGCTGGACTTTGGTGCGCACGTAGACCAGAGTTCGGTGGATGGCAAAACGGCTCTGATTCACGCGGCAAAGAATAACAACGCAAGCTTGACGATGCTGCTACTCGAACATGGCGCCAAAGTGAATGCCACGTCGATTAGTGGAGATACGCCATTGACTACAGCAATCACCCATAACAGCCACGGGGTACTAAGCCTTCTCCTCGAACGTTGGCACGAATATTCCGTGTGTCCTCGTCTCAGGGTGCCGAATTTGCTAAAAGTATCGGCACTCTATGCCGATTGCGACACAATGCGGATCTGGCAAATACTGAGCATTTTCGGTCGCGAAAAGACAAGCGATATACGTTGGGAGACTTTAAAGATAATCTCCGGCAGCGACCAGACGTGACAGACAAGCTCGTTCTGGCGTTCGACGAGCTGTTGAGCATCTTCAACGAGGCACCTGTACCGGGACAAGACCCGGAGGGTCTTCTGGACGCTGGCTTCTTCAAGAGCCTGTCGCGCAAATTGAAATTTGATGAAGGTTTCGCCCGCGAGACTTGCAGTGACGAGGAGTCGGACGACAGCTTTCATGATGCACAAGACTACGTACAGGTGGGTCATGCAGAAAGGAGCAGAGCCGAATCTCGTGTCTATATAGGTATGTTATTAGAAGTGAAGAACTCCCTTCTCGGGGTCTTCTCACGCATTGGTTGATGACGGAGCAATATGCCGCATGAATATTAAGAGATCAGAGCTCCTAACAGGGGCCAAGGTCTCACATGCCGTCTACAAGGCGTTGGCTACCTTGAGTTTTAAGGATACTAATAGGTCACTGATAAGTTAGTTGAAATGCTCGGTACCAGTATTACCGCAGCAAGTATGGTCTTGATGGTGTTATCGTCACCACGTGCAGGCCTTAGGAAGTCGCCATGGTAGGCGCGCAGTGGGCATACGATGACATACATGTACCTACATTCATATTTCACGCACGTTCCGCGGCCTGTTTACTTGCAGCTCATCTCTCTGATTCATATGTAGATGGGCCTTGCGCCTCGCAGCCGAATAGGTATGCGACTTGGCAGCCAGTCAGGACTCAGGGCAGCCATGCAACAGGTGGTCCGTGAGGAACATTCAAGATTCGCCCGGAAAAGACGGTACCGGTACGTAGAAATTGCTCGCCCCGAAAGCAAGAGCAATGCGATTCGGGCAACCAACATGCACTTGCAATAATCATGGAACATGCGGAGTCCCTGGGTTCTTTGGGGTGGCTGTCAACCATCGGAAGAGCTACCGGCATCAGTATGTTGTCCACCGTCCATTGTCCATCGTCTTGCCCTCGCACTCGCTGACCAGACTGCCAGCCTTTGGCCTCGCCATCAAAGCCGCCAGAGCGCTGATCACGGGGAAGAAGAATGGTCTCTCCCTTCACGAACATGTGGCCTACGCGGGCATACGCGACTACCAATCTGGGCTGTCAGCGGTTGCTATACAGAACCTGCTGCCGTTGACATCCAAGGTATGCTTGAGATTCGCCAAGAAGCATGCACTCCCCTTCGAGACCGTAAGCCTTCCAGATGCCACCATTGCACTTCGAATTGGGCCGCCCAACGCCAAGAAGGCTGTTGTCTTCTTCCATGGCGGCGGCTACATGGCACCTGCGCTCAGCGAGCATGCCTCTTTTGCAACTGGCTACGGCACATGCACGACTCCAGACGTCGCAGTCTATGTCCTGCAGTATGGTGAGTTTACGCGACCTGGAACAAGTGCCAGATAACGTTGACTGAGGACCGTCAGGCCTGGCATCAGAGACGGCCAACCATTACCCTCGCCAGCTCCAGCAAGCCGTCCATCTAATGAGGCACCTCCTCGTGACGCAACAGATGTCGCCGGGGTCCATCACCTTGGTTGGAGATTCAGCAGGCGCCCATCTCCTGCTCGGCCTGCTCCTGCACCTGACCCACCCAAATCCGCTGGTTCCGCAGCTAAAATTGGACAGCCCTCTGTCGGGCGCGGTTCTGGTCTCGCCGTGGGTGCGGCTGCAATCAACGGCAGGGTCTCTCAACGCAAACGGACAGAAGGACGTCTTGAGCGCTGCCTCGCTTGCATACTGGGCCAAGAACTTCCTGGGTGGCGCCGCTCCTGACCCCTGGAACAGCCCACTGACAGCGCCCAGGGAATAGTGGAGCGAGCTACTGGTGAGGCGGATACTAGTCACATAAGGGGACAGGGAGCTGCTCTTCGACGATGCACAGGAGGTCTGCGATGTCCTGCGACGACACTACGCCGACACAACAGCGCTGAAGTTCGAGGGCGAGCTCCACGGACACATGATCATGAACCGCTTCCTCTACATCCGAGCACCTTGCGAGTCGGAGAAGGCGTACGTGAAGTGGCTGGATGACCATCTCAACCAACAATCTTACACGTTAGATTAGATATGTCATCCATGTCTAGCGCCAGCAACTTGACAGTCACTACGTTCTGGTTTTAGATGAATGGTTTAGCTCCTCAGCTACGAGTCTACGACACAGGCAGCAGCAGGACAGGTACCGTACGGGGGGAAAGATAAGAATGAAATACTTTAATGAAGCATTCTACTACTAGGCAGCCAAATTGATTGTGCTCATGCGGTTTGCCATACATATCATACAATCCACCATCTCTCAACCGTCGCCTTGCTCAAGTTCATAGGCACATCCGTTAGGCTACCGCCGAAGCTTTCGCAATAGACATCATCGAGATTCCCCTCGACAACCAACTAGAACCCATCGCCAACATCCGCACACGCACATTCTTTGTCTAAAACGACCTTCTAAACGAAGAAGTGCTCCATGCCGCGCTCGACCGTCTCATTCGCAATCATTAGCGAAAGCTCGGCGCGCGTCTAGTCCGCCGGAAGCAAGATAGACGGCTAGAATACCACCTCCCCGCCAAGTTCGACGAAGGTTACGAGCTCTACCAGTAGTCTTCTAGAAAGGACACTCGCTCCCTCAGCAATGCCGCTCCTTTCTTACGAGCCTCTGCGCCGAACAAGACGGTCTCAATACTCCCTCCCGTGAGCGTGGTCGAAGCTCTGTGCCGGCCTACGGACTGGCCCCTCGAACGCAAGGATGAGGAGCCGAATTGCCCTCTCCTGCTCGCCCACTTCACATTCTTCACGGATGCTACCGTCATCGGCGTGAGTTACCCGCACTTAACGATGGATCAGTTTGGACTTTGTGTTCCCAACTTAGCAGATTGAGATAATATCGATATTATAAAATTAATTTAGGCTTTGCTATAACCTTAAGTAAATAAATAATGGGGGTTTAAATAGCTTTTAACTAAATTCTATTCGGTTTTTTTTAAAAGTCTTAACGTTATTAGCAAAAGTTTCGTTTATATATACCTTTATTTAACAAGTTATAAAAGCCTTATATAAAAATAAATCATTATATAAATTTCTCAAGAAGATTTCTTTCACATATTATATATAGTTATACGAATTAAATAGCTTTTATTATACGTAATAACGTAATTTAATAGGTACCGGGCTATAAGAATTATTTTTAAATAGTTCAACGGTTTTTTAATATTACGATAATTTCAAGTAATATTTGGACCGAAATTTAGAATCATTTAACGAATATATAAGCTTTAATGACTTAATAAATTTAAATGACAATATTAAATTAAAGGTAACGTGGATGACAAGCGAGCGGCAATTACAAGCGAACGGCAACTTTTCACCAACCTTCCAACCAACATGTCAAATAACTCGACCACAACGCATTTAATCCAATCTAATCAATTGGATTCTTCTTCTTCAGACGTTTCTATCTCTATTGTACAAGTTCGCGCATTATGGCCAGTGTTGCCGCAAATGCCACAACGTCGCTCACGCGCTGCCGCCCTCCTCGGACGACGGCTACCTTCACCTATTTCCTGTCTTGCCAGCTCAGTACCATTCTTTGTGAAGACCTATTACATCTTTAACAAAAAGTATTCCTCCTTTTACTAGACGTTTGTTTTTTATTCTCTGGCATTTATTTAGTAGGTGATTGGCCTGTTCTAGCTCGCAAACCTAGAAATCAATCAAAGCGACCTTATGCATAAAACCATATGTAGCCTTTGAAAACAAGCTCAATGTATCAATTATTGATGTAGGTTAGCTTTTCTAGTGATTTCTGACTCAATTTTGGATATAAACTGATTAATTTACCGCTTTGTTAATGGTGATAGGCGTTTTTAAAGTCCAAGCAGTGGGTGGCAGATTGGGGTCTGGCGACGGTGTTTATATGACAGCAATATCATCCAGCTTTGAAATGACACTTTCTGGGTCCAAAAGAACAAGTCTATTGGCACTAAAACCTGCTTGAATATTTTCCAGTGTCATAGCAGCATTATGTATTTCATAAAATGTTACAAGAAAGTCCTCTTTTGAAACATGTGTTATATGACGCCAGATGAAATCCTTAATTGAGCGACCATAAGCTCGTTTGAGCGGGTTAAAACAACTGACATCTAAAGGCTGGAACCTGTATGATGAGTGGACAGGCATATAAAGGATAGTGATACTATTATTCTAAGAATAATTCTCAAAGGCCTGGGAATGGTAGCTTTTGTGGCTATCTAGGATGAGGAGGTCTTTACCGGCGGTCATACGCGGTCTGGTATACTTGTTAAAATGCCGAATCCGTTTCAAACCAATCTTATTCGTAGTTCACTTGTTGCCAGACACGGCCACCTTCCAATCGCGTAGTAATATCGTGTCGCGATACCATGACACGAGTTAGGTTTTCCCCTGTAAAATAATGAATGACGGGACCACTTAACCATTAGCATTAATGACAGATATTGCTGTAGGCCATTTTTTATTGCTTTGCTGAGCTTGTTTAAGCCTGTCCTGTTTTTAGCGGTTATAATGACCATGCCGGACCCAATAATGCCTATCATAAACCTAGTCTTATCAAAGTTATAAATCTCCGCGTTTTGGATACCATGTTTCGCAACTTCTGCCTCAACTTCGCAAAACCATGCGCGATATATGTCTGTATCTTTGTTGAAGGCCCTCTGGTAGTCCATTCTTTGATAAAAACCCGTCCAGAAGCCTGGTGTGCATTTAATAAAGTTCTGTATCTAGTACTTTGTAATATATCCAGTCCCACGCGCTGCTAATAATTGATTCGCCATATCTTTAACATAACTGTATCAGGGTAGAAATGCTCACGCATTTAGGTCAAAAATAAAGGAAAGAATGACAATATTTTTGGAAACCGTAAGTTTCAAAGTCTTGGGCATGCTATCGTGTCGTGATGGCATTTCTTTGATTTTATTGCTCAGAGTGGAACAAGGGATATTAAAGAGTTTTGCAAGCTGAAATATAGAAATATAGGGGTCACATCGTTTAGCTTGGACAGCTAGCTAGCTGTAAGTGTGATTCATTATAACGCGGTGCCATTATTGTTGGTAGAGATATAATGGTTTCAATTGTGTTGGTTGGAAAGTTCATGACGAGTGCTAACTCGCTTGTAATGCTAACTCGCTTGTTAGCTACGCTAAGTTATATTTTATATTTTATAGCTTATATTAATTATGTTTTTATAAATCTTTTATAAATATAAGCTCTATAGTAATAATAACTATTATATAAGAATTAAAAAAGTGAGTTTTTTAAAAAGCGCCTTTAAAGCTTTAATTCTAAACATTTATTTGATATGAACATATTATACTTGAAAATAGTAAATTCAAGCAAGAATTAGCTTTTTCATGTGCAACTATTTATTAAACCGGCCGTAATAAATTAAACGTCGTTCATTTATTATATTTATAATTTATAATCCTTATAGTAATAAATATTACCTCTTTACGGAGATTTTATTTAATATTTTATGCTTATTGTAACCGAACTAATTACGCTTTATCAAAGGTAAATAAAAATTCAATATTACTGAATTTATCATTATAACGATAAAAATAAATAACTATTTAAAGGCGCCTGTTAACTTTCTTATTAAAAATAAAAATAAAAATAAATTTTCGGCTTTTTTAAGTTTAAACTTATAACCTTATATTTAACTAGTAAATATATAAAATGACTTTTTATTTCGATTATTACCAAAAAAAAGCTTCTATATACGACTTATATAAGTTTGTAACGGCTATAAAGCGTTATAATTTATAAAAACGGTTACGTTACGAGATTATTTTATTAACAACTTAAATTTCTCTTTAATAGTAAGTTTCGTATAGTTTTCTTATTAAAAAGACCTTATAATTTCGAAATTTGTTATTGAATAACTTGAATAAGTAGATTTATTTAACTTTAAACCTTTAAATTTTATTAAATACAATTCTAAATAAAGACTTATTATTAGAAATAGCTTTGAAAAGTATAAAGTTAACTTCAATATTAAATATTACGTGTTTATTAACAACTTATTTAATAAAAACTTTATTAATAAAGTTATAAATGAAAATATTAAAAACTACTTTAAATATAAAAAACTCGTATTAGTTAAAAGAAATTGAAAGAAATTACTACCTAATTCTTAAGTTTTTTTAACGTTTTTTAGAACCTATACTGTTGGAACAGGCTTGAACGATCAATCATAATACTCGAGTATGGGGTCAAGGTCATGATGTTGCTGATGGTTGGATTGAGAGGAATCTAGCTGGACTCGAAGGTCTGGCCAAGTGCCCTCTCAATCCACTATCTTATCTTATCTAATCATACATGTGGGTCCTGATATAGATGGTTTGCAGTCTGGAATCGCATGGATCCAACATATACAATTAATTCAGTCCTCTTCCTTTAAAAAACTTTTAAAGCGTCATATATGTTTAATGTTTTTTAAAAAAACATTAGATATTATCGGAACGTTTAATAAAGTATAAATCGTGAAAGAAAGATATTATTTATAACACAATTAAAAAATCTATAAAGCTTTATTATACTTTCGGTTTTTATAACGTGCTTTTAACCTTTTAATATTATATTAAAAATAATTCGTATTCTTCTTGAATTAACTTTTTATTTTTATTCTAGTAATATTATAGTTATTGTAAAAATAGAAAAGCTTTCAAAGAAGCAAGTTTTTATATTAAGATCGATAAGTATAACGTCTCTATTATACAAATTAAATATGTCGGCTTTATTTATTTATTAATAATATTAATCTAGATTTAAATAAAGCAATAGCTTTATTATGAGATTAAAACCTTTAATGTAGATGACAAGCGAGCTGCGAGGTGGGGCTTTCATATAAAAAAAGGCGGTGCGCTAATTTTTAACTTAACGAATTTTTTTAAAAAAGATCTTAGACTTTTTTTTAAAGGTTTATAACTTGAAAATACATCAATATCACTTTTCCTAGATTTATTGCTATTTTATTTCAAGATTTATTTTAAAGCAAGCTGAAACTACCCTTATATAAAAGCGTTTATAAGATACACA